AAGGAAATAAATAAAAAATAATATTTAAAACTAAATTTAAATTATTTAAATACGTAATAATACTTTTTAATTTTATTAATATACTAATAATGTTTAATAAATAATTAATAGTATATTATAATAATACCATAATATCGTTATAATATACTACCTTAATAATATCTTAATATTCTTAGAGAATAAAAAAGAATATAAGAAATATATTTATAAGGTCTTAAAAGCCTCATAAGATACTAAGCTATTAGTTAAACTAAAAAAGAGTTATTTTTATATTTAAAAGGTAGATTTTGTAGGATATATAATTATACCTAGAGAAATTAAAATAGAATAAAAGAAGATTATAATAACAATAAAATAAAAAGAACCTATTAATATTAAAGAAACTTAAGTATTCCTAGGATTTACTAATTATTATTAATAATTTATTAAAGATTTTAATAAGATTATAAGTCTATTAATAGAATTAACTAAGAAGGATTAATTATTTATATAAAATAATAAGGCTAGTAAGCCTTTAAATAGCTTAAGTAAGCTATTCTTAGTAAACCTATCTTAGTTATATTTAACCTAGATAAAGAAATTAAACTAGAAATAGATTTATTAGACTTTATATTAAGAAGATAAATTAATTAATAACATAAATAAGGAAAATTATATTATATTATATTTTACTTATATAAGTTATATAAAATAGAACTTAATTATCAAATTTATAGTAAAGAGTTCTTAGTAATAATTAACTACTTTAAAGAGTTTAAACATTACCTCATAAGAAGTAAATACTAAGTAAAAGTATATACTAATTACTATAATATTTTATATTTTACTATAATATATAAACTTGATTAATAATAACTATGCTATATAGAAAACTTATATAAATTTAATTTTATCATTATTTATTAAAAAGGATTTAATAATAAAAAAGTAAACATAATTAATAAAGACTTAGATTATAATAAAAATATAAGATTTATAAAAAAGAAGTAGAAAAGATAATTAAATAGTATTACTTATATATAAAAATAAAGTTATAATAATATAAGCTATATAAAGAATTATACTACTAAAAGTAGTAAAATAACTATGAAGTTTAATTATAATAGATTTTATAATTAAGGTATTTTTTTTAAAAAAAACCTTTAATTAGAAGCTTTTATAATAGTATTATAGTTATTATAAACTAACTTATAAAGTTCTTATATTATTTACCTTATAGAGAAGTAATAAATATAAAATAACTTACTTATATTTTTCAAAATAAAATTATTAAGATATACGAATCACCTATAGAAATCCTTTCTAATAAAAGACTTATATTTATATTAAGATTCTAATAAGTACTTATATTATATTTAGGATTAAATTGCTAACTTATAATAGTATTTTTAAACCTTCAGTTAATAAATAAATTAAATAAATAAATTAGGTATTAGAATAATATTTATAATATTATATAAATTATAAATAAAATAACTAAGTTAAAAAGCGATTATATGCCTAGCTAGCATATAATACTACTTATAAAAAAAGTATACAGCTTATATTATTTAATATAAATTTTAAATTTATATTTAATATATGTAATAATATATAAGAACTTAAAATAATTAACCTAGTAATTATTATTAAAAGCAAAAACCTTAAGGACTTATATCAGGAAAAAAGAAAAAAAACTGAAGTTTATATACTAATAGATAAAAAACTATTATAACCCTAGACGGTTAAAAGGACTAACCTTTAAAGAGGAAGATATAATTTATCTTATTATAAAGAATATTAAAATAAATAAACTAAGTTATAAATTAGATTATAAATTTAATAGACCTTATAAGATATTATATAAAAAAATTAAAGAATAACTATAAATTATACCTACTATAGAAAGTTACGCTCTATTTAATCTTTTATATTTTATTACTTAAATTAGCTATTAATATAATTTATATTTATAATATTAATAAACTAAAATAAGTTAAAGGACTAGAAATTTATAAAGTAAAAGTAATTAAGAAAATATAGCTAAGAAATAAAAAATAAAAATACCTAGTTAAATAGAAAAACTACCTAGAAAATGAAAATATATAAAAACTAGCTAAATACCTTATTAATACCTAATAACTCTTAAAGAATTTTTACTAAAAGTAAATAAAAGTAAAGTATTTAAAAATTTTTGCCTAGACTAAGAGATACCTAGTTAACTTTATTAGGAATATAATTAATTTAGAGATTATATATTATAATATCTTTCTAAATATTTAATATAAAAAGTAAATTATCTTATTATTTTACCTCTTAAAAACTATAATAAATAACTTTAAAATAATACTCTTTTACTTTAATATAAATCTTTTAGATCCTTAATAAATAACTAGTAGTAGTAAAAAGATAAGATTATAATACTATTATCTCCTTATAAAGCTTTAAAAGAGTATTATTAGCCTTATTTTTATTAATTTTTAATTTCTTTTCTTATTTTATTAAATTTATTATTATAATAAGTTAATTGAAATAAAAAAATATAAATAGTAAATAAAAATATATATAAGAAGATATTATATAAGTATTATTATAGGATTTCTTATTATAAATATATTTACTATAATATATAAAATCTGCAAATATTAGGCATTTTTTACTAAATAAAAACATTAGGTATAAGATATATTAGCTTTCTTATTAGAAAACTTAATAAATAGAGCAAAGGTATTAATTTTATAATTCTTATAAGAAAACTATTTAAAAATATAATTAAATATTATATAATATAATAATAAAAGGTTCAAGTTAAGGTATATTAAATAGGATTTAGCTTAGCTAGGGTATATAAATCTTAAAGGTAAGACTTAATAAAAGAGAGAGATTATTTTATAATCCTTATAGTTATATTATATATATCTTATATTTTTATTTTATTAAATACTAATTATTATAAGACTAAAATTTATATAAACTAATAGTAATTTAGGATTGTATTTTATTAAAATTAAAACTATACTTAAACATAATTAGCTTTATATAAAAAGCCTTAGTATATACAACATACTTATTAGTACTTTTATAAATTCTAGCATATTAGTTATTAATATAACTTCTTTACCTTAATAAGCCTAATATATACTATTAACTATTAAGAGATATAATACTTTATATTACTTAGTACTATGCCTTATATTATCTGCTAATATAAACCTAGTATAAACTAGTTTATCCCTTAGGAAATTGTAATTATTATAATTATAGCTTAAACTTAGTTATATATATATTAATTAAAAAGCCTTGTTTACGTTTTGAATAATTTTAACTTCTTTTTTTTTTAAACTTATTTTTAAGCTCTTTTATTAACTCTTATAATATATTATATTTTAATTATTTATTAAAGTTTTATAATAAATTATTTAATTTAATTTCTTTTTTTTTTAATTATACTTACTAATAGTATTATAATTATATTATTATAATATATACTATTTAAAAAAGTTATAATTACCTTAGCTTAATAAGCCTTATTTAATTAAAGGCTATAATATAATTCTTAAAATTTAATAAATTATTAAATTAGATAATTATAATAAGCTTTATAAAATAATAATAAAAAAGAAATATTAATTATATTAAGTTAATATTTTTTAATTATAAAATCCTTTTATTTATATATCTTTTTGTAAAAAATATTTTTTAATTAATAAAGCCTTTTTTAAATTTAAGACATAAAGCCTTAAAAACCTAAAAGGGAAATTATGTTCAAAAATATTATTAAATAAGAAAAAGAAAAATATTTAGTAAGGCCCTTAGTAATAACTTGTATAATAAGTAGCTTAAGGCTTTTTAATAATAAGTTAAGGAGGTATTAAAAAAGACTAAAAAGGCATAAAAACTAGGCTAATTATAATCTTAAATTGTAAGAATATAAATATAAAAGGGATAAAATATTATAATATATATAAAAGTAAGATAATTATAAGATTTAAAAGGAAAATATATTAAGTTTTATATAAATTTAATTACTTAAAGTTAAAGACTTAAAGTTATAAATAAATTTAATAATAAAAAAAAATTAATTAAGTTATATAATATATTATAAGATATATTATATAATTAAATAAATAAATAAATTAAAATATTAAGAAGTTATTAATATAAATAAAAGTTAATTTTTATTATAAAATATTATTTAATTTTTAATAAATTAATAATAAATTAAATAATAATATTTTTATAGTTAGTTATATTATTATACACTTTTATTATATTTATAATTTAATTATAATTTAATTAATTTACTTATTAAGCTTTATAGCATAAGGCATTTAATTTAAAACTAATTATATTATTATAAAATATAATATGTTAAATAGAACTACCTTTAAATTATATCCCTTATAATTAAAATAAATAATTAATTTAATACTTAAAGGTTAATTAAATATTACTTATTTATTTTAAAACTTATAAGCTTATATATAAATATTCTAATAACTTTATGTTTAAAATATTAAATATTAATAATATATTACTTAAGATATTTAATTATATTAAAACCCTTTTTATATTATTATTAATATTATATAACTTATATAATATATAAAAAAGGTAAAGACTTAAGCTAGTTAATAATTAATAAGCTTATATTAATAACAAGTAATAGCTAGTTAATAATAACCTTTTTTAAAAGGTTAATTATATTATTATAAACTTTTTATTAAAAATAAAAGTAATAATAAGGGTTTTATAAAAGTATTTATTTTTAATAGGCAGGCTTTATATATATCTTAATATACTTAGGTAGTTAAAATATATTTAATATTTACTAATTACCTAGTATATAAACTACTTTATATTAATATTTAATATAATAAAGTAAATAACTAAGATAAGCCCTTATAACCCCTATTAATTTTTATAATCCGGGTTAGCTTATTATATACTATTAACTAATTCTTATCTTATCTAAAAATAACTAGTAATAATTATTCACTAAGTTGATATTATAAATAACCTTTTAAAATAAAATCCTCTTATAACTTATTAAAATTCTCCATGTGGCGCCAATTACTCTACTCATTGCAGGCTTCCCTTATAATTATTATTTAATTAAGTCTCAACGATGGCGCTCAGGTCATTGCTGACTGATGGGTACGGGAGCAGCCACTTGTGATTTTCTGAGAGGTTGGTGTTGGTCTCAGGGGATCCTTGTCTCAACTCAACGCGACGCGAGCATACCGCGCCCGTGAACCCATGCTTATTCCAATTTCTCTCAACTGAGACACCCAGCTTCCAGCCCCCAAAAGCTAACAACAAAACCGCCGCAGGACCAACCATCTCCCAACCATACCAATCCCCTCTCGTAACGCTAGTGTTTCTTTTCCAGCGAGCATGGGGGCAATGCGGATGAGTGCGGATGAGAGGTACACAAACACAGAGACTCTGCGCATAAGACATCTGTGCGGGGTTTGGGGTTTCTTGTGACGCGTGAGACGCGACGCGATCGATGGATCTATAACAGAGCGTTAGGTACATTCGTCCAGGCAATGTATCTCTGGCTCTTATTAATTAATGCACGGGTAACACTACTAACATAAGATTGGATATCTGGTTTTCCAGCTGGTTTTAGCATCCCTGTCGTGTTGACGCCAAGTCGCTTTGACAAGGTACTTATGTAGCACTCTAAGTCTTGCTCATTTATACTGTAGCATGAATACAAACAACACCGTCTTATCTCCAGCCCCGCTCAGCTTAACTTGGCAATTTACAACTGGCCCAGCACTCCGACTCTTACTGCCGCAACTATACTCCTCATCAGACACACCCGACTCACAAGCCTCACATGACTCATATATCTCCATAAGCATTTTACTAAGTCTGCAGACGGCTTTACCAACTGAGGTTGCAGTATCGGGAATACCTCGCATAGCCTGACCCCAGATGTCGATGTCGAAATCCTGCCTCTTTGTTATATCTTTTATCTCTCTGCTGCTTATGTCGCTAAGCTAGGAGTGCTCCTGAAAGTGTTTTGTTGATAGTTTGAATGCAATCTGATTGGTTAGAAGGGTTAAGAACACAGCGTAGATAACTATCGGTATACGAGACAACAAACGGTCAGCATAGCTGCGCCATCCATGCCAATATTCCCCTCATCCATATACCAAGCATGAAAAATCCAGAGACAATTGTTCCTCGTGCCCAGGTAGCCAGACCGAAGTGCTGGAGTGACTGCCATATCTCAGCAGATCTTGGGTGTTTATAGTGACAGTACTCAGCTGGACCGAAAGGGTTTGAACTTGTTGTTGTTTCAGGTTTCTCTTCGGTTTTCTTGGAACGGCTCTCATGGCCCGGCCCGTATAAGCCAAATGATGTTTTTAACCAGGTCCCAAAAGCTTTGACGGTTATCTCCGAATGTGATATGCGCTTAAAGCTTTTACCGCTTACATGCGTATCCGCCGACAAAACCGCTGTGTTTTCTTTTGTCTCTAGCACTACTTCTGATACTGGAATTCCTTCTGACCTTGTATGTAGACCTTATGGCTAAGAATCCAAGTTTCACTGTTTAGTAAGATAGCAAGGCAATAAAGTTCGGGCCGTTCCAGTGTGGATTTTAAACGAATAGTCTATATCAACAGCCATCCAGGCTATTATGAAGACGAGGGCGTTCTCTGCGGGTGACTATGGGTTCAAGCTAAACAAACGTGGAAATAACCAAGAATGGGGATGAAGCCAGAGGACGGTCTTATGAGCCACTTTACGATGGCGGTCTATACTTGATATTAGCCGAGAGTTTGCGCCGGCACGAACTGGATCATGGTTGTCTGATGTTTGGGGAGCGTTACGGGTTTACTCCCTTGTCGGCAGATGACGCTATGGTAAGACTCATGCCAATATCTGCTGACGGTTCAAGGTACAGAGTTTGACGCTAGGGAGCCAACCGACACCAACGTCATTGGAAGAGACCTGATCTAATTACCCAGCGACTGTTGTCACTCTTTCAAAAGGCCGGGAAGCACCTTTTGGATCCCCGTGAGGCATGTATCATTGTGCCCATAGCTCAATATCACAAAGCATAACTGAAGCACCTGTAATCCGGGGTCGAATGCCGCTGAGAGACTGGCACGAGGGATTCTGGGACCGTTATTGTGAAGGGCTTGAGCAAGTTCACACAGGCTGTATGTAATACAAAGACTCCTCCAAATGGCCCTCGTCAAACACAAAGTCCGAAGTCGCCAATCGTATAGCATATGTGCTTCCGCCCTTGCTCTCGATGAAGCGGGTAACTTGGCGTGATTTCGACGATACTTTCGGGCTGGCATTAGGAGTCGTCTGGGGGGATGAAGTCTTCGGCGGCGTGGCTGTTGATTTTGATGTCTATCTAGAGGCCGGGTATCTTGGAGTGTTGCACCATTGTCTGTGAGAAGTTGTTAGATATGTGGGATCTTGAGAATGAGTACGCATGATTAGAAAGGTAAAATGGACTGCGATGGAGCTCAGCTATGGCTTCTGGTGAAAGTTATGGCGGTAGGATAAGCGTCTATGAGTGACCTATGAGAGGAGGGAGAGGATCTATTATGGCAGAAAGGATGCGCTCAAGCAAGCTAGTTGCAATCCCTCTTTGTTAAAAGCCATGATATGCAGGAGAATATCTCGGGAAGTAAACGTATCTGCTGTACCTGACTGAAAAAAGAAAATGGCCTTCTCTTTCGTCCTATGCCGTAACGCGGTTCATGACCAGTTTATTGGCCCCTGCTGTTGTGCGACTTGATAGCTCCTATATCAGCACCCCTACGTCACCAAAGCAGAGCAAATGCACGAAGCAAGATGCCAGGAGACTAGTCCAGCCATATTATGTAGGTAGTAGAAGACATGAGTAGCGTGCAGTTATGTTTCTATGGTGGATATCGCACCGCTGAGATGTTTGAGGCTGATATGTTGTGATGCATATCATTAGAGTCACGCCAAATTCACCGTTGTAAATATTCAAGTTGATAAATCAGCATTTGGCGGGAAAAGAACAGGCCAAGCGGGGTTCAGAGGTTGAGAAAAACGATGTATTAGTATGAGTGATTCCACCGTGGTTATTGAGCGCGACCAGGCGGGGCGGCACCATCAAAACGATTCTATACCATTCCTGCAGGGCACTCAGTGTAGCCTAACAGGCCCTCACAGAAAGAATACTAGTGAATCCTTTTAAATTGGTCAAGTCGGTAGCAAGTCCCGTCCCATAAGCACATTGTGGGTTTCCCAGCTCTCTCCCACAGGTCTTAACTGCAAATAACATATCTGAACAATTTAAACAAGATACATCTTGGGCACCTTCTACTAGTCTATGCCATTGAACCGCGAGAAAGCTATCTGAGGCTACCTAGAGAATTGCCTTGTAGACCCGAAAACGCCAAAACAACAAGCCTATGACTGCCATTGACGATCGAACTGTGTCGCCACCGCGAGACCGATGTCCAGGATCCTCGAGCTGGAACCTGTGAGCGCCTTGTCTGCTGCACAGCGATAGCGGACTGCGAAGTAGAAATACCATGCCTCAGACCGTTCTGAGTGCCTCATACACAGCGAGTTACAAGACAATTCGCCATAAGCCTACTCAGAAACAATATTACGCTAAAGGAGCCTCAGTAACAGCGTCTTGGAAGGTACGTTTCCAGCGCCTACCAACGCCACGATCGCGGACGCGCGGGATGCTTGACCAAGAGATCTGATCCTCGACGAAGAGCCTCGAGTTAGCAGGCACCAATGCGTCTAACGCCGGCGGTGAAGCAACTGACGCAGTTGATTGATTCGAATCGAATGGATGAGCCACGACTGAAACAGATATCCAACTGCACTGCACACAGCTGCTCCGTTATTTAACAGCCTGCCTGTAACCAACGAACGCCCTACAAGATTCCCCAAGACTCTCCAAATCAAGTCAACAAAGTGGAAGCTGCTCCAAATACGTCCCCAGAACTGTCAAACAATACCTCATTTCCTAGATGATATCGCGACACTGACCTCAAAGCTACTGAAGGCAGAGCGTATACTCCAATTCGAATAAAGAATAGCGCTCAAATATAACAACAAATAAAACAATAACCCAAGCACTAGACTCAAGGAAGACTATCTGCTCTGAAGTCTTAAGCCAAGTACACAAGCGTCATGGAGACAACCACACCTCGTGGTCTTAACCGCTGTTGCTGCAGGACCTGATCGCGAAAAACATATGCACGATCCCTTGCTAGACTGTAAACCTTGGTTCTTGATGCTTAAGCTTGTATTGGTCCAAAGTGTCGGATTTGGCACTTAAGATGCCCTAGTTCCCAATGGCCGTATCGATCTTGAGAACCCGGATGCAGACAAACCTCGCGGGTCATGCTCAAGATCAGTCAACCTTGAGAGTACTTCCGCACGGCTCCACCTGGCGCAAGACTGTCATATCATTGCAGGTAGCCGAGGCACTTGTATCAAGGCAAGAAAAGCAGAGCCAGGTCCGAAGCTACGCTCCATCTTGAGTGAGGAATGTATTGCCGCCTGTCCAACAAATGCTTCTCTCCGACTGGAGCCCGAGATGACGATAACGACAAGGCATACCATTGGGCAGTGTTACTGTAAACACCACCACGCAATTGAGATATAGATAGAATAAGTGATGACGATCGTCCAATTCTTTCTCCCTTCACAACCACTTGTTGTGCCTCGACGTACCTACACTCGAAAGGAAGCCCAAGAGCTATGCTTCTTCATCGGCCTGAACCCAGCAACGGCCAAAAACCGATTCTATACGCCGAAGCCGACAGCGAACTATACGCCGATATGATCCACTGTTCAGATGCCATGGTATTAGGTAGGCGAGGAATCACCGCCGGGGCCGGAGACCTCGGGGACGACAATAACGCATATGTACCTTTGTTCTAGACAATCCCATAGAAAAGGGTATAAAACGGCCGTGGAGATAAGCGTGGAGACCTGGGAGGACTGAGAGGACTGTTGAAGAACAAAAGCCGTTCCGACACCAGTTTGGGCAATGACCAGATGCAGGAGAATAGGATTCCTAGCCGAATTTGGGGTGAGGAGGGAATAGAGTATCCTGAGTATCCCCAAGGCGACTAGCATGTCTACCACGGTGAGGTATCGCCGGAGATGATAAAAGCTGTTCGGAAACTCATGATGACGACTGACGAAGCCATGTTTAACAACATCTCGAGACTACTTGAAGACAGCGAGCAACGCGTTACTTAAGGTTATCTGCATCAGGGCCAGCCCAATAAGTCGAGTGGTGGTGCTATCAATCATGACTAACTGCAACCTCGTTGTAAATAAGGAGCTATTCAAGAACAGATCCCACGTCGCCAACCCAGGTTCACATGGCGGTAATAAATGCCGAGGGCGCTGCTAGGCTTGGAGGAAGACTGGATGGGCTTATTTACTAAGGACTTGATAGCTAGTACACCGCCATTGATGTTTAGATCAGGTTTACTGACGAGCTTGGTAGCGCCGGAAATTGTGTACTGAACCTCTTTGCTGGAAGCCTTTTGATCCTGAAGGCGTGTATCTCTAATTTTATATTGCCTGATATGGAAACAGTAGAGTGGAATGCTAGCCAGCCAAAATAGCCTGGAGTCCCTACGCAAGTCCAGAGAGGCCAAATTATCCGTTCCTAGCCCAGAATAACATTTGCTATGCCGTACATACTGGCCAACAAGGTTGCCAGACTAACGTAACCAGCCAAGAATTGCCCCATCACGTAAAAAACCGCTCATGTTAACGATCCTCAATTCAAGACTTGACAAAACCTGCAATCGTTATCAATATTAGCCAAGGCTCGAGCCTTATCTGTCAGTATCTCCCACGCTTAGTTAGCTGTGCTTTGGCTCGCCAGGTAAAGAGATCCATGACTCAAGCCGGGCTAAGATGCCACGTTGACTACAGCCTCCAGGCGTTCTGCAGATCGTTTCGCCTGACACGATCCATGGAAAGTTGACTCGTCTGCATATTCTTACTTGCCCAAACTTTACATCCAAGTAAGCTCAGTCTATTATTTATAACAACCCATTTAGCTCCTCTGAACCCACCAACTCCTTCAAGGCCCTTTTTGTTCGTGTTCTTCTTTACGTTTGCCGTAATATTCACTGATTTATTCTATCGTCTTGTGCTATATTCTCTTCTGGTGTAATTTCAGATACCTGCTTATTTCAGTAGATCCCAGTATTTGAGCTCCTCTTTCATGTCTCGACGAGTACATGTGCGGGTGAAAAGGTATATCCCTTTGACTTTCAGCCTTGTATTTCATCACGGCAAAAGAACGGTCACTGGTTTTGTTGTAAATGTCTGCGCCTACTTCATAGACCCCCAAGGTCGAGACGATGCCGCAAGAATCCCCGATGATGAAGTCAAGGCCATAACCAACTTGCCAAAGGTGGCGAACATTGCCTATCTATCTGGCTCACCAGGACTCGATACAGATCTAAAGCGATCGCTGCACTGTGAGTAATTATGATGATATAGTCGAGGAAGCACGCTGCAGTAAGAGCTATGGTTCCCTATGAATATGATGAAGAGGCAAGAAGAACAGTGCAGACGGCCATATTCCGAAACGCATTACTGATCACAAGATGGGCAGATACACAAGGCTATCAATCTTCTTAATGTCTCAGATCGACGTTCTTGCCAACATAGTCATGCTGCGGTCCGATATGCACAGAACCTTTGATGAGAGACACTCTACATTTGTTCCCAATGCTAAAATCACCCGGACACTGTTAACAACGACACACAACCAGATACCATGACATGAGAATCCTGGTGCACCAGCTATGCCCACATCAGTAGTTCCATTGGCCATCTCTACGACAGCCCTTGTGTAGCGCGTCGCATTGGTCTTCTCGAGAGCCTCCTCTCGTCTGCTGTCGACTTCCCCAGCCTTGCATCGAGCCTGGAGAGGAACCGATCCCTAAGTCCTCCGGCTAGAGACAGGGTTGAGGCGCTGGTCCAACAGTTCAATAAACTCAGCCTAATCTGTGTGGCAGTGCTCTGGGCTGTTATGGATCGTGCATTCATGTATGAGGATATTGGTGATGGCCTCCTCGTACTCCCTCCGGCATGGTCGTTCATGTCCCAGTTTGTACTTGTGGCCCGTCACACTGCGCACGCCTTTTCAAATTACTTCGTCTTAATAGCCATCGATTCGGTAGTTACCCTCTTTCAGCTTGACCATTCCTGCGTCTGGAGGCAGATTTGCCTACATCCTGAGCCAAGACTCTAGTCGCCGAGGTCGTCTCGTAGCTTGTAGTACAGCACAGCCTCGTCCTTGGACATAGTCGACTTATGATGATGACTTGAAACTTAGCTCCTGAATTTCGATGCCCTCTACTGGACCGCAGTGAACTACCTAAAGTTCGGCACTTTCGCTCCAGATATGGCGGACGCGGTTATCAAGCTCGGCACGCCCAGGGTAGAGGGGTGAAGATCGTGGAAACAGCGGAGAATAGGAGCTTCGCAGTGCGAGTGACGAAGAAGAAGGTCCTATATAAAGCTTGTTAGCATGCATGCTTAGATGCTTCATGGACCAAAGGACCACCTACGGCTTAGGCTTGTTATCAGCCCCCTTATCATGGATGGAAGTGATGGCCGTGGCCGCAGTGCATCGTCCGGTGATGGGGTGTTGCATGATTATCATCTGGATGTCGTTGTTGGTGCGCGTTTAGGAATAAAACTTCCATGTTTATATATACAATATCTATAAGATAGTTAAGTATCTAGTAAGTAAAGAAATAGCATTACATATAGCTGTAAGCCATTACACCTTGGGCAGAAACCTTAACTAATAGAGTGCGATAGCCTACGTCTCTTGCTCGATGGCTTGGAAGGCGACGTCTTAGGAGCCAGATAAGTACTCAGTGGATCACTTTCATTGGGATCCTTCCGTAACTTTGGAAGTGAAGAAGAAGCTCAGGTCAGATATCAGAAAATGTGGCTCCAGACAAATAGGGCAAAGTCTGCTTGTAATTCATGATGACAAAAAGAATATGGTGCTCAAGGTCCTATATCCGCCGTTGGGCTCTAGAAAGTTCGTGTTATCATGACAAAAAAAGGTCACTTTTGAGCTAAGTAGAACGGATGTATGTTAGTTCGTCTCTCAACCAATTCTTGCGTAGCAAGACCTAGAAGCATATATTCTACGAAGCATGTAGTCAAGGTTGGTATCGAACGAAGATATCACACGCTTAAGCCATCGAGCCAGTCTCTGGCACGATATCTCTCACTTCAAAGCAGTAACAGACACCTCCGTAGACAGGACAGGAAGAGCGTTCCTCCAATTTCTACACGGCAAGATACAAGAAGACATTTGGGTACAACAACCAGAAGGATTTGGATATGGCAATGGGACGAGTCGTTATTACAAACTCAATATGGCATTGTTTGGTCTCAAACAATCTCCAAGAATATAGTATGAGATATTGTGAAATTACCTCGATAAATTGAGACTTGAACCATCATATGGAGACGTTGGAGTGTTTGTCAAAGATGGAATGTTTGTTGATGAGAAAAGTTTCAAGGACGTGGGGATCACCATATGAATCTCGGGATGACGATACGACGCTCAGCAAGAATGCACGAACTTAAACAAGATATTTTCGTTATCGACCAATGTTTGAAAGGAGGTGACTAAGGTACCACCCGTCCAGTATGCCCAGTTATAGCAGACTCGCTTACAAACACATCACCAGCCCGATGGCAAAGCAAGCCGCTTGCACGCTAGGGCTCACAGATGGATCAAAGTGCTTAGAGAATACAACGTAGAGTAGCGATACTGCTCTCGTGGGTATCAGATCATATGGGATGCCGCGTCTTACTGGGAGTCAAAGGAGGATGCGAAACTTGCAGTTGAGACTGGGCATCATAAGAGGTTTGGCAAACACTATGCTTCCACGAGGCACATCATCCCAGAAGTACTCCATACCCTGTCCGTGACGGAAAGCTGCGAAGGACCTTCTCCGGCTACGCTGGGCTCGCGAAGAGGATCTATAGATGTAGTTGGGGACACGGGCTTGATGAGGCTACCGCGAGGCCTTGGTTATAATGTCCCTGATGCTTCTGTACGGACAAATACCCTTTGTCAAGGTATCTAGCAGTCAGATGGTTGGTACCAAGATGTGATGCGTTTATCGCCGTCGACTCAGCTCGAGATTAAGCCTGAATTATATCCATTTCCCTTTCATTTTTAGGGCTGTGCAGATTTCTTATACAATATTTGGATATTGAAACACCGCAGCCATGTCCAACGCCGCCGTCATGCCTTCAATGCGCGAAGCAGGCTGGAACGTAGTTTTATCTGTAGGTTCCAACTCGCGTAAATTCGCGGGTTTATACCAAGTTCCCGGCTTGGTCTACAGGCCTGTCGCATCGTTGCACAGAACCAGTATCACACGTATCCCATCTATCAAGATGTAGCTGATAGTCTTCGTCGGCTGAAGGAGGCATGGGTCGCGACTTGGAACGCAGAGAACGGCATCCCCCCGATGAGCCATTTACACGAAGTATTCGACGCCCGCCTCTTCTCAATCCATCCCGAAACCCACATCATCCGGTCTTTCGTGCCGTATAATGACATCACAAAATACACATGGCTGCTGCAATGCCTCTGCTTGAGGTGACAATGATGACGACAACTCCTTCGAGCGCAGCTACCTTGTTGCTCGCGATACCGGCATCGGCGAGTTCGCGTCCTGATACTGGCCGTATTGGCGATCCATCTGACAAACTGCATCTGATACCCGGCTAAAAAGAGGATGGAATCGGTAATACTAGATTGCCTAGGCATTAGGCTTAGTATGATGGATTATATAATTCTATTACTGATTTTAACTGCCGGGAGTTTCTTACTGATATTAAATGGGAACTGAAGAAGTTTAAGTAATAATATTTAGAAACTAATCTATAAATATAGAGCCTAAGAATGCCTGATGCATTTATGAGATAGCGAGCCGATAAGCCAGAGAATAAATTTAAATTAGTGAGAATATTTAGAGCTATCTAAGATAATAAAGGAGGCAGCACCGCTTCTGTAATTTAATTGTTCCCTTGCAATATTCCCCAAGTCCAACAAACCAGTACAAGGTTTGCCATTAGTGCCCTTGTAGTAGTGAGAACTATGAAATGGATCGCGGCTCAGAGCCGTCCCTATCTGATACACCATACAAAGTACTCACCACCAGAACAGCCACCTAGTTCGAGGAACGGAAAGGCCAGGCAGGCGATTCTTCCAGAAACTAATCAAAAAGCCCAAGATCCGCCTATATCAAAGACATGCATGCCATAGGAGACACTAAGTGGTCTTATAGTAGCAATCGATTTAAAGACAATTTTCTTAAGCTTACGCGATATACTTAAAGTATCTTCACGGATCAACCGGCCGATGAATACGCCCACATATCCTTGGTATGTAATTCCACGATAGAGCGAGTTGTAGGGTTTTTGGTCTTCACCATACCGTTCAGACAAGTTCACTATTCATAAGCTAGCAAGGTTTGCTTATGCTCTTTTTCGATATGGGACTATAAATAATACTACGATAGGCCTAGATGCGATTATGTAATAAAAAACATGGACAACATTTGTTCTCGAACAAGATGCTTTGAGACCCGAGACGGCAACGTCGCAAAAGTTCTCGTGGGTGCAGGACAGGCAAAAGCTAGAAATTAAGCAATTCAAGTTAGCGAAGAGAGAAGCGTTCAAGGAGACAAGAGCCATCAAACCCTAATATCCAAAGGTTGTCTGTCTATATCCATAACATCGGTAGCTTGAAAGTAGGATAATGAACATGAAAGAAACAAGAATACTCAAGTTGCCTCCAAGCATAGCATACATACGTAGCTTGCTTTTCTAGTTCCCCACCTCTTATGGAATCTAGTCCTTTATAACATACCATTGTCATCTTCCAGAAGCATTTGGCAATACATCTAGTAGCTAACTGCTCTGTTTTAGTAGTAGAGGTCTTCTGACTTGAAAGACTTGAGATGGTGAAGATTTATGAGGCCCGCTTTGCATGCTGGGCTGTTACATACACTCATCATAAGCACATTAGTTCCGCAGTACAGGTTAGCCCTAGCTTTCCCTTTCTGGTTCTCTCTACAGTCAGTAGTGCTCCCGCGGGTCTAGTGATATCAGCGGAAGTGACTCTGCGACCCTTGAGAAAGGAGATGTTTTACAGATAGGTTATACGGACGACACATACCTAAGAGGATGACAATCATAACCATCAGGCAACGCCTATTTCAACCACTATCTACTAACGCTCATACCCCCACTGAACTCTATCAGCCTTATTGTAGAATACTGTCTTTATATGAATATACCACGAACATAATGAGAAACATGCCGTTCTGTTGTAAAATATGCTGGCTGATTAGCGATTGAACTTCTTATTTGCTTATAAGAGGCGGCCAGCCTGTTTGACTTGTGCAGGTTGAAACCCTTTAGAACATACTGCAACAAAACATCATTCTAGAAACCTACTGAGCTCCCCTTGACAATACGTTCTGATAAGCTGCAGTCGAGGCAATTCTATGTCTTTCTGTCCAATTCAGCTTGATACACTGGTGGGGACAGTCTATTAAGAGCCGCCGGTCATCTCTCGGCGCTTACTTCCATTCCGAATGACTTGTCGAGCGCTTATCTTCTCATATTCTGTAGCTACAAGATGGTAGAGGACTAAGTAGTAACATCTCCTCTAGATAGCAGTGTTGGTTCGTCCATGGCATGGGAAATAAAGCAGAATGTTTCAGACGGGAAATAGACGGTTTGCCCCGGCTGGAAAATAACATATCGTGTCATCTCGGAAACTTTATGTACTAGAGGTCTTTTTCCCAGCGACGTAGATCATGGATGATATTCAGCAGTCAAACAGTAGCGGTCCTCGTGGAGGTTGAAGTGCCTCATTGGCCGCATGAGCTATTTGATGACAGCCAGTCCCAGTCAAGTAATACGATACAGCAGCTTGCAGGCAAGGCATACTGTTCTAAGTGTTTACCGCGCTGTTGACTAAACTTGTGAGATAAAGTGAACAGCGTAAGCTATGAACCAAGACTCCGAAAACCTTTCCATACTCTGAAGGTAGCTATGACGTTGATGCATGAAACTGGCTCACAGGCTATTGATACAGCGGCCCAAATTCACCTCTGGCACTGAAAGCGACATCTCGAGGATAAACGCCGCCAGCGTTGCAGTATGATTTCATCGTCGATGAGGCAGGCCTCGCACCACTCGGGATATTTACCAAATCTACGCAGAGGAGGTATCTTTGACGCTTACCTAAATAAACATCTGGCCTAACTGCAGTGCGATGTTGAAGCTAGTCTTCAATGCTGGATAAACACGGAGTTACTCACCTTCCCTACTACATCCTTGCCCTTTTCCAATCCAGCATAACAAGTATATGAGCAGTTAATTCAACAGCTGGAACAGGCCTGAGCCTAAAACACATATTTCGAACAAGCTTGATGATTTACTCCACTAGACAGCATCAAGACAAGTAGTAGAGAAATGGTATCAGACTTGCTCCCTTTCACGATTGCACCTTGGCAGTTTCAGTCCCAGAGATGCCCAACTTCAGATCGTGCTTTAACTAGGAGATTGCATGTCTTTCCAGCTTGAGGGGGATGTTGTGGGTGTCTCAACTGGATATGATATATATCTTGGCTTAGTTTGAGCTAGAAGTAATAGTGTCGGTAGTAGGCCTTACGAAATCACCCTAGTTCTTCTTTGAAATGAATGATGATCTCTTTGGTGAAGCGACGTATTAGGATCCCTTGGTATTAGACATGCTGATATGGCAAGATTTGACAAAAATGGCTACGATTGGCATTAGCTTCTTCCAAGGATCGCCCTTGGATTTAAATTCTGAGATGCTAGGAGCAAGTGATAAGTGGGATTGCGGTGTGAGGCCAGGGGGCAGATAGACAAGAGGTTGCTATGAGGGTTTAATTGTTGGCTAATGAGCCTGTCGAAGCTATGGCCCAGGTCGGAGCTGGAAACGAACAGAGAAATAATGCTAGCCCTTGGGTTTGGGTCGTAGTACCTGGTAGAATAATAACCTAGACTCAGGATCAAGTGATGATAATACTTAGGATCATTGTAAAAGATGGTATTGCCTGATGGGAGATAACCTCTTATCACGCAGATAATGGCGTGCTTGGGAATACCCATAGCACGTAACTTGGTATTTATGTAAACCTGCCATTCCTTCAGCATCAACGTCTCGGACAATTGGATCCCGCTATAACCAGAGTAATTATTCGGCAGTACAAGATAATCACACTACTGCACTAGACATGGGTCTATGAGACTTGGGGGCTGCTACAGACCATCCCAGCGGTAGCCTCTCGGCTCTGGTTATGCAAGCGCCTGAGGCGGTAATTCAAGATCGGGTAAATGCCGTTTGTACCAAGGCCACAACGGTTCAAGTGACCATACACGCAGACGCCATAATCTAGTCAGCACCTAAAACGCACCAATGATCGAACCAGTCTTGCCAAACTCGAGGTTACAAACCACCGCCTGCGTAATTCGTTAGCCCTCAGTACTTCTGGACTGGTCGGATAATAAATTAGGTAGCTTACCGTTGTCGCCTTCTGTCTCGTTGTCATCATAAGTGATCATGCGTGGCCATGCACGATATCTTCAGGCAAGAAGCAGAGCTTATTAACAGCCTCGACGCCGACTCGAGATATCAGTAATCCCCAGTGTGCAGCTGAGCTTCTGCTTTGGCTATGTCACCACCATGACACTTAATAGCTATGGGATATTGTTGTAGCAGTCGGTCAATCAACCAGTTGAGACATGGGACTGTAGTGTCAAGCTGCGTCTCGCTCAGCAACGGCGTAGCAGCCCTGCCGGGCAGTAGTCCACTCGACTTGCGGCCTCGGCGAAGCGGTGATATGTCGAGTCCATGCTACTCGTTGTACTACAGGGCATTAGAATGGTTCTGAGGAAGGCGGGTGGGATCAAGACGAACCATGATTGAAAATCCATCAAAGTTGGACTTGGACTTGGAAAGAGCATCTCTATCAATGGGGAATGCACATGGTTATTCCAGGCCGACTTGTCGCTGAGAATAGTTGCATGTTTGAGAGATCGATCCACGATAGGCGCAACACGATGTATCAAGTCGCTGACAGAAGCGTTATGCCACGTATAGATGATTAGCATGCGTGTAGACGCCATTTGTCATGCTACTTCCATCTCCTAGTGTACCGAGCGGGATTGAATGATTCGCTGACCACCAATCCTCCCATGTATGAGGTGATGGACATAGGCTGCCCCAAGTGGTGAGTTGTTCTCCATGGGATTGAAAAATGTTCGAGGCGAGGGATCAAATGATATGTAACCTGCAAGAGGCCCATCTGATGATCAAGGCAGTGGGAACAACAACTCATGAACAACTTAATCTATTTCGGAATGCCTCAAATCTGATTGGTAGCTGTCTTTTTGTACTGATAAATGAAGTGATATGTAATGGGGAACTATGTAGTAAAAGCCCAGGAGTATAGGTGGTAAAAGATGATAACATAGTAATTCTCACAAGTCGTTGCAAACAAAACGACTCGCGCTACATAACCGTTTTCAATTGAGATTTAGGAAAACCGACAAGTGAGTCTCTTTAACTGCTTATGCATACGGGGAGCCTAACTCACCATGTACCGAGAGAACGGTGCCAGGGAAATAACGATGCTAGTATGTCACCTCGACTATCCAGACTAGAAAGACAAATCGGATCTGCTATCTGTGCGCTCGCATGCGTAGCTGAAACTGCCCGCACTAATTTCTTACCAGTCCTAACTGGGTATGATTTTGAACAGATGATCACAGCCACCAGTATGGGTCGTAAGCCATGAATTCTGTACCTGTTCAAAAAAGGTAATTGGAAACCCGTCCTATTGGACAGTCAATTACGAATCATGTATGCAAACTGCTAGTTGTGCAGTTAAAAGGGAGGAGAAGGATGGTTGCTTTGCCACAGCCACAGTGATATGAGTGCATCCGCCGTATTCGGTTATAATACACTCAATCTAGTTTTCCTAACAAGTGTTTAACAAGTGGGTTAAATCAGTTGATCTGTTAACTAAGTAGAGGAAAAATGGGGCCCCTTGCTTTGCTTTACTTTATAGCAGCCCTTTATTTACAGCTAATCCTAATTTATAATAAGTTCCTTTTTATTAAACCTTAACATATATAATTGTTGAACAGATGCTGGGGTCTCACGTGCAAGCAGGGATATTTTAAGATTACAACCGAAATGGTAAAACCTCTAAGGGGTAGATTTCAACAGAACACAACATGAATACACCAATTCACGTCAATGAACCGAATACACGTAATGTCTGACAATTAAGAGTCTCAATTGCATCTCAGCGACCCGCGCACCCAAATGCATACGACCTTCGGTTCATTCTATCACCATGTCGGCCAAACACGCCGAGAGGACCATTAGCTACGCGTCTCCGGAGGATTGGGACTCCTGGTCCAACGAATTCAAGAAACTGGCGCACGCCTACGACCTGTGGCAGTATATTGATCCGACCGATCGTATCCGATGGCCTCAGCGACCAGAACTTCCAGAAATCCGAGACTACCCCAGACAAGCAGATCCAGACGATCCCGATAGTGGCACAATGACGCCCGGCTCAGATTACGTACCGCCCCGGCGAATCGGAGAGTTGACGTCTGAAGGAAGAGCGGAATACGAGCATGATATCAGGATCTACTCTCTGAAAGAAACGGCGTATAGAGAGACGAAGAAACAGGAGCAGAAGCTGGTCGAGTTTGTCCTCAAGACGGTCTCGGCCACGTATCAGAAAACATCCTGCGTCACGGGAGACCGATTGGACAAGTGGTATCAGGAGCTACGAAGATCTGGAGTGGTATACAACGAACGCCTTCGACCCGAAGCGCGCGACAAGTACCACAAAGCCGTACATACAGCCCCGAAGATCAACAAACTCAACGAGTGGGTCACGGAGTGGGAGACGACCATGGCCGAAGCGATCAGCAAGAAAGTCCCTGATGCCCTCGACGCGCAATGCTGGGCGGAAGACCTGAACCGAGCAATGTATCACGTCCTCCCCAGCTGGGCATCTACTTTCCGACAACACCGACGCCCTCAAATCCTCAATAATTCCCTCAACTATCGAGAGGTCGCTGCCGACATTCGATACGAAGCCAAAATGGCCAACGCTAGCGGAAGGCCGTCAGGAATCAAGAGAGGCGCATTCGCGGCCACATACGGCGCTGCATCCAGGAACGACAGACCTGCAATCACAGACCGCGATAATGACACTATTGAAGTCCAAGGAGACGCCTCTGATTGGGCGACGGACGAAACATCCTATGCACATCGAGATACGCGAGGCCAAGGCCGTGGGCGTAGAGCACGAGGCGGCGGAAGAGGAGTATCAACAAAACGAAAACGAGCAGAGACGACCGTCAATCCGAACCCGGATGGCCCTACTTGTCGAGGATGTTTAGGTTTCCATGACTGGAAAGGCTGCTGGTACTTATTCCCAGCCCAGAAAGCCGAAGGATGGGAGCCTAACCAAGCGATACAACGATTAATAAATGACCGTCTCAAGAACGATACTGGTTTGGTGGAGGAAGTCAAACGATTGTCCAAAAGTAGAGACAGAACCACTCAGGACGAGTGACTCGGGCGGGGTATGGCACACGTCAAGGCAACCTACCTAGTGATGCACAACTTTATCGCAGCCTTCAACTGTGCCCCCTACCCTCTCAGACATTCTGCCATCCTTGACTCTGGATCGACAATCCATATCTTTAATGAAGTATGCAGGTTCCTCAACTACCGACCGGCACCGTCTGGAGACTTCGTCTACGCAGGGGAGTCACCAGTGGCCATTCATAGGTACGGGAACGTGGATATTCGCGTTCAAGGACCTCAAGGACCCTCTCTTCTCAGATTGCGAGATGTAGCTCATTGCATAAACTTTGCATGCAATATTGTGTCATACCGCCAGTTGCGGAAAAGGGGCTACTATTGGGATACCAAAGGGAACAACAACCAAATCCGCAGGAAAGATGATTCAATCCTCTGCACATTGACGGATCATTTCGACCAGTACGTACTGGAGCACATCGACAAATCAACAACGGCAGCGGCATTCCTAGCCAAACGGAAACAGTATGATTCGTGGACTAAACGCCCTCCTCGCAGTGGAGACGAAACCTTTTGGCACCTTCGACTTGGACACCCAGGGCCTGAAGCACTCAAGCACCTCGTGGGCCAATCTCGGGGGGTGAAGATCAGAGGGATCTCCACGGTTGAGTGTGATGCTTGTGGAATGGCGAAGGTGAAGCGCCAAGTCCGTCGACAAAGACGAGTTCCACCCGAGAAGGCTGGAATCCGACTCGCTATTGATTTCCACGACATGAGTGGGGATCCAGGCTACACTTCAGCTATGCTGGTCACCGACCGTTACTCTGGCTATATCTGGGACTATTATCTTCCCGATCGAACTGCACCAACGCTTATCGGTGCACTTGAGCATCTACTCAGAACACTAGAGCGACAACTCCAGTATAGACCCGAAGTCATCGAGTGTGATAACGAGATCCCGGATAGTCACCAGGTAAGTGACTTCCTCAGTATCAAAAACGGGATGCGCCTAGAGCCCTCCGCGCCATATGCCCAAAGTCAAAATGGCGGCGCAGAGCGCTCGGGGGGTGTGATCAAGGAGAAAGCTCGCGCGATGAGAATCGGAGCAAAGCTGCCTTCGTTCCTTTGGGTTGAGATCTGGCGTGCTGCCGTATACCTATACAATAGGACACCCAAGTATATCTACAATTGGAAGACGCCATATGAGCATTTCTACACTTACTTTGCCTTTAGGGACGGCGTGGTTGTCACGGAGCGTAAGCCCGATCAAACACACCTACGCGTGTATGGCTGTAAAGCCTTCGCGATGACGACCGATGCTTTGAAAAAGAAGAATCGGCGACAACGACTCAATCCCCGAGGGTGGATAGGATACCTGGTCGGGTATAACTCGACAAACATCTACAGAGTCTGGAATCCGTTAACCAAAAAGGTCATCTCCACTAGAGACGTGATCTTCAACGAGAAGGAGACGTTCTCTGGGGATGTCCAACACCTCAAGGATGATTTAAAAGAACTAAACGAGGAAGAACTTATTCAGCATCTCACTGATGCTGAGGTCCCACAGGGATCTAGCATCAATCTGGATGCTTCTACCCAAGAAGAAGACGAGGAATTAAGCGCCTTGCCTGAAGGACTAGCGTTTGAGCGGGAGGCTGCAAGTTATCCACATAGAGGGTTTGAACGTGATCCCACGATTACGCAGGGTGAGACTGGCAGGACACTAGTCGTAGGAGATCGCAATCGAGAAGAGCCTGACGGGACTGATCACCCCTACACGACCGCTCGATTCACTCCCTACCTGACCCCGGAGACTTGCCCTCTACGGCCTGCTGCCCTTCTGGTCGCTACTATCAGAGAACCTCCCGTGAGGAAGGAGGGGGAAAACCCCCCTCAGTTACGAGCTGCCAAGATGGTGCATGTCCCACCTAGCGCTGGCACTTCCCTGGGACGAGACGGCGCAAATGGAGCCCCTCGTGTCATTTCAACTCCGAGCAGTTACTGGGAGGCCGCATTTAATGCCGGACGACTCGCATCTGTGAAAGGGACCTGGAATGGCAAGGTGGTGAGTAAGCGGAAGCTTGAGAAGCAGGCGAGCTCGGCCAGCTGCCACCCTGATAGCGGAGAACCTCAGTCTACGGGAAGTCGGGGGGAATCTACTAAGCTGATGGATTCTCCCAATCGCAAAACACAATCTGCAAAGCTGACAGATTTAGGTGACGGCCAACGCCGAATACACCGGCGAGACATGCCAATATTGCCAAAAAGGCATAAAGACCTCAAGAACCATCCACTAGGTGACCTATTCCGCGAGGCAGAAAAGACTCATCTTGAAAGCCATAAAGAAATGCGCTCCTGGCGTGAGGTTCAGAGAGAAGAAGCAGCAGGCAAGGAACTCCTGGACTGCATGTGGGTTTATGTGTACAAGTTCGACAAGCACGGATGGTTCACCAAGTGCAAGGCCCGGCTCGTTGTACGAGGCGATCAACAGGCAAAGTCGACACACGAGGATACCTATGCATCCACACTTGCCGGCAGATCTTTCCGAACACTCATGGCTATAGCTGCTCACTTTAATTTAGAACTTCTCCAGTATAATGTCGTCAACGCCTTTGTCAATGCTGAACTGAAGCAGGACGTCTACATGCGGATGCCCGGAGGCTACCGAAAGCCTGGCCTGATTCTCAAGCTTCAGAAAGCACTATACGGCTTGCGCCAGTCACCATTACTTTGGCAAAAGGAACTAACCACCACCCTTACGAACATTGGGTTCAAGTCTGTACCTCACGAGCCATGCTGTCTCTCGAAAGGAGGAATATTGATATTCTTCTATGTGGACGACCTCATTGTTGCCTACGAGAAGACCAATCAAAGATCGGTCGAATGGATGATAGGCAAGCTTCGAGAAAAGTACCAACTCTCTGGAGGAGATACGCTACAGTGGTTTCTTGGAATTGAGATTATTCGCGACCGAAACCAACGTCTGATTTGGCTGTCGCAATCGTCATTCGTGGATAAGATCACTAGTCATTTTAGGATTCAAGGGGGAAAGCCTTCCCTCACTCCAATAACCACGAAAGAACTTCTTCCGAACGAAGAGCGCGCATCAACAGCGTCAATACAGCAGTATCAACACAAGACCGGATCAGTGCTCTACCTGGCAGTAATCACTCGACCCGATATTGCCTTTGCTGTTTCTCGACTTTGTCGATTCAATATGAACCCGAGCGACGATCACCATGAGGCCTTGGACCACCTATTGCGGTATCTGCAAAACACCAGGGCACACGCACTACAACTCGGCGGAACAGACACTTTTGATGTGTACAGTGACGCTTCCTTTGCCGACAACACAATCGATCGGAAGAGCTCGCAAGCCTACGTGATGAAGCTATTTGGAGGGACTATTGGATGGCGCGCCAACAAGCAGGACACCGTGACTACCTCTACAACAGAGGCGGAGTTGCTGGCACTTGCGCAGGCTGCGAAGGAGTCCATGTTCATCTCCAGATTAATCACCGAGCTCGGCGTGACCCTTGACAACAGAAGCATCATCATTCAGTGCGATAACGCGCAAACCATTCGGCTTATTAATTCCGACGTGGCGCTCCTGCAGACCAAACTTCGACACGTCGACATCCATAACCACTGGCTACGCCAGGAAGCACTCGCTAACCGGATCTCAGTCCGGCATACTCCCACCACCAAGATGATTGCAGACGGCCTCATGAAGGCATTACCCGCTCAGCAGTTCCAGAAGTTCGTCACACAGGTTGGCCTAGTGGATATCAAGGACAGGATTCAAGAGAGAAGGACCAAGGAACTCACTGCGGAGGACTTTGTCAGAACAGAGGAACATCTCGATGGAGGAAGAGCCGAATAAGGGATCGGATGGATGGCCAACCTGACAATAGGAATACGGACTGCACAGACTGAGCCACGATGGCCAGTCTGGGGGGGTGTGTTGAACAGGTGCTGGGGCCTCACGTGCAAGCAGGGATACTTTAAGATTACAGCCGAAATGGTAAAACCTCTAAGGGGTAGATTTCAACAGAACACAACATGAATACACCAATTCACATCAATGAACCGAATACACGTAATGTCTGACAGTTTATAGCTGTATAGGATTTTCCTAAAAATCCAAAAAAAAAATATTATAACTTAGCTTATTTTAAGACTTATATATATGCTGTTAAATTCATAGCTATTTTAGGCTTAGTTTGAATTTTTAAAGAGTTTTTTAAAAACTGGATTTAAGGTAAAAGTAAGGGTGTCACGCTTATTTATCATACACGTTATACCTAATTAACAAAGTCCAGCAAATAGGCGAGGGTTCGAATCTGTCGCTGGTGAAGCCCTTGACCATGCTGGCCACTGGTTGTAGATGAAGGTCTCCTTCAGAGGCTGAGTAGCGCTTCCGGGGGAGGTCACAAGAGAAAGGAACAATGCCGAGCTACAGCGCTCTGTCAACACGCCGCCAACCCCGAAAGCACGGGACATATACCTTCCCACCGACGTATATCACCCGTTTGGGTGGTTCCTTATTGATCAGATTTTGATGCCAAATTAACTCCTTGCTGGTAGGTGGCGATTATGAGAGAAACTATTAGTCGTCAAGTGTGGAATGGGAGGTCGTTAGATATTAAACATCTCATGTCGTCGCTTATCAGCCACCGAGACCGTCGTGGCGGTGCAAAATGCCCAGTCTTGTGGCATGTTGAACATGTTAGGGGAGGAGGAGGGCGAGAAACAGAGACAAATTGGGGATCGTGTGAAAAGGAGCTGAAAGAAGAGAAATTGGAGGCAAAAGAAACACGAACAGTTTGTGCAGAGTCGGTTGAACTTGCATTGGCATGGACGGCTCTAGCTGGAAGGCGGCGGCGTTGTCGGTTGATGGTCTACACGGGAGGAGTCGCACAAACTGCAGAGGTGAGTTCGAGAAACGGCCGGTCATCTGCCTTCTACTGTTTGTCGCCATCTTCCTCTTCGGTCGTCTCAAGAGGAGCGTTGAGGTTGCGAAGTTGGTGGCGATGTGGAATTTTGTGGGCAAGGACCAGGCAGTGGTGTTCAGGAGCCTCACCTGTGATTGCGATTCACCACAGGCAAAGTCGCATTACGCATCGAGCTCTGGGCGGAGATGGTTGCTAGTACCATCTTGAAGGGTATCGCTGGTAAGAATAGTTCTGTTACGTATGGATCTATCATCGCCTACATATTCGTCATTGCGTAGTTTTCCACCAAGGTATACAGAGGAGATCAGAACTGGCCATTGACCCAGCCCAAAGAGTAACACGCGAACACCGATTCAATAAACATATTATGGTATCAAGTCAAAGACAAGAAAGATTATTATTGATGGTTGCTCATCTCTTACGCTTGCGTTATCTGCATATATGCACGCCATCTACCACCCTCTAGCCCTCACTCGTGGCTTCTTTCGAGGTCGTCCAGGGCCACGCGTGCTCTTGCGCTTCTCTGAAGCACCCCTAGCCAACTGCTTAGTCTCAAACTTCTCCAGTTTATCGGGTGTAATCGTGCGCAGTTTGGACTCGTGCTCCCAAGTAGATTCGGCTGGACGGTAGCCAACCCACTGCACCTGGTACATGTGTTGGGAGTTTCCGAGCTTGTCGGATGGTGGGGCTCGCTTTAGGATCTTGAAGACGTGATAGGTATCAAGGTTGGTGGCAGCCTCGCGACCGTCCAGCTTTTCCCAGTATTTAAAGACAAGCGCGGGCACCTTTTCTTGAAGACTCCATTCTGACTCCCAGGTGGTTTCCCCGTCTTGCCACTTGACTTGGATGTCTACGGTGGAGTTTTCGGTGTCAACATGATGGCCAATGAATTCGCCAATCGCAACGTCTTTTTCAAAGCCAGGATCGATCTTCTCAGTCGCGTCTCCCTTAGGCGCCGATTGTAACTCGTCGGCATTTGGTTTGAGGCTCTTACTGACAGACATGTCAAGTATATTAGGCATATTTGGTCCCGTATTGGAAGTTCCTTGAGTGCCAGTTCCGCTAGTTCCGACTCGAGATGCACTGTCGCTGGGTGCGCTAGACCTCAAGGCTGGAGAAGCCATAGTTTCAACTGACTCTTGGTGACGAGCCGCGCCATGATTCTTGGAGCGTGTAACAGCAGCCATACCGTCGTCTCGAGCTCTCAAACATAAAGCTAGGAAGTCGTAGGGATTTGGTCAGTTGGCGTTGCGACGAGTTCCGATAAGGTCAAAAACACCTTGTTGTGCAAAACAGAGATAATGAAACAAAGACCCTGCTAGTCGCAATTGACTTTGCGGTGTTTCAGCGTGTTGAGCCGTGTTGAAGAGGTTTCAATATTGCGTTACTGTAGATGCTGGGCGCAAGTTGCGCGTGAACGCGTTCACCCGCAACGCGTTGACAGGGTAAGGGCGCCACAATCAGCCACATGCACACTTTGTTTTCGTATTTATTCGTGAATACTATCGTATACTAACCGACTCAAGCTAGACACTGAATGTAATATAAAACTTATTAATATTAGATGAAAGCATACAATAAGGCCTTCAGACTCATCTACTCAAGAATTATCAGCAGAAACGCGTTTCCTATTTTTGACCAATCACCGTTTAGTATTTTCGCCCCATATTTCTCCTCGTGGAAACGCGTTCCTCGTACCTAAAACACGAAACGCGCCGCGTTTCCGTCGGCTGACCCTTGTCGAGTTCAACAACTTGACTACTCCAGACCCAAACAACAACATTCATGACCATCGTCTACTGAAACTCACATGTTTATCATCTTCGTATAATATCTACTCCACCTCCGCCATTCCATCCTGTCTATTGTATTTATATATGCTTAGTCATAATGGCCCGCTCCTCTCTTCATGAGCCATGTAGCCATCCCACTTTACCCCCAGCAAAGCTGCAGAAGCTCGAGAGGCTCAGCCTTTATTACAATTTGCCGGAAGTAGCTATTATAGGTATCAAATGCGGTTTTGCTTTGAGTCCTTAAAAGTGCATCGGAGCATCCGGGCAAAAAGCACGGCATTACCAGATCTGCTCGGCATGGCCTCAAGCCCCTCCTATCCTCGTTGGACCTCCCAGATCCAGACACCTTGGCCCCCAGACCTAATGGATCAGGGCCTCACCCATACCTTACAGTACAAGAAGGCTCGTCTTGTAAGCACTGCGGTCTCCACTCTGCTAGTGGGAAGGTTCTGGCGGATCACCTCAGGGCCGAACACCGCGATAAGTTGAAGCTCACAGTCGAAAAGAAAAGCCGACAGCATTGGCTGAGAGACCATATCCAGCAAGGCGTTCTATTCCAGAGCTGGACAGCGAACAATACTCGAAGGTCATGGCTCGTCAGCACTGATAACGACCCCAACGGCAGGTCTATACCCAACAGCATTCTTCTGCAGGCCAGTCCTGATCCCATTAAGCTCCTTGCTCAGAAGCTGTTTACTGAGGAGCATGTCCGTTTGGCAAATCAGCAGAGTGGAGATCAAAGGTTCTGTGGTAAAGAGACACCAGCTTCTTCCGCCTTACAGACCAACTGGTTGCGGCGCACAGGCTGGGAAACGACATTTAGAGACGCGCATCGCGATATTCTAGTTCGCCTTACGGAGCTACCTCACTGCACGGCTAACCGGTCCTCACCTCTCCGTGTTGTTGAAGGAGAAGTCATCTTCAGTCTGGCTCGTGACGAGCGTAAGCTGGTAGATATGATGGCCGCACTAGATCGTCTCCTGGATCAATGCCGTGAGACAGTCCGGAAGGCGGATGTCTGTTTGAGAAGGTGGCTTCGCGGCAGATTCCCAGACCGTCCTTACAAGATGCCCTTCGAATTGGTTGCAAAGTCATCTTCCGAGAAGATCTACCGGACAGAACTGAAGCGCTTTGTCTGCTTCTGGCTTCGACTATTCCGGTTATTGCCGACGATTATACAGAAAATTATAGGACATGGGCTGAAAAAACATCAGTTTAGAGCCTTACGGGAGCTCTGGGTGAATGATATATGGCAGTCTGCGGAACATATTGACTCAGACCCTGCTGTTGATAAGGATGAAGGACACGATGAGGACGAAGGGGAGTACGATCCAAGATGATGACGACGATAGCGATGAAGACGAAGGTGGGGATGATGAAAGATACGACGAGATAGAAGATGAAAGTCAGAACAGGGTAATTGTGGGAAGCGATGGCATATTCTCGACCAATGTCGACAAAGGGCCATCTGTGAATCGTAGCACTCAACCCTTGAAAATTGGCAGTCCTTTCCTCGATCAAGCGCCCGACATGGCGGGGTAGTAAGACATGTGGGATGGACAGCAGGCAACAAGCTCAATGATAAGGGCGGATAAATGCGGCTGTATGTCAGTTGTCATTTAGCGCCCGTCAGTTGTGGGGAGCTGCAAAGCCAACCTCGCAATATTAGACTCGTTTAGTCAAGATCGGCCCGCCCTGGTGTAGATCCTTGAGCGGCGAGCGGAAGTGGAATCTCAGTGGTAAATTGTGCTGCCTTGGTCATCTGGATATCACCTCGTCAGCCCATCATAGCCCAACCTCGGATGGAAGAGCCTACTGATGACCCTTGGGAATAAAGCCATCGGGAGCTCTTTAGTTAGTGCGGCTGATGAATCAAGACTATCGATTCTCACAATGAGGCCTTCTGCTGCAGATGGTCATTGGCTTAGGTACGAAGAGATCAACCAGCATCAATTTAAAATGTCATGTCAGCCTCACCGGACGAACGGAAGCGTATCCGTTTGCGAGAAAATAACGTGTAAGGAGAAACAACAGATGAGGTGCGAGAAGGGGCACGCGGCATATCAGAAGAAAGAATCCCTGTTATTGATGTAAAATATGACGAACATTAGTCCGCGTCATCGCAATCTCTTACGTGGCGTAGATGTGTTCTCCATGCTGTCTCTTTTCTCTTCTTTTGAGAGCAGTGCAGTCACATTATGATTCGTTGAAATATAATTGTTGGCTGCATGGTCGCGCCAGGCATGGATGAAAAGGGAAGTGGCTGCATATTTTCAACCCCCGCAGATAACAAATCAACAGGCCGCGACTACCAGAACCTCTGCACTCATCCCTGAATTGTGCTCTGTGACCCTTGGAAGCTATTAACCCCGTCTTTGATTGAGCGCCGGGCAGGGCGGGGTAATAAGACATGTAGGACTAAGGGAGGCAGCAAGCTCGATTACAAATCGTGTGCCACTTGGCACCTGTTAACTATGACCTGACCAGATGCCAAGATTCAAGAGTGGGGAGCTGAAGGGTCGAAATGAACAGCTCCCGCGCCACCTCTCAATATTACATTCCTCTAATCTATGTCGGTCCGCCCCGGTGTATAGCGAGTGGAAAGGCTATGCTAGCCCCATCTCGTAATAATGGAAAATCCTGTTGTTGCTATAGTCGCTATAAACCGAGTGACGGGCCCAATTCATCTTGGCCAATAAATCGAACTAATTGACGATCACGGCTCAAACAATGTAGGAACCCCGCCGTATCACCGTATTGAAGCCGACAAGGCGATAAGCTAAATTTTAGATTTGCGGGGAGCCGATTTGAGTTAGTCCCTGCAAGGCATGGCCTGGAGCCAGTGACGTGAACTGACAACTGAGCGGTGGGGCTAGAAAAATAAGAGCAGCGTATCCGCGATTACTCCACATTTTTTTCTTTCCAAGAAATAGGGAACAAGGATTTCCAAAAAAGAAATTTAATAAAAATTCAATATCAGCTCAATATCATGCTCTCCACCTTTTCCAGCTGATTTGACACGTATCCCTTGGCAGCGGATGCATACTAGTTAGCTGGTTCTGTCTGGCTCGTGGTTATGGCTGAGGCAGTGGCTTTCAATCGTGGCTAAGCCAAGTTGGCGCGAGGATTGAGGTTCAGGGGGCACGGATCGTTTAGTGGCCCGGGCGTCAAGGAGAAAGGCGCAGAAGGGAGCCTTTTCTTTCCTCCTCGCATTCCTCTGATGACGGAATGTAATTTGTAATATCAGAAAAGCACCAAGATCGTCGCTGATTCCACTTGTATGGGCTTGACGAGATTGTGGCCGAAGTTCATGAAAAACGAGAATGTAAATTTAGCGCTAACTAGTGCTTTTTAGGCTTAACCTTAGCCCCGGGTGTAATAAAACTCTTCCCTTCCACTGAAGACGACGACGACGACGACGAATCCAAGCTCCTGCCGTATGAGTCTCCCATATTTCTTCTGGATTTCTGCCTAAATGAAATGGTATCACCTTCAGCCCGAAGACTACACTGTGGGATGGGTCTGCGCCCTCCCAGTTGAATTTGCAGCCGCGCAGCAGATGCTTGATCAAGAGCACGAAGACCTACCTCGCGATGACTCCACCGACACCAACTTGTACACGCTCGGCCGTATGGGAAAACATAACGTCGTTGTCGCATGCCTCCCAGCGGGCCAGACGGGAAACAACAATGCTGCCGCCGTCGCCGTCCAGATGAAGTCGAAGTTCACGTCAGTCCGGTTCGTCCTGATGGTAGGAATCGGAGGCGGCGTCCCAAGCGACAGCGCTGACGTTCGGCTCGGGGATGTGGTGATCAGTCAGCCTGGCAAGCAGTATGGAGGAGTGGTTCAATATGACTTTGGAAAGACTACGCCAAGCGGATTCGAACGAACCGGCTTCCTTAATACACCACCCACTGTCTTACTAAACGCGCTCTCAAAGCTTCAAGCCAATCGGGTTCTAGGCAGGAGCAGCTTGGCAAAGTATTTGTCCTCCTTCAGTGGTCGGCCGGTGTTCGCTCGCGACAATGCAGGAACCGATATCCTGTTTGAACCGACATACAAACACGTCGGAGGAGAGAAATGTGAAATGTGCAGTCAACGCAGATGGATCAAGCGAAACCCACGCGGGAACCAAGAGATTGCAATTCACTATGGCACGATCGCTTCGGGGAATCAAGTTATGAGGGACGGTGTCATCAGAGACACGGTTAGCTCCGAGCTTGGCGGGGTTCTCTGCTTCGAGATGGAAGCTGCAGGACTAATGAACAGTTTTCCGTGCCTTGTTATCCGAGGCATCTGTGACTATGCGGACTCTCATAAGAACAAGATGTGGCAGCCTTACGCAGCAGCGACTGCAGCTGCGTGTGCCAAGGAGATCCTGTCGGTCATCCCTGCGGAGGAGGTAGCCACAACATGTACTGTCAATGAGGCCATCGATGATGTACGATAACAATTCCCTTGTCACATGGAAATTTGTGGCTGATATCTTGAACCTTCAGTTGATACGGGAGAAGTTTCGGTCTGTTATTGATAGTGTCGATCTAGAACTGTTCCTTCCGACGCTATCGGTAGCTGATCAAGACCGTTTATTCGCAACGCCGCTTTTGGAGGATGACCAGCCGATGTTTTACTGGATCCTTAGAAACGTGGACTTTGAACGATGGAACTCTTCCGGTTGCTCTCAAGTTCTTTGCTTGTCTGCAACAGAGCCTGCACCCGAATGCAATATTCAAAAAGTGTCATCACACATCGTGAGCCAGGAAAAAAGCAAAGCTTCGAACTCCCCGCACTTTGTTCTGTACTTCTTTTGCTCGTTGGCGCCTGGGAAGGAGATTATGCGTGTTCTTGTCCACACACTTCTTCACCAAATTGTTCGCTGTTCATCCGATATAGCAATCGTCAGAAGATTCCTTTACAGTCTTCTGGAAGGCGTTTCTCAGGAATGGGGCTTGAAAGGTGAAGAACCTCCACAGGCGATCATTAAGAAGCTGCTCGAAGTTTCAAACGACGACCTTTGGGATGCTCTAAGGACAGTTCTAGATTGTGAACAGAGTCGGGAGCTGTCGATCGTCGTCGATGGACTAGACTGTGTCCAGCACCAGCGGGGCGAATTCATCCGTGCAGTTCGTTCGTTCGTCAAGCATCTACAGCAACGGCTGTCGAAGGTCATGGTACTGCTCACAAGCCAGAAACAAGCTGACGTCAAAGAGGCATTTGAAGGACTCCCGTGTATTGAATATGATAAAGAAAGACTAGGTATGGTTGTACCCGATAATTTGAGACTAAATTACGCTCACCCCAATAACCCGAAGAGTGCCTTTCTAGCCTTAATTTCGATAATACGCGTTTGAGCAAGATCTCGAAAGAGCACAAAGGCTCCTGCGATTGGCTCTGGGAACGCCCAGAGTACCTAGACTGGTCAACATCACCTCGCTCCTGCCTGTTACTGATAGAGGGAAAACCTGGCAGCGGCAAGAGCACTCTTACAAAATATTTCTCCAACAATCTCGAGAAACGGAGGCCAGCTGCAGAGTCTGCTATTGTGGCCAGGTTCTTTTACAGCTACAGAGAGGGTGAGCTTCAACGAAGTCACTGCAGCATGCTGCGGTCGGTTCTCTACGATGTTCTGCGCCGTGACCAGACGTTCTTTTACCACCGCTTTCAGACTGAGTATCGAGCCCAACCTCGCCGTGGGCTTCTCGTTGAGTGGGATTACGATTCATTGAAGGCAATTCTCAAGTCATTACAGGACCAATCGCCAGCGAAACCGCTGTATCTAATCATTGATGCAGTGGATGAATCTGAGGATAGGGACAGACGCGATGTTCTCAATATATTATTCGAACTTTGCTCCGAGACGAAATGCCGCACCATGAAGGCATTCGTTGCCAGTCGCCCAGTAGGAGAGATCGAACTCCGCAGAAGCCGAGTTCAGAATTCCATAAAGTTGCAAGATGTGACGAAATCCGCCATTTCCAGTTTCGCTTGCTCCTTCCTCAAGGATCTCCAATTTACACGTCTCTTTGATCAGGCAACGGAATATATCGTTGAAAACGCTCAGGGGGTCTTCCTCTGGGTAGATCTAGTTGGAAGGGCACTGCTAGACCGCGCGGAGAGGGGTTCTTCTGAGGACGACATCTTTGGATTCCTTAGAAGCCTCCCAAAGGATCTGAAAGACTTTTACAGGCACATGTTTAAGAAAATGATCTTGGAAATGAGGAGAGAAGAGAAAGATATTCGGGATGGGATTAAGATGTTCCGGTTCGTCCTCTACGCACGCCGTTCTCTTACGGTTAGCGAACTACTCCATGCTCTTGGCGTTCCGGATGATCCTAACACGGCATTCCCTCCTTTGGATGATTCTTTTGAAAGATTTATCCCTTCCAAGCAACGCATCCACTTTTGCGGTGGCAACTTCTTAGAAAGCAAGCCACATAATAGTACCAGCACACTAGCTCCCACTTTTCAAACCTGAGACTTACAACTCTGCAGGAAATGAGATAGTCCAGGTCATGCATCAAACGGTCCGCGAGTTTTTCCTCCATCCTGATGGAGACGTACCGCCGTCTGAGTTCGGGATGTGCGAGAAGGATTCCCACATTTGTATTTCAATAATTTGTATCCGGTATCTGATGCTTTGTGCCACAAATACGAACAGACTGCTGCCGGATGTCAAATCTTGGACTTCAGAGCATTTTGAAGATTATGCCCAATCCTTACACCAAAGGCCACTGGCAAACTACGCGCTGTGCCATCTCAAATATCACATCGACGGCAGCAAGGAAGATGAGAACATCCGATATATCACTTCTCAATTCATTGACAAATTGGCCCATAATCCAGCCATTTACTTACTGGAGAACTGGGTTGGTTCAGAACTGAACAAACTTCTCGTGGATAAAGAACAGGGTACTGCCGCAAAAGACTTCAGAAACAAAGTCATATGTGCTGCAGCTCGGAAGGGTTTTTCTACAGTTGCTGAGATGCTATTAGCTGTTGGGGCAGACGTTAACGCGAGAGATCAGGGGAACACGCCGCTATTGTGGGCGGCATGGAGTGGACACGAAGCGGTGGTCAGTCTGCTGGCGGACAGGCCGGACGTCGACGTAAATTCGAGGGCCAGCGACGGCCGAACGCCATTGTCGAAAGCAGCAGAAATGGGGCACAAGATGGTGGTCAAGCTGCTACTCGACACCGGCAGAGTTGACCCGGACTCCAAGTCTCAGGGGCTAACGCCGCTGTCGTATGCGGTCGGTGGTGAGCACGAGGGGATAGTTAAGCTGTTACTCGACACCAAAAGAGTCGATCCGGATTCCAAGGAGCCTGTATACGGAATAACGCCGCTGTATATTGCGGCCGGTCGTGGGCTCGACAGGGTGGTTAAGCTGCTACTCGACACCAACGGAGTCGACCCAGATTCCAGGGATCATGTATACGGCCAGACGCCGCTGTCGATTGCGGCATGTTGTGGAGACGACGCGGTGGTTAAGCTGTTGGAACCGCATAGCAGCTTATCTCAATGATATATCTAGTGGCTGGGCTCGTCATTAACAATTTCACTACATCGGCTCCAACTCCGGCACAGCACAACACCACAATTCCAGGAAACCAACGGCTTCCTATCCCAGCTGCGCGGCTGAATCACTAGCGATTCCATTTGAACTCTCATATTAAAAAAACAGCGCTAATGAACAAGCATAGTGTCGCAGGCCGGACATGGCCTCAACGAGCCTCAGGAACAACAGCCCTTAGTAATCAAGCTGGGTGATTTAGGCGCCGTCTAGGCGCACAGGACCTGTGTGCTCGGGGCACATTCCCCCCTGTCAGCGGGCTAGGGGCACAGTCCCCTGACTAAGCATTCATCATTTATGGGATGTTGAGGGACCGATTTTCAGGGGCTAAGCATCTTTATCTTGATCTCTGTATCATTTTATCAATTAACTTAAATGGATCAATTTCCGGATGACTGCTTACCTCCTGAGCATACATATGCATCTCGAGATGATCTATTCCAAGCGATCAATCGCTGGGCAGCACCACGAGGCTATGCTTTTGTTACCGGAAGGTCCAACAAAGGCAAGTCTGGGAGACTTACAGTTTACTTCACTTGCGATCGTGCCCGTCGGCCTCCAAGCGACTCAAGAAGCCGTATTCGAGCAACCTGCACTCGAAGCACCCTCTGCCCCTTCTCTATCACCGCAAAGGAATTACCCAATGCATCTAGCTGGGTTATACGACATCGATCGGATAGTCAATATGCTACACATAACCACACGCCAAGCACCCATCCCACTGCTCATCCTGTTCTTCGAAGGCTCTCGAAAGACGATAAGTCAACAATCAGCAATCTTACAAAGACTGGAATCAGCTCAAAAGAGATCAGAACCTATATGCGACAACATTCAAATTCCATTGCAACTCAGAAGGATATCTCCAACAGCATTGCAGAAGCTCGACGATCATCTCGCTTTGGCCAGAACACAATGCATGCTCTTATTAACCAGCTAGACCAAGAAGGCTTTTGGAATCGTATGCAGGTAGATAGTGAAGGACGGGTTATAGCAGTTTTATTTGCTCATCCTGAATCACTTACCTATCTGCAAGCATATCCTGACCTTCTTCTTCTAGACTGCATATATAAGACGAATCGGTATGGCATGCCGCTTCTCGACATTATCGGCATTGATGCCTGTCAACGATCATTCTGCATTGCTTTTGCATTCCTCAGCGGCGAAGAGGAACAAGACTACCAATGGGCTCTCGAACGACTGAAGTCTTTATATGAGGTCTGCAATACAAGCTTTCCGTCTGTCATTATTACGGACTGTGCTTTAGCTTGTATAAATGCAGTTGCTATCTGCTTTCCATCTGCATCACTGGCTTGACAACGGCACACTCTGGCTGTCTCAATATTATATGATCGAGCGAGCAATTAAGCTCCGACGCCATCTGGAGGGGCTCATTGACATTACGATTCAATCAAGCAGGAAATTTCAACGGCCCAGATCTACCCGGACCCAGCCGCCAAGCCAACTCCCTCGATGTCTGGAGGAAGCAAATCTACTGAGTGACGCAGACTGGGATGCCCTCAGTTGGTTCAGAGATATTCTTAGAATGTTCGATTCTTGCCTTTTGCGGCTTGAAGGGGACTGTCAGCTCCGAGTTCGTAAGGGAGGCGCTGAAGCTCAATATGGAATTATTTGGCAGGTTGCTGTCGCATACGAATTCCTCCTTTCTACGCTGGAGAAAGCAAAGACTGAGGCAACACATCGGGTGGAACCTAGCTACTATTCCTCGTGCGTCAATTCGGCCTGGGCCAAGCTCAACAAGTACTACACCGAACTTGATGAGACGCCAATATACTATGCAGCCACGGCTCTCCACCCCGGTATACAGTGGTCGTTCTTGACAAAAGCCTACGGTGAGAAGGAGGAATGGCTTTTCGCGGCACGCCAGCTCATCCAAAAGCTCTGGGAAGAGGAGTATCGCGACCTTCCCGCTCAGTGGGAAATTTCGAGCAGTAACCTTCCTGCCGCGGTGAGGGCGCGTGAGTACAATCCAGTTGATTCCTTCCAAGACGAATTAATATCATCCACCCGCCACGGCCATGACGAAGCCACAGACGAACTGGAAAGGTGGTTGTCTACAAAGCAAGACATATACACTACATACGACAATCCTCTGGAATACTGGTCTGCAAAGAGATTTGAGTATCCGCGAGGGGCGAAAATGGCGATTGACATCCTCTCGGTCCCAGCAATGGCTTCTGAGTGTGAGAGGACCTTTTCTTCCGCTGGTAGTATGGTTTCGCCCAAGAGGTCGCGCTTAGATGCAAGCACAATTGCCGTTACTCAGACGGTAAGGTCGCGGTTACGGGCTGGGCTACTAGAAGCGTATGAAGGTTTGCTGAAGGAGGTGGGCGACGACACGGCCGAGGATTAGCCGACCGTCTATCCACCGAATCTATGTACATCTACATATAGCCTACATCTATCTATCTACATTGCAAATTATGACTAAGCATCTATATCTATCTACATAAGGTGCCGGTAGATAGATGTAGATAGATGATTGCTGTCAGCAATCATCTATCACGTCTCTCAAAAACCTCAGCTGGAGTTAAAAAGCAGGGGGGTTTTGGCTTAAACTTCCTTGTCAGTCAATGGTTGGCTCAACGCACTGCGCAGCCGCTGGTTATGGCTACTTTCCCAAGTTCATGGAGAGGAGAGTGGGGAATTATAACGGACCTAGGGCAAGGCTGAAGATGCCGATATGATGTCTTATTGAGCGAATACAGTAGAGTTTTGTCTATCAAACTGTAGGTTTTTCATGCTTAGATAGTGAAGTACTAAGATGCTATTGGCGTTAGGGACATGATAAAAGGTTACGATCACGCTCTCCATATTCTCGTGTTGTCACTCTCGCACAACCTGGGCGATCTAATAGCCTCATCCATGAGATCCTTGTTGAAAATTCACTATATGCGATTCATGACAAAGATGAAACTATATTCAAACAACGCCACCTTGAGCAGCGCCTTGTGCCCACCGCCCTATCTATGGCCATACTCTATTGTCGGAAGAAATCAGCCTACGGCTTTGCGGACTTTTGATGGCGACCTGTCATCGACTTCATCCATGTTGATAGACATCTCCTACACACTGGAATGATATTGTGCTTCTAGTTTGATGTGAAGATTTGCATAAAGCGTGTATGATGAAAGGGCCTGGAACAACAGGTTTCAATGTGAAGTCGACCGGAACTCATTAAAACCCCGACCAACTTATATTTCGCCTACATAATACTGCCTCTCTAACTGGCGCAGGATCTTTCCAACCACCTCCTCTGCTAGCTTGTCAATATCCTGAGCATCAAATCCTTTCTTCAAAATGACGTTGTCCCAACGGACGTTGCTCCCCTCACTATCCTGGAGAGAGTATTGGTCTTTATTCACAAAACGCAGGTATACATGTCCGCCGGGATCGCCTGGAGATATTGATTGGATTGAATTCTTCAGAGTTCCAACTACACATCGCTCATTGTTCAACTGCAGTCGACGCCTGCGCTGTTTGGTTATTCTATGCTCTGAGCGTCGTGAACGAGCCCGTGGTACTTCTATCACGTAAGTTTGTATGTCCATTTTCAGGTCATGGCTTTGGAAACTCACTTTGTCGATAGCGAGCCATCTTCCTCGAATACTTAGTTGCGGTTCCAGACATACATACATTCGAAAGACGTGTCGTCAAGGTCAGACTCGAGCGGCTGTCGTAGAGATGGTGGGGCGATGCGGGGGGTTTCCCAAACGGCGGCCCATGACTATGGCAGGCTATCCCTTTGAGCGGTACAGCCCTTCAGGAGGTCACTGGCCCCACTTTACTTAGTCACAAGGTTAGTACGTGCGGGGTACAGGAAGTTCGTGAGATATTCAATTTTTGCAAAATACCACCAAAAACTCTTGCTAATTGATATCTATTGAAACGATGAATTCCCCACCAATTCTTGATGAAATACAAGTGAAGGAATATGACTTCGATGATCATAGCTTTCACACACATGCACAGCAAAGAGGCCTAGGTCCCGCCGGAATAATAATTAACCCTCCCGAAGAAGCCGGCGGCCACAGCTTCATCCCTTTCAACGTAGAAGATCGTGACTTTCACATCAACATACTGCCCCCAACACCACTCGAGCTATTCCAGCTTTTTACACCTATATCCCTCGTACAGTCATGGGTCTACTACAGTGAAAGCTGGGTCTCTCATCTTATAGAAATTGGCGTTATTGATAGCTACAACTCGGCCATTCCCAACCACTCGCGGATCAACAAGTGGGACGGGCTCTCGGTTGCGCAAGTGTATATATGGCTCGGGTTGCTGATTTACCTAGGAATTCATAAGGAAAATACGATCAAGAGCTATTGGAGCTCCCCTTCCATAGGTGTTCAGTCCCCCCTGCATTCAGTCATCAAGTTCATGCCTCTATGGAGGTTCGAGATAATTTCACGCTATATACGGACTTTTGACCACACCCTGCTTGACCTACGCAATGAAGAGGATCTTCCGAAGGCATTCCAAGCTGCTGAACCGTGGTCTGATCTGATACAGAAGGTGTCAGCCCAGCTCTATATACCAGGGAATAACGTCACTGTGGATGAGTGTATGGTCCCTTTTACAGGCAGGAGCAAGGATACAACCCTAGTCAAGAATAAGCCTACGCCCGTAGGGTTCAAAGTCTGGTTTATCGTCCAAAACGGCCTCTTTATCCGGTGGCTGTGGCATGTGAAAGCATCACCATATACCGCTGTTATCGTCGAGCTGCCAATGAAGAAGCCGGCTGCCAAGCCGCAACAAGGGAAGAAGGGGAAGGGAAGGCCCAAAGAGACTGTAGCCCTTAGCAATACAGCAGGAGTCGTTATTCACCTAGTTAATATGCTGCCAAAGCAGACATATCACGTCTTTATGGATAACCTCTTCTCCTCGCCCAATCTCTTCCGTGCCCTTCGAGAAGCCGGTTACGGGGCCACAGGCACAGCCCGCCCTAACTGTGGCTTCACCAAGGAGCTCAAGCTTGCAAAAGGGAAGGATAAGGCAGGTGCCTCAGGCTTTAAGTATAATGAAGTAAAGTCGATCCCTACAATTGATGGCCTCGTACGCCCGAGGGACTTATTTATATGCATTTCCCTTACTAATTCGTCCTTCCTAGGTCGCTCAAATCGCTTGGAAGGATAATAGCCTCGTGTTATTTCTCTCTACCGTATACAGCGGTGCCGATGACCAACGCACCCCAAAGAGAAGGAAGAAGCCTGCCGACAAAGGGGCACAATCCAAGCCGATACAGGAGACCTTTGGTGATGCCGTAATAAAGCTTATTCCTATACCGACTGTATCTGCTTCTTATAACGATGAAATGAATCATGTAGACCGAGGAGATCAGATAAGGTCCTATACGAGCTATGGGCACCGATTTCGCCGTGGCCCGTGGCAGGCTCTCCTTTGGTCCTTCCTTCTTGATGTAGCACTTGCGAATAGCTTCATTTTGCAGCTCAAGACCTCACAGCCGCGGTGGCCGCCTTACAAGACCCTCGAGAGCTGGAAGAGGTGCATTCTGACGCCCTATTCATCAAATTTGCCCAAGAAAGCGGCGCAAGGAAGAGACCTCGGGCAGGGAAAGAGGAGGACATGAATGATACCCAGTCACGGCAAAATCACCTGCAAAGAGATATCAATCATGTCAACAGGGGGATATTCTCAGATTGCCTTGCTTGTAAAGGCTTCAGGCAGGGGCAGCCCCGACCTTTTAAGAAAAGGAAGGTTGAAAATACTCTCTTACAGCCGATAACAGCTAATACACGAAGTCGGCATCGAGGAGGCTCAGGTAGGCAGACTTGGTACGGCTGCCGAGTCTGTAAGGTAGCTCTTTGTAACGATCAAAACTGCTGGGACTTTTACCATCATACAAATTAGTATGTGGGGAGAAGTACCGTTAGTTTTATTCATTTTGATTGGTCCTACATCCCTGTCGTGACCCCGCTGAAGGGCTGTACCGCTCAAAGGGATAGCTCAATCTTTTGCCCTGTGGCGTTATGGTTAGGTGCGACTGTTACAGTTTAGAACAGCCATTCAGTAGCAGCTCATACCGAACATGCCGAAGCTTCAAAGCACTAGTGCGCACTTTTAGTTCTCTTTAGATCCGATCTGCCTGTATGTATGTAGTCAGCGGAGAATGCCGAGAGTAGCTTATGTGTTACCGACATACCTAATTAAGATAGTTCCACGCGTTGTGCTGAGCCTCTCACCTGATACAGAACAACTTCACTAAACCTTAGATCTGATTTATGGAAAATATTTACAATTACAGACCGCTAAAGTTAAACCTCGTATTTAATAAACCACACTGCCACAGGCTCTTCGGCGATCCCAGCTCTCCTGCTCTAAAACGTAAGTAGTAATTTGAAATTTCAAGGGACCTGTAGTTTTATGCCACCGGTAGTGGCTCGAGAGTCCACTAGAGACTGAAGTCCCATGTGACCTAGAAACGGTAGGTATGATAGCTAATCAAGCTTTCACACGCCGACCATCCTATGCTATCATCTCATCAACTGTTCCCGGACGATTATCAGACCCCTAAAATGAGATATCCTCGAAAGAAACACATTTTTAGCTTACACGAACAAACTTCTTACACTGGTAACAACTGCAATACTAGCCGCACCATTGTAACCCTAACGTTGTACTACTGCCGAGCGGCAGCATTTTTGGAGATGGGCCTCGGATCCCTGCTACGCTTAACTCCGTTGTTTTAAGCTCCACCCACTTCACCGTTCTTGCTGACGCGATTTCGGGCTAGTAGTGAAACTCTAAAATGCAATAATATTACAAAAATGGGCATCTGCCAACATGTTCCTTGCAGACGCCAAAGCACGTGGCTTGACCTCACGGTACTTTCGGACCTTTTAAAAATCCCGAAAGTGAAAACTTACAAAAGTGCGCTCGGGATTTGGACAGGATTTGAAATCAGACTCTGGGTCTAGTGCGCGGTTCAGGTTAGCTCTAATCTCTAATTCAACGGTGGACATAGGTTTGGCAGTAGATCCCAATTACTGAATAGATGCATCTCGATCTGGCAAAGACAGATGGGAATAGGTTCATATCGACAAGGCAAACAATGCAGAGGTTCCCATTTTTATCGGAATGTCAAGGCTAACAAGCGATTATTGCTATATGGTAAATCTTGGACTGCGCATTATCAAAGTCTAGGTATCGCCGTGAACTGACTGGTGACTGACTAGCCAGAAACTGTGCTTTGATCTGTTTATGATAGCACCTGGCTGCGAAACGCTAACAACGATATTAAGTTTTCAGGGATTTTTTTGACTGCAAGGTCATTAGCGACTATCGTGTCTCGTATTCTATTATGGGAGTTCGGATGAATTGCTCCTCGTACTTGTGATGTTTGAAGTTAGTTTGCAAACCTTCCAACATCCCCTGTCATATTATGACTGGGCTGGACCGCGTATCGGCCAATGGAAGAATAGGTACGCGGCTTCGTGTAGACCTGTGAAGATAATCCGGTCTCGGTATGTTGAATAGATTTAACGTGCTTGGAATGAGTATAAATAACAGCCTGGATCAATCGTCTCATCCTAAATTCTCTTCTTATCACACTCATCACAGTCCTCTATTCACCCACTCTCAACAATTTCACTCTTACAACAAGTCTAACGTCTATCTTTAACTTACACTCAAAATGCACCCTCAGTCGATCTTCAGTGCCTTCATGGCTCTTGCTGCCACTGGAATGGCTGCTCCCACCGAGGCCCTCAACCACCTCCACGCCCGCGCCGTGGTCAACCATGACTCCCTCAATCCCATAGGCAAAACTATCCGAAACGATAAGGTCGGCGCCGCTATCGATAGGTGGCAGCCTTTGCTCCACATTGCCGACGGTTGTCAGCCATACACTGCTGTTGACGCCAACGGCAACGTCAGGTACGTAATCCATCGTTCAGGCCGGATTGATCTCAAAGCTTACCTTGCAAATAGCGGTGGACTTCAGGACAGTGGTAGCAAGACTGGTGGCTGTAAGGACACGACCAAGGGCCAGACTTATGCACGTGCCGGCATGCACAACGGCAAGCTGGCCATCATGTACGCTTGGTACTGGCCCAAGGACCAGCCTGCTGATGGCAATCTCGTCAGTGGCCATCGCCATGATTGGGAGAACGTCGTCGTCTTCATCGACAACTATGAGTCTCCATCGGCTACCCTCTACGCTGCTGCTGCCTCCGGCCACGGTGACTACAAGAAGACTAAGAACCCCCAGAGGAGCGGCAATAATGTCATGGCTGAGTATTTTACCAGCCTTGGTAAGAACCACGAGCTCCAGTTCAAGACTAGCCCCGGCCGTACCTACTGGATTTATGAGTGGACTGCCATGACCCCCGCTGCTCGCCAGGGTCTCATTACCGGCCCTTCGGGTAACCCTGATGAGCCATGGGGTAGTGCCAACGTCCCTTTCATCGACGCTAACTTTGGAAACAACCTCGCCAAGGCCTGGTCTTGAAGGACCTGAGGAGGGGAGTAGAAACGATTGGCCTTTTCTTTCTCTTACTAGATCTTCCGACTTTTCCTGACAGATGATCTTGAAAATTGACTGGGTTCCCATTTCCTCATGAGTTATGGGACTGGTAGTGTTTTTTATAACAGACGAGTAGTTTTATATACTGCACTGGTAGTTTCAAATCCCTCGCCCGCAACTTGCCCGCCTTTCTATCTTCAGATTGGCCACCCAGCTCCTTCACTGGCTGTATATCTGTTGAAAGTCCCTTGTTCACGCCGAAGATGGCTGACTTGAAATTTAAGAAGTCACTTTCTGTAACATGCATCATCTTGCCGCAAAGACCGTGTTTGGAGTAAACAATCACCATAGCACTTTCGATGGCAACAGCAATGATTAATGAAGACCAGCGCAGGTCAGAACGTCCCTATGCGGAATACTTGGATCATGATAGTTCTATTCATGGGTTTGGTATTTTGCAGTAACATGGCCTGGGCCGCCTAGCTGCTCTCGAGGAAAGGGTCAAGCAAAAGCTCAAAGCCATCCTCCACTGCCTCGATCACAACTTGATCGGTAGTTTCTTTGTGTTGGTTCCTGGTTTGAATGTTGTGGATGTTGCGGATGAACGGGTTGCCAAGAACACCAGCGTGTGGCGCATAATAAAGGAAGAAACCTTTGTCATCACCTGTTCGATGGCGGACTCGTCTCCATGGACGCGTTCAACGAAGAGCTCCTTCATCACATCCAAGTCATGAGTAAAGTGATCAGTGAAGCAGGTTCCCGATCCAAAACGTACGTACTTCTACAAAGGTTTGGCTAGAAGCATACACATTTAACCCTGACGCTTACTTCTAATACACCCCATATTAGGCTTAATTGTATACCACATCGCTAGTAGCATGCCGCCTGCCAGTGGCTAGTGATGTTGTACAGTATGTACAACCGTGTTGTACATACGTACGTACAGAAAGAAAAAGTACGTACAATGGGATCCACAATACTCCTAATAGGGGAATATGTGGGTCATATTGTACAAATACGGGGGACTGTACAAAACTCTGTTGGCTGAGCAGCTCAACACACTCTGCCATTCTCTCCCGATTGAAGGTATCGCCAAAAAGATGGCGCCCACCCAAGCTAATGCTGCCTTCGTTTGGCGACAGTTTATCGACATCGGCCGCTCAAACTCCAAGAAAAGCAAGCGACAGCTGCCGTCATGCCAAAAGGATTTTGCAGCGACCTCTGTTGGGAGGCCGAAAGAGCATCTCGCTGCGTGTGAGAAATGGCAAGCCAAGCAGCGACAAGAGCGTCAAGCTCAAGATAACGCTGGCTATCTTCCCTCATATTCAGAAGCTATACAAAAGAAGATAGCCGAGGTCGGAATTCAGCATATCTTGCAGGACGAGAGTCACAGTTACGCCTATGATGCCGCCGCTGCTGTAATCGCCGGCGGTCGGCCCTTCAGCCTCTTCGAGAGCCGCCGTTGGCGTTATTTCTTCACTCGCATTAAGCCTGGCTGGAAGCCTCCTAGCCGCGCCGCCATCACGAGAATTCTTCCCGACTTCTATCAGGAACTCTATGACGAGGTTTTCAAACGCATTACCAGCTCAGAATGGTTCAACATCATATTTGACGCTTCCGATAATGTCTCGGGTCACAGAATCATTAATATCTCGGTACAGCTACCAGAAGGCCCAGCCTTCTACTGGAAAACGTTTGACACGGGAGACGAACAGCACACAGCGGAGAATTGGGTAAAGCTAATATGGGGAGAAATGCAGCAACTGTGCGGCGGTGATCCCTCCAGAATCAATTCTATCTGTACAGATACCGAAAACACGATGCGCTCTGTACACGGCTTGCTAGGGAGATTCCCAGAGCTCTCACATATCAACTTCTCTCTATGCGATTCTCACGGCCTTCAGCTTCTAATTAAAGATATCCTTCTTCTTCCATTCTTTGAGGATCTCTGTAATAACGTCAGAACCCTTCTCAAGTTCTTCTCACGGTCTAAATTACAATTGCAAAGATTGAGAATGTGCCAACACACAAGGTGGAACGGAGTAACTCGCGCGCTGATCAGAAGGAACCGGTAAATTGTTAGCTGTGACTGAGAAATCGATATACTAACTCGCTCGTTCCGAATAGTATAATTACAGGCTGGGGTTCTCAGTACAATTCTTTCTTCTCCCTCCTCCGTTCTCGAGACCCTGCCAGAGACTGGTCTATTCGAAAAGATGTACGGGATGGGCTGCGATCTCAAGATTGCCCCGTTCTCCTGCCCGAAGCGATTCGAATCATCAAAGACAACAGCTTCTGACTAAAACTGGAGGCTGCGATTGCTGTGCTAAAACCCGTGAACGAATTTCAACACGCTTCCGAGGCTGATGGGGCGGGAATCGCACACGTTGTAAATCGCTGGCTGCAAATCAAAAGCAAATGGTCTGAGATGGGAGAGGCTGATCAGTTTCCTGATATTCCGTGGGACGACATTGACGCTATATTCAAAGCCCGGCTCGATAAGCAAACGTACGATATACAGTGGATCGCCGATGCCCTCCGGCCTGATACAACAGGTCCAAATTCGAAACTGCCGCCTAGCGTCTTTGCGCGCGTACAAGAGTATTTGCAGAAACAGCTGAAAAACAACGACGAATATCACCGTGCCCTTTCCGAATTCACACACTTGCGAATGCGTACAGGCGGCCCAGACGGCTTGTTTAATAAGCACAGCGCTGTATACGATGATAGCTTCAAGCCAGCAATGGCGTGGCAGTGCCTCCTCAACCAGGGCTCGATTCTGGCTAGAGTAGCCGTGAAGGTAATGAACACGCTTGCGAACTCTGTGCCCTCAGAACAAAGTTTCTCTGCTATTAGTTTCATACATACGAAAGCTCGAAATCGCCTTACGCCCATACACGCTGACATGCAGGCCTTCATTTTTATGAACGACCGCGTATTAGATCGCCTTAAGGATCAGAAGTACGCCCATAAAAAGCGCTGGGCGGATCTTGAGGAGAGGGACTGGCTAGAACTCGAAGATTCATATCTCGAGTTATCTGTGAATGCGCAGGGCAAGAAGGTCTGGATGGATGGTGTGATGGCCTCCACCAGTGGAGATTTTGAGTGGGAGGGTGTATTACAGTCGACGGGTGATATATTGAGGGTTGGCACTGAGGTGGAATCAGAGGTTTGAGGCCAGAAGACGAGGACCGTGAGAAGCCTACTAAGTTACCAGTATTACCTAAAAAGGAAGGGGGAAATTCGTATGGTACATATTTGTACGTACAATAAAGTTGTACGTACGTACAGCGGCTAAAATACAGTACGTACGTACGTACGTGTACAAGAAATTGCATCACTAGTGGTGTCATCATCATCGTCGCCTTCCAGCATATCCCCAGCATCAACGTCAGCGTCAGGACCAACATCGACGAGCCAGGGAGGCCATGATGCTCTGTATAGTGCTGGCTTGAAAAGACTACGAGAGGCCCTCGAGGCCAAGTACGACCTTGTCAACATCGGCCATGTGTCCTACGCACTGGCCGTCGACGTCCATTGTACAGCAGGGAGTACACAACCAGACGGCGGAAGAGGGCCCACCGTCTGCCTACTCGCCGATCGCAATCGGGTTGCTGGCGAGTTTTATGGAAGCAACTACTCCTTCTATCCTCTCGGTTTCCACCCAGCAACAGCAGAACATCACATATTAACCGACTCAAACTAGACACTCGATACAGTATAAGACTTACTAATACCCGAGAAATTTATAATATAAGAGATTGAGATTCACTGTATCTAATTGCTTATTACTTCTTCTTGCTTATTGTCTAGATATTCTTCATAGAAGAGGTTGACCTTGTCGTCGACCCCTAAGTATTACAGCCAATTAGAATCTAGTGGATACATGGGGCATCTATTCAGCCAATTGCCGAATTTCGCGGGCAAGATCCATCCATTTTTGGATATATGGGGCATCCATTTAGCCAATCACTGAATTTCGCGGGCAAAATCCGTCCATTTTTAGCTAGTGCAAAATTACCCCACCCTAGATCTTACGTAAGGCACACTACGACGCAATGCATTGAACAGATCGCATATTGTCGCACTGGATGTGCTTAAAATGGATTGAAGGTCGGGTCATTCATAAGGAGCAGTAGTAGTGAGTTGATTGGTTCTATCTTCTGTGTGGGGTATTCCATCCCACAGGTTTTACTTTAAATCACCCAGCTTGATTACTAAGGGCTGTTGTTCCTGAGGCTCGTTGTGACCATGCCCGGCCTGCGACAGATAGGTAGGCTGATGTCTTGTTTAAGTTGTATCGAATGACTGGTGTTATCTCAGCTAGAAAGCTCATTTTTTACATAAGCCGGTATTTAGCCATAATGTTACGGCTTGGTTCACCGTAGGCTGCTATAAGCAGCTGCAAGAACCACTGTAATTGCTACAATAGCGGTTATAGTCCAATTTTTTGCCCTGTGGCGTGATGGTTAGGTGCGACCGTTACACACCGGCAGCAAGGCATTTAATCACCAGGCAATTAGATTCCTAAATCGCGTCAACTATCTGATCTAGAGGAATATATTATTATGTAGTTTATTCTTAAACTAGATTTATAAGGGTTTCCCCTGTAACTGTATTTTATTAAAGAAATAGCTAATTCTCTCCTTGCCGACCGGAATACGTAACCAATTAGCAAGCGCTAGGCTTATAACATAATAAAACGATACCTAAAGGTTAAGATATATTTCTTTTATAAATATAATTACTAGAGAGCCAAATATAAAGATCTAATTATTATTAGTAAATAGTTTAAGCTTAGTTACTAGTTAACAAATTATAAAGTGCGGCGCATGCCTATCACATACGCCAAGGTAAGGAACAAGAGTCATAATTAGTTTTCTATAAAAAGGATAAATATTTTATAAACGATTACTTAACCGAGGAATATAGATTAATACGTATTATTAGTCGAAGTTGTATTCTTATTAGTAATCGCGCCTAGATAGTATATTCTCTAATTGCTCATGACGCTTTAAACCATGTTCGAAGTCGCAATATGCCGTTTGGTCACCCCGGGCGTACGCTTCATACACCCCGGCAACGCCCCGAGCCGCGATCGGGAGTTCCTGGCGCCAGGGTTCCCAGGCCCAGGGAATGTCTCGAACCATGCCAGTGGAGAAGTCATGCAGCTCGATCTTGATAGCCCCGGAAGCCATAGTTCGAGGGGTTGTTCCTCCTTCGGCAGTAAACTTGAGCTCACCTTTTTCCCCTGAAATAGTCCATGTGAGATTAGGTTCGCCAGGAAATGGCGGGCCTCGGTGGAAAGTGATGAAAACTGTTGCGCCATTCTCAATGTATTGGGAAGGTCTTAGTAGGGCGCTTACGGAGACAAGATCTGGTACATCAGACTCGACAGTCCCAACCATGACACCCGTCTTCGAAGTAAGTCCAACTTTGGGCCGCTGTAGCTGTAGCTTACTGCGGATATCATAGGTGTCCCCGAGCGCATATTGCAGGAACTCCCACACTGAGAAGTGTTAACCTAACAAGAGTGGAATCTTGAGGAACCGAGAATGAGTGAAACTTACAGTGGCCGAATCCGATGGTGATCGCATTGCCTCCCACGGCTATCTGAGTAAAGTACCTCAAAGACTCTGGAACGGCGTTGTGGTTGCCCGTGCCTCCCCATGACTTCATGTCCGAGCTGAGGACCTTGCCGATGAGGCCGTCTTCTAACAATTTCCGCACCCCGTTAATAGGGGCAGTGACAGGACCCTGCAGTCCGACCACGCATTTAATATTCTGCATCCTGGCCAAGCTGGCAAGCCCCCGTACCTGAGAGATATTTGAAGCGAGTGGCCACTCTACAAATACCGCCTTGCCGGCAGAGATGCTGGGCTTGATAGTCTCGTAATGGCGGTCAACACGAGTGCTGCATACTACCAAGTCAATATTGGCATCCTGAGCAAGGTCGCTGGGATCGCCGTATGCTCGAGTGTCCGAGGGCAGGCCAAATGTCTTGATCGTCGAATGTGCTGACTCTACGCTCGAGTTGCAAAGGGCGACAATCTTGTAGTGAGCCTTGCCGTGACGGGAGAGGAGGTAGGGCAGGTAGGCTGCGGCGGCCCAGCTGCCGAGGTTAGCAGACAGGATGATGATTCCTAGCCGCATTGGAGCCATGGCATCGGTATGTTGGTGACTAAGTCTGAATTTAATCAGGAGGATTCTGACAGATCCAATGCTGGTGTGGGCAGTGATCGAACCAGCAGGGCCAATTTTCTGTAAAAGGTTTACAGTCCTACGATGATGGCGTTCGAGTAGGCCTGCTTTTATTAACGCAATTTTGCTTCAAGAAACACCTGACCTGCCACGCCTGACGCTTGGTTCATATTGCCCTTACTTCCGCCACTCCGAGCGAGGCTGATATATCTTAGATATGAATCAATAACTACTTCTTATTTCATTTACGTAACATAGTAATAGAAGTCCTTGCAGTTCTTACACCTACAAGTCGAGGCTTGGCAATCATTACACTGGTTTGCCTACCTTGCATGATTCTTTGCTACGTAGCACTCTGCAAGGATGCGCCAATCTAGCACTGCCGCTATCAAGGACCACCATGCTATTGAGTAAAAGAGAGTGCCCCCCTAAGAGCTCTACGAGTACTGATTCCTACCTATCACCTTAACGCTTGAAGTCCGCCCTCTGTGTAATTAGCGCGTCAGTAGGTTGCAGTAGCGCTAAACGTTAATAGAGGTACACCTACTTACAGCATTGGGCATACCGAGACATGGGGACCCAGGCTCTGCGTTGACTGTGAGTTCTTCGGCTTTCCGGAGAGGGTCGTTTAGATAACAGACAGCTCGATTGAATCAAGTAAGTCACCCAATGATACAGTTCATCTTGTAAATGGATAAGAGAGGAAAATTTAGGGCGGAGAATTGATTGATGTAAAGGGCTACCGTAGCAGAACCTTCATTGGCATAGAAGGCACCCCTGGCTGATGTGCCGGCCAGTTAACGAGAGAAAGTCGACAGTTCCCCACTTCTTTGATACCTGGACTGTCCACTAACACGTCAAGGGTAGTGATCTAGAACCCAAGGCGCTGATCCGCCGTAGGAATATCCTCTCTCTTGTGACTCCTGAAAAAACCCTCGAGATTGGTTGTGGCGACGGTAGGGTATTTCTGGCTATCAAGGTTATCCCCAAGGGTTGCAATTCCGTTTATGCACCAATACGCAAAGCATCTGAGCCCGGCTGTTAGTGCATCTCGGACCAAAACATAGAGAACTGGTAGAGGAAAGCTTACCCAGGAGCCCAAGTCATTACGTCGTTCGGATCCTTCTCGAACTGGCTCCTAACGGTGCTATAGAGCTCGTCAAGGGATCCAAGACGCTTTAGATGCAGGGTGCTTTGGTAATTTTCTCGTAGCTTGCCTTGATTTCCACGGCGCTCTTGCAATCCCCCCGGACTAGTTCTGTCAGCTGATTTGTTCTAGCACGCTGCCTGAGAAACGTTCAACCCACAGCGAAAGATGCTGGAGGCGTTCTTATCGACTATCAGAGCTGCGGTATAGGCCGCGGCGGTCTCATACGTCGTCAGCTCCCATTTCTCGTTGCCCGTGCCCCAGTAGCTAATTGTTTCATTGCTGCTATCAAAGATGTGGAAGAACGGACTCCAGAAGGTCTCCATCAGGGCGCCAACCAGAACATGAACTCCCATAACCTTCTTCTCTACCAAATATTTCTTGATGATCTTGGCCGACTCTTTGGGAAATAGCTCGCCATCCGGGACTTTGGTGTAGTCGACGGAAAAATCGCTAGGCACGTATCGCGGAACACCTTCCTTGACGCACGCGTCGATCAGGATTTTCTGGCCTCGAGTCATGACATCGGTGTCGCCGTAATAGCAGCAGATGAGAATGTCGCAACCGCGAGCCAAGGCTTGAGCGGCGTCCTCGTCATCATATTCACCCTGAACTATATCAATGTTGTAACTGTCAAGGGCTGCCTGTGGAAGTTTCTTTGGGCTCCTGCAGAAACCTCTGATGGTCACATCCGGATATTCCTGTAGTGCCTTGACCAGACACTGTGCAAATTTAGCTGTGAGACCGGCAACACCAACAACAGTCATGATGAGTTGTTAAAGCAAACCTCAGGACGTAAGGATAAGAGAATGAAACAACAGATAACCAATGAGGAGGAAGATAATTTTCGGTGTTGGGGAATGACGAGGTTAAAAAGCCCAAGGCAATACTAAGACTTTTGGAACTACTTAAACGGCGACATGGAACCTGAGCCTTTTTGCTGATAAATCAGCATTTCCCATGCATTACTAGTGGGTCGAGTGAGAGGGGGAGATAGAAAAGGGGAAAAGGAGTGAAATAGGAAAAAGAGAAGGGGGGGTGAGGTGTATGATCTTTTCTTTAAATTTCTCGACGTGAACTGAAGACTTTTGCTGAATATCTGTCACGTTCCAGTCTCTTATAGTACTTAGTAGGAGGGGGCAACGGCTGACCATCGCTTCGTGAACCTATTGTGTCCTATGGTGCGCCACCTCGTCCCAAAGATCTCGTAAGCACAAAAGTCCCGTCACACTAGCTTTTGCTGTTTGATAGCATGGTCAATTAGGCACAATATGCATATATTTTATCTGCGCCCCGGAAAGCTATTATATTGAAGTGCTTTAATTGTATCAGTAATCAAGACCTCGTCATAGACACGCAGCTCAGGGCGCGGTCTTCCTAAACTCAATCAAATTCTTGTCGCCAAAGGCTGACGCGAGACGCTCGTCTTGGATCACTCGCAGGTACCAATCCGTAGTCAGACTATATTTGCCCCTCAGCTCCGCGTCAATGACTTGAGCGAAGCCCCAGTACAGCCCCGCGACAACCGAAATGTCGGCCAGGCTAAGCTGCTGCGTGGCAATGTATTGGCGGCCTTGTAGCTGCTTCTCCAGTACTTCAAGGGATATAGTGAGACGTTGGAAGCAGGCTTTGTCGGACTCTTCGTTAAAAGAGGCCATGCCGTACCGCCACATGATCATGGTCGTCAGGGGCTCGAACAGCTCGTGGTCGGCAAAGCTGATCCACTGCCTGATGACAGCTCGCTCTCCTGCGGTGGAACCCAGCAGTTGGGCGCTTGCAGGGCCACACTCGGCAGCATATTGGGCGATGGCGTCAGACTCGAAAAGGGCGAGTCCTTCGTCAATGGATCTGAAAGTGGGAACTCTGCCCAAGGGGAAGTCGGCGAGGAAGTCGGGAGTTTTGTTCGTCTTGCCCATGACAAAGTCGGGGGCGTGGTCAATCGTGCGACCATTCATTGCTGCCACGGCCTGGACCTGTGTAGGGTGTCAGCGAGGGGCAAGGCAGATCAAGGAGACCGGATCCTGGGGGAAGCATTGGCTGGATTGGTCGCACTATACCTTCATGGCCCTGGGATTGAATGGGTAAGTCCAGATGGTTCCAATTGAGCCCATGATGGCAGATGGGATGGTTGGCGGATGTCGTCGTAGGTGAGTCAGCAAGCATGACAGTGGACGAGTGAAGAATCTGGAAAAGACGTGCGTTCAAAACCTCGAAGGTGCTCAAGAACGTCACGATGCGGTATTTATTTTTGCAGAACATACCAGCGCTCCCGTCCCCCGACCACTTTTATTGAGTTCCTTCTCTCAAGACTGAAGCTTGATTAGGTAACTCCTGACGGACGGTAGAGTTAACTCCATCAACAGGCCCCGCTCGTCCCCGTTCCGAGATTGACCCACCCCGGTGGCGCCGCAAGCGGAGCCTAGTCCCGTCAGTAACTTGCATTAGCTCCTGAAGTGGAAACTTTGGTTCGAGGTATTAGCGGAAACCAACGTCAGTTGGTTGCATGATTAAGGAGGATGTGACATGAGTACTTGTACACACAAGTACATGAGATAGTCGACTGAATACACTTTAATTTGCCAAGAGTCAAGATGTCTCACTACTTTGCAAACGTCAACTGTTGGCTAGACCATCTAGAGCAAAAGCAAGTGGTCATGGCCACTCGCCATGGAAGGTCGACCGGATCCACGGCCGACCGTAATATCGTAAGTGCAGTAGGGTATTACCAGGGAGAATAGCAAATAGCAAATAGTATTGAATTGAACCACAGAAATATGTCTAAGCAGCTTTCGGGCTTTCAGGAGGTAGACCTTTTGACCAGAGTACGCCTGCCCCGCGCGGGGCCCTCAAAGCGTAACGACAATCTTCTTTGCAGACACACCTTTGCGCTGTTTATCCATAGCACTCTGCACATCGTTCAGACCGTGTCCAGAAACGAAGGGATCGGGCTTAGCCTAGAAGGAGCCACTCTCTAGGGCTTCGGGAATGAACCTCTTCCAGATCCATTCACCGATATGTTAGTTGGGCTCCTGGATGATAGCAAAAGCAACGACTGCGTAGTACTGTCAGAATCACAAGCATTAGGAATCAGGTGGCTTCTCACCGTAACTAGGGCTGAATCGCTTGGTACTCTTGCTGCTCGGGAGGACGCTGGCAACAGGAACCTTCCTGTCAAGTCGGTCAAGGATGGCAGACACAGCATCGAAGCTAGCATCCTCGCCGATGGCATCATAGACTCCAATGAAGTCGGGTTTCTCGAGGGCGGTGGCAATGTCTTCGACAACGGTGGGAGACTTGTAGTCGAAGACAAAATCAGCACCCAGGCTCTCCACTAGTTTATGGTTGGCGGGGGAAGCTGTGCTGATGACTGCCACACCAGAAGCAGCAGCTAGTTGAATGGCCGTTGCGCCTACGGATGACGCGCCACCCCATATCAAGATGGTCTTCCCATCCTTAGCAGGCTTCTTGACCAAGGGCAGCGGCAGGTTGAGAAGGTTCTTGGTGAATAAACCGGCGCAGGCTGTCGAGATGGCAAGAGGAAGGACGACAGCCTCTTCGAAAGTCATCGAGTCGGGAATGGGAGATACCAAGGAATCAGTGGCAACTGGATAGCATTGGAAAGCCGAGTTGGCGGGGTTCCTGGTCATGAGGCTATGACAATGCCTGTTTCATCCAGCTCAAATATGAGTAATTTGTGCTGGCACCTCGGTCGTTCTATGAAGAGTTGAACTTACGCAATGACTCTGTCGCCCTTCTTGAAACGCGTGACGCCTGCTCCAACCTCCTCCACGAATCCAGCCGCGTCTTCACCTAGAATAAAAGGATACTCTGACAGATATCTCCCGTGGATCCTACATGTGTCAGCACACGAATCGTTGACCGTTGCATCGAAGGAGAAGCGGGAGACTTACTGAATCTTCCAATCCACAGGGTTCTGGCAGGTACACCGTTAGTTGGACTATAATTCCAGTCGAGATATTAAACAGGGAGGAAACCAACAATTGAGACAGCAGCATTGTTGATGACAATCTCTCCGGGGCCTGCAGATGGCTTAGGTGCTCCCCGTATGTTGAGAGGATAGCTGGAGGGTGAGTCGATCCAGGCAGCTTTGTTCTCGGCCATCGTGTGCGGTACGCTCTGTTGATTGCAAGTTGTGTATTTCCACGATGAGGAGAAGGTAAGCTGTGTGGGAGGGGAAATCAAGGGGGTCATATAGAGAGTGCTAGGATGCACAATTATCGAAGAACCCCAAGTCTTTTGAATTAGTAAGGCTTGTGGGCTTTTCGGTACCGTACACCATGTACTGCTGCCAGGCAAGAAATGGCTCTCCCGGACGGGCGCATGCTTACAATAATGGCACTTCCAGGTGGGTCGGATAACATTCGCACCCTTCTTGTAGTGTACTTTTCGTTGCCCTGCAATGTCTCAAGTATTTGACACCCCTGGCGTCGGCTTGCGCGGCACATGCTCCGGGTCCCACTTGGTTCAATATATCCATTGTCATTCAAGGCGAAGTAGCTTCCTATCTGAGTAATAATATAGATGGCATCTGTTCTGAGTCAATTCTGTTGGGATGGCAGGTACTCTTTCCCCATATGAGTTCCAGTAATTGGCTCATATCCCTGCAACCTATAAACTCTGTGTCCTCTAGTAGGTCAAGAGATGCTTTTCACTTGTTGTCTGTTCTACGTTAAGATTGAGTAACGTGTCAACTCGAGGTTGAGTAATAGCGCTCTGTGGCTTTGGTAGTGGACAGCAAAAGCCTACTAAAAGGGAGTGACGGGACTACGTGTGGGCTTCTACAATATACCAACTTCTTGAAGCTCAAGACGGCTGTTTTGTAGTTTTCCTTTGACCTCTACTTACTTTTCCCTTATTGACTCCAGACGCCCTCAACCCCCGCCCTGATACCTGCGATCAAGAATACCTCCGTCCTCGTCATCGGCGGCTCGTCTGGTATCGGCTACGGAGTTGCCAACAAGGCCCTTGCCGAAGGAGCCAGAGTTCACATCGTGTCTTCGAATCCCTCCCGCCTTGAGCAGAGCGTCGCTGCCTTGAAGCAGAAGCACATTGGAGCAGACGTCTCGAGCCAGCCATGCGATCTGGTGGACCCTAACGTGGAACGGAACCTCGAGAAGGTTCTCGAGTCCATCGAGCCGCTTGACCACATTGTCTACACCGCCGGGGACGCACTCGCCATCGTACCGCTGGCCCAGATAAATCTCGATTCGATTCACAAGGCGAGCCACATTCGGTTTACTGTTCCTCTTCTACTGGCTAAGCTTGCCCCGCGGTATTTGAAGCTGAACTACCGCCATACAATCTCACATACCCCAACCGCTTGTTCAGCTTGAACAAGTCCCGGACTGGCGACCAGGATAGGTCTGGGGGCCAAGGTGTCTGGATCTGGGAGGTTCAGCGAGGATAGGAGGAGCTTGAGGCCATGCCGAGCAGATCTGGCAATGCCGTGCTTTTTGCCCGGATGCTCCGATGCACGTTTAGGACTCAAAGCAAACCCGCATTTGGTACATATAATAGCTGCTTCAGGCAAATTGTAATAAAGGCTGAGCCTCTCGAGCTTCTGCAGCTTTGCTGGGGGTAAAATGGGATGGCTACGTTGTTCATGAACAGAAGAGCGGGCCATAATGACTAAGCATATATAAATATAATAGACAGGATGGAATGGCGGAGATGGAGTAGATATTATACGAAGATGATAAACACGTGAGTTTCAGTAGACAATGGTAATGAATGTTCTTTAGGTCTGGAGTAGTCAAGTTGTTGAACTCGACAAGGGTCAGCCGACGGAAACGCGACGCGTTTCGTGTTTTAGGTTTTCTAATTTCATTAGTGCGGTGCGAGAAACGCAGTGCGTTTCCATCAGGGAAAATATGGGTCAAAAGTTCTAGACGATGATTGGTCAAAAACAGGAAACGCAGTGCGTTTCTGGCGATAATTCTTGAGTAGGGATTTTTGGGCCACTCGCTTGTCTGGCCCACTCGCTTATCATACACGTTAAAAGTAATAAATTTTTTTATCTTATAGTACAGATTGCAGCCTATTGGGCTCTCAGGAGATAACTTAATTGATTTTAGTATGTAGTACTAGGCTTGAAAAATGCGAGGAGCTGGTTCCTTCCTTGTTTATGTATCAAGACACGCATGCCGTGCGTCCTCTATCTTTTGTCTTCTCGAGAAACCCACGATACGATACGTGCCGGTTGCAGTTGCACAGCGAGGCTGTCTGGACTATGTCATAACCTGCGCTTCCGTGCGTCTAGGCCCTGACTGCCGAGCCCTGGATCCATTCTTATTTTTTAAGTCCGATAACCTTTGCAGCGGTAATTCCAGGAAGGCCGAAGAGGCCGAGATCTTCACTCCCGCTCTCAGCCGCTTCCACTTACCTAACCTGGGTAGGTAGGAGGTACGGTACCCAACTTAATCTCCGAGGACCGAGAGCTGAGTCGCGGCATTCGGGTTCTTTCATCCATGCACGTGTACTTGCCCTGTCCGGCCAGCCGAGCAACTCATCGTACCAGCAACAAAGTCTTCGTACAAGGTAACGGACGAAATGCCGTCTTGAACGTGACGTAGGCGGCTTGGATACATATTTCTCTATTTAACTCGTGTTCATGATTGCTTGCCGGTAACCTTTTTGTTTCTGTCAATTACACCACTTATCAACGTCTATTCCTGGGCTTAACTCTAATCTTCAACTCACTTTCCAATGCCAGAAACAAGATACTCGATGCATGGCCCCTATGTCGGCACGCACCGGGCCTCGCCAGACGACGAGGATGTTGCAGTGGAGATGTCAATAACAAGAACGCGAACAAATGGCCCCAAACCCAAGGCTACCGCAGTGGACATGATGAAGGCTTTGATCCCCGCAGCCATTATGATCCTTGGTATCTTTTGGATCAACGCATCCCACATCTTTGGTCTCTTCCATAATCAAGGCGAATACGTCAAGCGGGCGAAAGTTGCCCTTGCTGACTTCGATGGTGGTGACTTCGGTACAGCACTGCGGATTGCGGCAGCGGCAAACAATCAATCTTACGAGTTCCCGACTTACGTCAACGTCGATACCTCGTCAACATCGCCAGATCAGATCAGGCAGGATGTCTTTGATGGGAAGTACTGGGCCGCAATTGTCGTCCAACCGGGAGCAACGGCTCGATTCGAGGAAGCGGCTAACGGCACCACCGCTTCATACGATCCTAGCGATGTCTACACCTACTATCTCTTGACAGCCAGATACTACACGTTGTATGCCGGTGGTATACAGTCATCAACCATCACTACCGCAAGCGCAGCCGCCGGAATATTCAGCGCACAATTTATCGGACCCAAACTTGGGAGCGGCGAATTCGCAAACACAACCGCATCCCTGAGCGCGCTGACGACTCCAGCACGAGCCGTCGGTGCCAGTGCATCGATCCACGATTTCAGCGACATGGACGATAAAGCCTTCCTCAACACCATTGGGGCCGTCTTCCCAATCCTGATGCAATTCTTCTTCATCATGGCTTGGAACGGTATTTGCAACGGTATGCATCTCTACGCCGCCTACGATGTCAAAACGCATATTTACGCCCGGCTCTTCTGGAGTATCTTCTGGCCTCTCGTTTGTGGTCTCTGTTCCACAGGCTGGATGTACACATTCCGCGGCTCCTACCCATTGGACGCAAAGATGTTTTTCGCAACCTGGGCTGTCACTTGGGTGTTTGCCATGATCAGCTTCGATGTCTTGGATGTTATCACTGGCTTCGTGCCCATTGCGTTTGTCACGTTTTGTTTCCTAACCTGGGTTGTTTTCAACGTCGCTGCTGCCATCGGTGCACCTGACCTCCTCAACAACTGGTATCGCATTAATTACTTCTTCCCGTCGCTACATTGGTATCAGACCCTCATCACAATTATCGCGTCTGGTGCTGTCAACAAGCTGCATTACACTCTGCCGACGCTTGCAGGCTGGCTTATCTTGATGAAGGCTCTGTCACCATTTGCAACCAGGTACCGGATCAACAAGGCGAAGCACGTGTTCCGGTACTTGCACGAGAAGGATGCCCTCGACGCTCCACACTAAGTTTCTTTTGTATGCGTTTTTTCTTCCTGTTTGAGAGCGTTCTGGTGTGCGGTTTGGGAGAATATAGATAGATTACAGACCATTTCCAACTTTTGGTAGTATCCCCGATATATTTTCAACTGTCGATCGAAGGAGAAAGTTTCGCAATAGAACTATATAATATTAAGATATTTGCAAAAGGGAAAAAATAAGAGGCATTTAGGGAAGGAATAATTAGGACACTGCTATTATCTGTAGTGTTAACATTAATATAATTAATTAATAGCGACTTTGGCACCAGTCTCAGAGGGGAATAGGATATCTCGAAAAATATCGCTGGGGCGTTCACTATCGGCACCGGCATGCAACCGGGGTTCAGGTGCATTAAATATACCCCTCAATAAACACTAGGCGGCCGCTACTGGCACCAGAGGTGACTTTACTTCTAACAAGGAGGAGATAGAAGATTGTTTGGTGGCTACCTTCAAGGCCTCTACCACCAAGATCGACGACATGAAGAGGATTCCCCTCAGAGGAGAAGGCGATACTAGCACCTTCCCCTACACAGAGCAACTTCTATCAGACTCACATTTCCAGCTTCTTTGCCAACTGCTTATGGCTCATTGACGATGACAACGCCTCTTTCCGTACTGCCATTGGGAATGGAAAGACGTGGATGTTGAGACTAGAACAGTCAAAGCTTCCTTGATAGTCACTAACGTAGAAACAACAAAAACCGGAGACTCGTCGATATTGTCCTCAATGGTGACATAGCAACTCACCTGATCGGCATACTACCGTGGAGAATGAGGAAGACTGCACTAAGAAGGGCAAACGTTACCTCTGGCTCGATGCAAACGGCGAAGACCACTGCCTCTACCTGACTGCACTCAACGGCGGTCGTGGATGTATCGGAGGAGAGTGCAAGAAAGATCCCATTGACTGCGCAGCTACTCAGTTTAATCTCGATGTTGGCAACAAGCTCTATGACTCTATCACCATATAAGGAGTTAGTCTTGCGGTATGTGCGATACCAGACGCATTAGGAGAGCTTGCTTTACTAACAACGCTTCACAGATTTACTGCTCCATCAACGGCTCGCCCGGCCTGGACCGCACCAACCTGCCGCTTGATTGTTCTCTCCCCCGTTGCTTCTTTAACCTCCCGGCATGCAAGGCCTCGTTTGGTAGCTTCCATAAGACTGAGATCTACCTGCTTTCAGCTGTCCCCAGCCAGGCCCTTCACAACTTCTAACATGAGTCTTCGATAGTCTATAAAACTAGCTTAGACTTAAGCCTCAGTCTCTCACCATTCTTCATAAAATACCACGGAATTGGAATCATTGCAATTGCAAGAAAGGCTAAGAGGCTGTTTCCCCAGCCCAAGCCAAGAGATTCATACATTCGAGGTCCTGCGAGAGGTAAAAATGCCGCAGTGACAGACCGCAGCACTGTGTGAGCGGCGAGGGCAGATGCTGCAGCTTCTGGGCCAAAGCAGTCGACGAGATAGATCATCGAGGGCATCTAATGATTTGTGTGAGTTGATAGAACGGCCTATGGTAGGCAGAAAAGCCATACGTGGGTGGACTTACCACGACGAAGATAAAGCCAATACCAACAAAAGCCGAGCCAATAATAGGCACAATCCAATGTGCTTTTTCATCGGTACTCCAGCCATACCAGAACATTCCTGCAGGTATAGTCCAAGACAAGTAAGCCATCAACGGGATTCGATCCTCGGGCCTGGGCTCCCCACCTCTCTGTTCTGCACGTTTACGCATAATCTTGTCACTGAAATTGCCTTGGGCGATAAGGCCTCCAAGTGTGCCGACTCCCATACCAAGGTAGCAAAGGCCGGTAATGCCCATGTCGAAACCATATTGACCACTGAAGACATTTGAGAAGGTGGTTAGAAGTAGAAACATAAGACCAAAGCAGAACGCTGCGTATAGAGCGAGGAAGAGGACGACAGGCGATAGAAAGAGAAGTTTGAAGGGTCGTAAAATGCTTCGCTTTAGCTTTGCCGAAACATCTCTTCCGGCAGAGACTAGAGGAAGCCCCAGAGACATTCGGCGCTGATTCTCTTTCTGCAAGAGGATCACGGGAGCATATGTCTCCCGCAGGGAATACGCAGCCAAAGGGATAAGGGCCTCGGTCTCCAAGCTTCTTAGTCAAACATTCCAAAAAGACACTAGAAGTGCTCGACTCACACATATAGCCATAAGTCGAAATACCCAACGCCATCCTATGTTTTGGCCCACAAAGCCACCGACCACCGGGCCAATGGTTGGGCCCATAATAGGTCCAATGGCAATGAGAGCCATCCACTTGCCCCTTTGTTGCCTAGGAACCAGGTCTGCGAGGGTTCCGCCGCTCAAAGCGAGAGATGCAGCACCGCCACAGCCGGAAAGCAATCGAAAGACCATGAACATGGCAAGGCTTGTTGAGAAGGCACACCCAAGGACAAACCCGACAAAGATGATGGTTGATATTATGTAAATGGGAAAGCGACCGTAGACCTCCGACAGAGGAGCCCATATGAGCGGACCGATAGCGAAACCGAGGACGTAGATGGAGACGGAGAGGGATGATAGGGTTCGGCTAGAGAAGTCAAAGTTGTGCATTAGAAGCTTGCCGGCTGGGGCAAACATAGTCGATGCAAGGTTGCTAACATTGTCAAAAGCTTGGTTCATTTACCAAGACGGGGAGACTCAAGAAAAAAGATGGATTACTTACGAAACCAACTGAACCAACGCAATGAGAACAATATGCGCTGTCCTCTTCCGCGGCGGCCAGTTCATAGGGTTGTCAGGGTCCTCTGGTCCGTCCCAGTCTAGAGCGTCTGGGTCATCTTTTTCGAACTGTCGTTGAGTTTCGATATCGTCACTTTGGCGTTCTGCTATCGGCGGAGAATCACGACGAACTTGGTTTGTTTCATCTTGTTTCGCCTCGAGTAAGCGAGGAGTAGCGCTGTCCTGCTGTATTGAGCTCATGGTGTTTATGATCACAAGGCTGTATAGCATGCATGCGCATTGAAAAAGACATTGACACACAGGAAGTCACGGATGCAGGTTGCAGGCATTATTCACGAATTCCTGTCTTCGTGTCGACTGTCATCATCTCTACGGAGTAGTTTACTCACTTACTGGAGAGTTCCGAGATTGAAGGCGGCGGCGGCACTCTGTCTGTGACGAGAACCGGTCACTGCCGTTGGTGGAATGAATCCCCTGGGGCTCGGCGCTTCGGTCGTCGGTCCTCGCTTCTGAGTTTCGGCCGTTGGCCTTCGGTTCTCAGAACCGCTGTTGACCCCAGGTTCATTCTGCGCTAAATTGGCAACACAACCAAAGACAGTAATGATCGACACGGCACTTCTCGTTTCCTTTTCGACAACGTAATAATTATTCGGTGATCCTTGGAGGCAGAGGCTCCCAATGAAGGAGGCAGAAAAGTAACAACGTCAATTGAATCAAGTGCGGAAAGCTCGGTGGTATGATATCTCGATACATATGTCAACAACTAATGATATAATTATGCTTCTTGTAACAGTGATGAATAGTAAGTAGCTTGATTCAAAATCGAGAAATCGAAGAACACATGCAGTCGAAAAGGTGATATATCGGCTTCCTCACATCGTCGCCCTCGTTCATAAAGAGGAGCCTATGCCGCCTGCCGCCTGCCGCCTCAGCTCATCACTCACGCAGATGCTCATCAAACCACACAATTGCCTGGTAGAAAGCCTGCTCCTTTGCCCACTTCCAATGACGAACAAGATACTACACCAATAGTCAGGATATGTCACGCCCTTTGCTTATTTACCTTGTCCTCCCTATAAGTACAAGGATCAATTCCTCCTTGGACTCACCTTGGCACCAAAACAATACCCAACAGCGCCCAGTTTCTTTACTCCATACTCCTCCCTCAGGAATTTGATGGCATCCAGAACAATAGGATCAACAGCTGGTTCATTATGTGGGTTGTCACCCGTGGAGCCGCCCGCAAGCCACTTGAAAATGTCTACCTCGTCATTTACAACTGCCCGTACAGGCAAGGGATCACCGTTGAAAGTGTCGAGCAGTAAGGTCAAGTAGCCGTTTGACGCAAACTCGTCAGAAAGGAGACGACTGTTTTTCCAGATACCCATAATGTCAGGTAAAAATAGAATGGCACTAGACTTTTATTATTTATATTGCGCAGTAGTGCTAGGTGAAAATATATTTTATAAAACTTGATTATTCATTATTGAGGTGAGAGTTCTTCTCGGGTTTATATCTCTAGATGATTTCATCTAGGACTTTGAACTCTAAATCTAGGACTTTCAGACTAACAGTCTGAACCCTGAAGGGAAGGGGGATCCCCGGATTTTCAACAACTTTTTGGCCTTGTCTGGTGGCGGTGTTGCAAGGTAGGCTTCATGCTTACCGCCGGTGATGCGTATGGCTTTACCCTGTAGGGCACCTCTGATAAAGATGAGTTGGAATAATTCTCAAGATAATGTGAAAAATGGAACAGGAGTCTTACTCATGTCTAAAGCCAACTGTGCAACATTGTGCGGGAGGATAAGAAGTCATCTCTCGTTATGGTGAGGGGGTACGTTTGGTAACGTTAGGCTTTCCGAGACTTTGAAAAGATCCAAAAACAAGCTTCGGTACGAAATCCGATATACGAGAAGTTCATGCTGGGTTGGGGATGAGGGTGCCTTTAATGGAGATTGCATCAAGGGTCAATCCAATATCAAGTTCCGCCTGGTCTGCTTAATGTTTTAGGTGCCTCAGGCACATCCCTCTCATCATTTAATTAGCGGCAATAGAGTGGATTTGAATTGCCGATGTCCGTAATACCTACGGCTTTATACCCTGATGGTGTTGATTCACCTACCTGCTTTGGAAAGTCTTGTCTGTTCCGAAACATCACTAATTCCGACGATACATAAGCTCTCCTGCGGCTGGTAATAATCCTGGGACTTGGGAATCTCCTCTCGAACACGAATAGTGGCGATAACATTGCGCATGGACGTTTCTTACGTAAATCTACAGAAGCTTCCTACTCAAAATGCCCACTGATCCCATAGCACAAACTGTTCACTGGTGTTGAAAATTTCATTCCACTGAGCCAATCTAGAAGATTCAACACTGTCAGATGACTTTTCAGTAACATTTTGCTCCTGCGACCCAGCCGCTGATTGCTCCAACCCTGTTCGTAGATGATCCTCTTCACGAGGATAAACACTAGTAATGGCATCCATGGCTCCCATGACTATATCTGGATTGTTTCCTTGCGTCAAAAACCAGTTCTGGGAGCGCCATTCTAAGCTCGGCGTACTTGCTGCCGAGAGTGCAGTGGGCAAGTGATCTTGCTCAGACCTTGGAAGATCGTTCGGCACCATCCATGGAAGTGTGCTCCCACCACTCTTACCGGGTTCTGATTCCAGGGTTCTTGGTGTGCGCGTATAATTTGATGGGTTATGGTGTTTTCGAATATCCGCAGATGGTCTGCTCTTGAGCTGCTGGAGCCGCCTCTTGTTCACACACTGAATAAGATTAAACAGCGGTTGCCAGAGTGGTTCTTCCTTGATAGATTCTGGGCATGTCTCCAAAGTTTTCATGACGATATTCCAGGCATGTTCTGCCATAGCATCGAATTCTGAAACGGAGAGCCGACAAAGCACTAGAACGAGTGGCTGCCACTGAACGAAACCGTAGAATTGCCATGCCCATCTCCTTGTGGACGGGCCATGCTGGAGCATATGTATGTCTTCGAGAACTCCCAAAGCCAAGATAAATTGCTTATCTCTGCCAAGAGAATTGCCCCTGGCTTGCAAAGACGGCTGTCGAATGTGATCCAGTATGAGTTCATGCCGCCTCACCGCAATAGCTGCCATTGTGCGAGTGAGAAGGCATATCGGTTGGTCTGGCGGTACGGGAACGAGAAATTCCGCAAACTCCTGCTGAGAATATTGGGAAAGGTCGTCGAGCTTGTGAATCGTGTCGACATCGGGTTTCTGACGGCAGGGGTACATGGAAGCCGTCGCGGTCTTGACATGCTTGCTAACCTTTGTTATTCTATTTCTCAATAGGCATAGAGTTGTTTGTGTGTGCCCTGGTTTAGCTTCTGGTAAGGCTGTCATTTGCTGGTGCATGTCGTCGTCGTCTAGATTCGATGGGAGGCGTGTGTCAAAGACAGCGTCGGATATTGACAGTCCTGGCACCTGGAAGTCACCAGTGGCAAACTCGAGGACATAGATATAACACCACGCCCGACGTCGCATCTCGGCCTCGAAAGGGGTTATATCAGGAAAATGGGAGCCGTCACGGTGCAGCCCAATAGCTACTGCTATCCGAGAGATTAGTCCGGTTATAGCCCAGACATATCTCTGAGACTCCTCTAGACGAATAAGGAGGGTGTATATGATCAGGGCTTGGACAACAGAGAGCTCCTTCGTATTGATAAAGTCGGCACGCGAAAAAGAGCCTTCTGTTCCAAGCCTGAATCGAGATACAAGCTCTTTCTTATCACAGCGAAAGTGGACTTGAACCTAAACCCACGCACTGGGTTAAATCAGATAATCCCGACATGATTCGACGTGGCTGGGGTTTTACCTCGTCCCTAGTTAGAGAGGTGACAGCTGCCAATGCAATGCTAAACATCAATGGCTCCATAAAAGACGGCAGCAAGCTGAAGTTGCCTCGAGAATCATGAATCATTCTGGAAACAGTCGGAACGTGCAGCACCTTGATAGAGGAATCGACATTCTCGACGTAAGTCTGCCAGATGAAGAGCATTTGAGAGGGTAAAGGCCTCAGATCTTCCGTTCTCGCCGAGCTCATAGAACGGTTGCTGAAAATGAAGCTGCCTGCACTATTGGATAAGGCCCTATGATTGGACTGAAGGTTTGGTGTATAGACAGAGTCATCGTCGTCATCTTCCGAATCAGGTATGTTGATATGGTTTTTAATTGTATCAAGCTTTATCAAAGTAGTCAGCAGTCAATCTACTACATAATCTACTGGAAGCCCCCTCTAACAATGGTATTAAGGAGAATGCTGTCTTACCTCCTGTTGTATATCTGCCCATAAGCCATCGCCGACGTACAGTCTCCCTTGTTCTTTGTCAACCATGACACCAACATCTGGCGAGTCATTTGAAGGCGTGTAGTGATGCCGCCATATTGCTGAAGAAGACGCCATAGCCTCACCCTGTTCCATGTCGTCACTCACTGACATCTCACTGTTGGTGAAGTCTTCATCCTGTTCAGTTTGGCTTCCACCGCGCAAAGTGGTCACCACATTCTCCAGCCGACGGATACGATCCATAAGATCAGTCTCTTTCTCACTTCGAACCATGGGTTCCCGCCTCATGCGTTGCGGCTGTCGTAGTATGCGACCGGTAGTTGGAAAGACACACTCCCGACCGGCTTTGGTGCAGTTGAAACACGGACGTCGACGGTCACAACGGACTTTGCGTTCCTTGCAGCTCACACAGTTACGCGGTGCTTGTGCCTGGTTCATGGACATGGCTGCAGCTAAGTCCGTGGGGTCTAAGTGCTAACAGGATATGAGTTGCAAGACTCGGATGGTTGACATGGAGTTAATGGACGTTGGAAAATGCGGGGGAAAGGTGTCGGCTTTCGGTCGTCGGAGTTTAATTTGACCCTGGCCAGGTTTTAGCCGCGTGGGGAAGTCATGTGGTGTGTTAGAATGGGCGGACTTTTGGTGGAACCCGAGGTTCCGGATCGCCTAGATCGTCTTGTATCTGGACAACATCTAGTACCATGTCATTTCATAGGTTATTCTGATCTGTACCAGGCCTTCTGAAGAATTCTGAACAAGTATCACTTGATACAGGCAGATATAAAGTGACGCTATCGCCGGCCGTCTTTATTACTATCCTGTCATTCAATCTTGACTTGTCTTGCCTAGCGCCACGAAGATTCCTAGCTTACAACGCCATAAAATCAAACACGTCTTTCAATCCATAATCATGTCGGCCCAACCACTCAAAGAGAATCGACTGTTTATCAATGGCGAATTTGTCCCTTCGGTCTCCGGCAAGACCTTTGATTTAACCAATCCTACCACAGAAGAGAAGATCGGGTCCGTCTATGAAGCCGGTGCTGAGGATGTAGACCTCGCTGTCAAGGCTGCCAAAGCCGCGTTTCCAGCCTGGTCCGCTCTCTCAGCTGAGGAGAGATGCGATTACTTGATTAAATTAGCCGACGAAATCGAGAAGAATGAAGACTTGTTTATGCATCTGGAAGCTATTGCTATGGGCATGCCGCAGTCTGGAACTAAATGTCAGCGATTCTTTTATCTAGACCTCTATATCAGTCTTGGTGGCATGCATCTCACTAACAAGAAAACAGTTGTTGTTCAACTCGCAAAGCGATATCTGAGATACTTCGGAACCCATGCCATTGACATCACTGGAGAAACATCTCTCAATACCACTGGATATATCAACTTGTCCATCCGTCAGCCGTACGGCGTATGCGGAGGCATTATCCCATGGAATGCCCCATTGTTCATGATTGTGACCAAGCTTGGACCGGCTCTGGCGGCTGGCAACACTATGGTGGTAAAGTCATCAGAAAAATCCCCCTTCGCGTCGATCGTTGTGGGTCTTTTGTGCCAGAATATCGGCCTTCCCAAGGGTGTTTTAAACATCCTGAATGGGTTTGGTCGACCTTGCGGTGAGGCCATCGCTAAGCACATGGATATCAGAAGGATCTCGTTCACGGGCTCGGTTGCCACTGGACGAGCCATCTACAAGGCCTCTGCCGAGTCTAACTTAAAAGACGTCAGCTTGGAGCTTGGTGGTAAGAGCCCTTTGCTTGTTTTTGACGATGCATCTCTCGAGAAGACTGTCATGGCTGCCGCCTTTTCAATCTTGTACAACTCGGGCCAAGTCTGTATGGCTAGCACCAGGATCTACGTGCAAGAAGGGATTGCTCCCAAGTTTATTGAAGCTCTAAATTTTGCAATGTCGGAGCTGGGTGTACCAGGAGATCCCTTGCTTGCCAGCACCAAGCGCGGGCCACAAGTTGATAAGCTACAATTCGATCGCGTCTTGTCTTTTCTTGACCACGCAAAGGAAAAGGGTTACGACATTGCACTTGGCGGTAACAAGGCTCTCGATAAGGGCTACTTTGTGGACGCCACAATCGTTCGCGATGTGCCAGAGAACGACAAGTTGATCAGAGAGGAGATTTTTGGACCTGTTCTTGTCATCAACACGTTCACGGACGAAAACGAGGTCTTGGATAAGGCCAACGATACCGAATTTGGTCTATACTCGAGTGTTTTTACGAGTGACCTTTCACGGGCCTTGAGGGTTGTCAAATCACTAGAAGCTGGTGCTGTTGGGGTGAACTGTACTAGTCCATTCATGGCTATTGACATGCCGATGGGTGGCTGGAAGCAGAGTGGTGCGGGAGGTCGGGAGTTTAGCAAAGCCTGCTTGGAAACCTGGACCCAGGTGAAGTCTGTGTTCATCTCCTTGTAAGGGGTTTCTTCAACATAGTCGTGTAAAGCTTATAAATTGTTTTGTCAGATATTGGGGTGAATTGTGTATTATTCGTCTTCTTGTCCATGTCCTATAGTTGGGTTAGAACCCTATTTCCATCTATTCAGTAATGACCTATCTAAGAGGTTGTTATAGTGCTGAGGTAGCTCTCTGACCTGTATTTCGGTACTCCAGTCAGCCGGTCTCATCTTCACCAGTATTTAACAAGTTTGCTATTGTGATTCCGCGGGTTTTTGGGAACAAGTGGCTTTGTATTGGTAACAACTGCTTGTAAATATCGAAGAATTCAGCGTCTAGGAACTTCCGTCCGCGAGTGAAACGAGATATTCCAGTCCCGAGAAGATGCCCAAGGCAGTGATCGGAATGGTCTGGTCTGGTCTGGTCTAGGGGTTCAGACCAGACCAGACGGGGCCCCATAGGGACACGCCTAGGCGTGCCTCCACTCCTGAACGCGTAGGCGTGCGGATTATGTCAGCCCTCAATTTGGCCCAAACTCCACTGTCGCGGTTTTCAGGGGCTGCACCCATTTCTGCTTTTGCTGGTCACAACTGTAGTCCCCAGGTGCGGGCTTTATCATGGCCCAAGCGACATTTCCTGATGATGTGCTCCCGCCAGAGGGTACATACGATTCACGAGAGGCTCTGCTCGCCGCTATCAACAAGTGGGCAGCACCGAGAGGATACACATTCATAACTGGAAGATCTTCACGATCAACTAGTGGCAGGCAGATTATCACCTACGCATGCAATCGATGGTGTCGTCCACCTAGCGTGTCAAAAGATCGCCAGCGTAAGACTACTACGGGAGGAACCAATTGTCGGTTCTCAATTATCGCAAAGGAATCCCTAGATAAGGCGGCTTGGTCTTTAAGGCATCGTCCGGACAGCCGGTTTCATTTACACAACCACGAGCCAAGCTGGCACAAATCGGCCCATCCAGTCCATCGGCAGCTCTCCGATGCGGACAAGTCAACAGTCAGCCGCCTTACGAATGCAGGAGTAGCGTCAAAGGATATCAGGACTTATATCCGCCAGAATTCGAACACTATTGTAACGCAGCAAGATATTTATAATCGTATCGCAGATAGTAAACGAGAGCTTTGTGAGGGTCAGAGCACTATACACGCCTTTGCTAACCAACTGGATAAGGAAGGGTTCTGGAACCGAATGCGGCTTGATTCGGATGACCGAATCACGGCGGTGTTATTCGCCTATCCAGAGTCATTGGCATACCTTCGGGCCTACCCAGACCTGCTTTTCCTCGACTGTACATATAAGACAAACAAATACGGGATGCCACTGCTTGACATGATTGGCGTCGACGCCTGCCAGCGATCGTTCTGTATAGCCTTTGCATTCCTTAGCGGCGAGGCTGAGCAGGACTACCTATGGGCCTTGGACCGGCGTAGGTCCCTGTATGAGCTCTGCTATACAAGGTTTCCATCGGTTATCCTAACAGAACGTGATAAGGCTTGTATGAACGCCGCAGAAATCTGCTTTCTATCCTCAATTTCACTCTTGTGCCTATGGCATGCGAATAAGGCAGTCCTCTGTTATTGCCAGCCGACATTCGTGCGCCACCAATAAGGATCAGAGGCCTACCAGCAAGGTCTGGCCGATTGGAATGAGTTTTTCAATCACTGGCATTCGATCATGAAATCACCGGATGAAAAGGCATATGATCAGCGCGTACAAGAGCTTGAAACGCGCTACCTACCACAATGCATTGAAGAGGTTGGCTATATCAAGGCCAATTGGCTCGATCCGTATAAGAAAAGGTTAGTGAGGGCTTGGGTTGATCAACATCCTCATTTTGGTAATGTAGTCACCTCGCGGGTTGAGGGTATCCATGGGTTCCTTAAGAGCCACCTCAAGAAATCTACGCTAGATCTCTTCGAGGCTTGGAGGGCTATGAAGCATGCGCTTCTCAATCAATTAGCCGAACTGCAATCCAACCAAGCCAGCCAGCAAATGAGAATACCAATCGGGCTCTCTGGATCACTATACAGTGCCATACGTGGCTGGGTATCTCACGAGGCTTTACGGAAGGTGGAAGAACAGCGGAAGCTGCTCCTAAAAGAACACCTGCCCATTTGCACCGGTGCATTCTCCAGATCTCATGGCCTCCCTTGCGCCCATACTCTCAAGGCTCTACAAGAACAAAATCAGCCCCTTCGCCTGGAGCATTTTCACACACATTGGCACCTCAATCGCCATGGTGTTCACTGGTTACTACTGGAGCCTCGGCATCGACCCGATCGGATAGCCGCCGGTTCGAGTACTAGTAGACCACAATCAAGCACCTAGAGAGAGCCAAGTGCATTCGAGGCAGTCCAGGCAACAGCACGGCCAAAGGCACAACCTAAATGCAGCAGATGCCACCAGATAGATCATACAATGACTTCAAAGACATGCCCTCAACGATACGAGGAGCTTTTGAAGCCACCAGCACCGTCGGCGCAGACAAGACCATTGTCGACGACATCTTCATCAGCATCATCCTTGCACGCAGGAGAAGCTCCAAGAGCAACGTCTTCAGGATCATCAGAGCAGGCAGAGTCAGTGATAGATAGTGCCAGTTGCATTATCGTCAGTCTTGACGGCGCGGACAATATAATGCCGGCAGCATCATCAGCAGCACCACCGGCACAGACAAGGATAGTGCCGACATCAAGGTATGATGATCCTCGGGCTATCTATCAGAGATATGTTGCTGCTCGAGATGCTTGGTACAAGGTGCAGCCTCGTGGCAGTATTAAAACTAACCAGCAGTATCGGAGGGCGCTAGGTCTACCTCTGCGGTACGACAAATCTAGCTATCAATGGTGTCTCGATTGGAAGCAGATGGGTAAGCGCTGCGATACTCCAAACGGCTCCAGAGATTGGACTAAAGAGGAGATGATGGCCTATCTAGATTGGAGCAAAGCGGAAGATGACCGTGTCGAGGTTCAGGTAGCTGCGGAGATGGAACGCAGCCCTTTTTCCAGTAGAAGAGGTATGCATGATATCTGGGAGGCGGCAGCGGTAGATAGTGAGGCCCAGCAGGCCATCCATTCCGGTAGATAATCAAGAATTCATAACCGTTTGGGATCATAGTATTCTAAAAAGTAAAAACTGCATCAGAACGCGGAATTTCGACAGTTGTGTTTGGGCCAAATTGAGGGCTGACATAATCCGCACGCCTACGCGTTCAGGAGTGGAGGCGCGCCTAGGCGTGTCCCTATGGGGCCCCAGACTAGACCAGATGATTACATAAGGACCGGTCCCGGAATGGCTCGGGACAGTCAGGTCGGGACAGTCAAATGACAGGGATTAATGCGCTAAGCAAGGGTTAGAGACGTCGTCTCTGGACTAAGATCTGAATAGGAATAACTCGGTCTTTACATTGAGCAGAGATCCACTAATATACATTCTTGGGTAGGCTGTTCCTGCAATTCCAACTGAGATTCATCCTCCTTGGAAACCTTTCTCTTTTTCGGCTGAGGCCTAGATGTTTCCATCTCGTTATCCTTTCTTGATCTCTTCCTGATCTGCTCAGCAGCAGTTACCGCCATTTCTGTAGCCTTCGCACTCGGTTTTCGCGTACGTTTCGTTTCCTGGAGGGGTTGTGGCGTCGTGGATAAGAGAGAGGAGTCTGGAGGAAGGATTAGGAAGCTTGTCGACTTCCTGTACTAATTCGGTTCGATCTGCTCGAGTGGCAGCATGCTCTGCGACCTCGCAGCCGGTCATGGATCGCCTTTTTGTGGAACCATGGGACTTGAACTCCTTTAGGCTTGACCGATTCGAGGCTTCAGGCAATCTCGGAGGTAGTAGAGTTCTTGACTCTTCCTGTTTCCAGAAACCTGCCATTAGACGGTCATTCTGTACGCGAAATAGTCTCGAAAATTCCTCTGCCTGCTGCCCAGTGAAGCTTCCCTGTACTCTGACCACCTCTAGTGCTGATTGAAGAATCATATTTCTGCCACCGTCTTGATAACGGTCCCCTAGGTTTTCGGCATCTTCAGGGACTGTCTGCTCTCCATGGGACATGGTCCGGTTTCGGACTACCGGAGGACCGTCGAGCAACCAGCGTGGGTGAAGGAGAGTGAGTGGAATAGCCCAAGACCTAACTACAGCCTCGTACAGCCAGTGTCGACATGGTAGGCTGTATCTGAGTGGAAGTTCACAGGCGAAAGGACATCCGGGCTTGTTGAGGGCACTTAAAGCATCACGCTCTTTCTCCAATTCACGGTTTTGCCGCCATCTCAAAGCTTTTGCTGCCTCCCACTCCGGAGCGACCATACTCAGGACGTAGTGCGGAACTCTCCCGATCAGATGTTGAAAAGCAGCGCGATCCAACAGCCTGGGGACATCTGCCCTGCTCCGATCCTCTTCGCCAGTGATTTTCTTGGTCAACTTCTTCAAGCTCTTGGCTAGTTTTTGACAGGATGTTTGCAGAGGAAGCTGCCTGTTGAGGGACTCCTTGACCACGACATGGTAACTCTCGTTTCGTTGCGTACTGTTGCATCCAACGTTCGGGTATTGCCGTGTATACGCTCGGACAAATTGGCGCTCTTTCGGTTCCCAATTGTTCTTGACATAGAGGCGTTCTGGCTCCCGGAATTCTGCAAGCAGCTTTCCCCGTCGTTCTTCGAGTTGCATTTCATCAAGAGATTGTATGTAATCCCAAATGAACCTAGAAAGTTCTTCCCTTCGTTCCTTCGTATAGTTGCCCGAGTCCAACAATCGCTTCTTGAAGTTCTGTGCGACATGCCATTCACAGAGCTGCAAGATCTGCCCGTCCTAATACCCCTAATCAGTCCTCCCTTGGGATACTGCCATTGCCGCAGTAAGCCCTTTGCTTTGATCCCCAAGTACGACTCGAGGCGGTGGGCAATCATACCAGACCAGTTCTGCCAATTGTGCATTGACAAATTCGAAGGCTTCGGCTGATTCGGATGTTATGAAGGCGAAAGCCAGAGGGAATGTCTTGCCTGTGTTTGTGATGCCAACTATGACAGACAAAGGCAGGTGGAGGCAATTAGTATTGAACGTCGCGTCGGTTTGCATGAGGAATCCGCTGACGAATCTCCTACCAAGGCGAATCTGCTCAGAAGAACAGAAGAAGAGGTGCTCAAGTACCCGAGCTGTCCGTCGTCCTTGGTCGTCGAGAAGGTATTTAAAGAAGCAACGAACGCGGAAGTCTTCGAATTCCAAGCAAGTGAGCAAGAGGTCTAGCGCCTCTTTACTACTGCGCCTCCCTTCAGACCGACTCAGATTGTAGAACTCAGGCTTTCTAACCATACGCCATACGCCATACGGACCTGAATGGTTTATGGTGTATGATTTATTCTCGTATGGCGAACTAAACCATATATTGCCCATACGGCAAATGACATTAAACCGGTCAAGGGCCCACATCTTCCTCTAGAGCGCTGGTGCTTCCCTCCTCTGCCATGGACTCATATTGTTCAACCTCGTCTATTTGTAGCCCTGACGTTATACCGCTGCGAATCCAGCTCTTCAGGCACTCCCCCTTTTCAATTGTCGACGCTCCAAGGAGCATTCGATCCCACGAAATTGTACGCCGTGCTCCAGAGAATGTACGCTCAGGGTCAACAGACATGGCGGGTATTGAGAGAATGTCTGTTGCCATCTTTGACAGTCGGGGAAAGCGCTCCTTCTGCTCATTGCGGAGCCACCAGATAAGGGGGGAGCAGTCGATTGGAATGGGTGGCTGGGAGGTGTAGGTTTCGTATTCGTCAAGGTCGGGCTCTGTGCCTAAGACATTAAGCTCCTGTGCAAGCAGGTCATACTCATCCAGTTCCAGTGCCGGAACAATGGAAGGAGTAGTATAAACGGTTGGCAGGTTCTTGTATTCGTCTTCCCACAACTTCTTCACTCCTGTAAAGATCTTCTTATGCCATGCCTTTGGCCAATTTTTCTGTATATGAGCCTTTCCTCGGGATGGATGGAGAATAAGCGCTGCAGCGTATGCCGGGCTCTCATCGGAGAGTTGGTAGTATTTGTCGAAGACATGCCAGCTCGTCACTACTGGACCAAGTAGCTGTTGGTTCATCTTGTATTTGTTGAATGCTTGCTGGTAATGCTTATGAAGGACGTCCATCGTAAATAATGTATAATCAAGCGTTGAACGATACCCCTCAGTAAGGAGAGTTATCTTCCAAAATGGCTGTAAGAAGTTCAAAGTCTCGCGAAGGTTTTGCCAATCCTATGGTGCTAAGTAGTCGTCCACAAGGGCGTCGTAGTACTTGTCCTGATACCACTTGATATGCTCCTCCTTATTAAGAGCGGCATTAAGCAGAAGAAACCATGAGTTCCAGCGTGTATCGTTGTCGAGCCCGAGGACTTTGCCGGCATGCCTCCAAAAGAGATTATACCTGTAATCGTTGGCGTTAATATAGATAGCAGTATTATGCAACTTGCCGAGCGGACCGAGTTGACTCCAGCGACGCTCCTTTCGCTTCTTCCAACCCTGCATCATGTCAATGTTGAACGAAGCTTGGTCCATCTCTTCAATCTGCCTGCAGGCTTTAAGCACAGCCTCTTTGCTATCCATGAAAAGAAACGCTTGGACGCAAAGGTTGACAACGTGGCCATGGCAACGAATCCGTCGGTGTCTTGCATTCCAGGCGACACCTCATCCATCAAGGAAGTGGCTCAATAGACAACATAGCACGTCATTGGAACCGTGATTATCTCCTGTAATATATCCCAGCTGGCGTGAGATGCCGTACTCCTCAATGACTGGCTGAAGGAGCTTGCACTGCTCGGCTCCGCTGTGGCTTCCAGGGCCGTCTATGCCAGGAAGTTCAGGCAAGGCCAGCAGTGGCTCGGATCCTTGAGGTTTTCGAGTGTGTTGCCACGTCGCATCGGCCGTAGTGATGCGTTTGCGCTTTGGAGTTGTTGAAGTGGAAGATTCAACGAAGGGTAAGTTCTGCCTATCAGGTATCTCAGAAGCCGTCTCGATTATTGCAGCAATGGAGGACTCGCGGCCACTAGGCGTGCGGCTGAGGAAGGAGTCCATCGCAAGCAATCAACGGGCATCATGGCTTTCCACTAGCTTCGTCATGAAGTGTCGCGGGACGCGGAGGCGTGGCTAGTTGACGGTCGGTCACGGCAGTCAGAAGGTCGCTCAGTGAATCGGGTAAGGTTAACGAATGAGACTTGATTTCTATCTCAAGGAGTGGAATCGTATGAGACTATATGATCTGGAATACTGTTGCTGCCTGCAAGGCAGCAGCTGTTGCCTAGCAGGCAGGATCGTACTAACTGTTTGCTATAAGTGAGCGGCTTGATCTTGACATGAAGCCTGACAATGTGACTCAAAGGGATCTTGATTGTTGCCTTAGGATTGGAGCTACGGAGACGTTGCACGGCAGTCCAAGTTGCCCACGCATAGCTTAAGCAACCGATTTGCCATTCAAGTATCCTTTCTACCTTATGGATCTATTGGAAAGTGAGGCCATTCAGGACCAGGAGGATGGTCAAGGTGTTCTAGTGCCGCCGATTTCCTTACCTGACTATTTTTGACTCGGAGCAACTTTATCCCGCGTATGATCATATATGGTCATACGCCTCAGACCGTATGGTGTAGGTATATGGGCAATATATGAGTAATATATGGTTTAACTAAACCATACGCGTATGGTTAGAAAGCCTGGTAGAGGCTTAGAAAAGTGGCCCACTCGCTTGTCTGGCCCACTCGCTTATCATATACGTTAGATAAAATTAAAATATAATCCTAAATCTATATATAATAGCCTAGTCGATATACAGGCTTTAATCGATTAAGTAAAGTAATCCCCCGAAGAACTAAACCAGTCTAGGGTTGAGGTAGTACATATTGGCAAGGGTGGCTGCTTGAGCGAATGCTTTCAACACCAACACCACCTCTCTCCTGGGCATTTACCACGACAAAGCCAAGACTCAATCCAGCGCTAGTCTCAGAGCGAATACTCCTCTGCCATCTTAGTCTTTTTTTACTAGAGCCTCAGTAGCCGGCCCTATCTGCCGCCTCTGCTATGCGTGCTGAAAAGTATTCTCCATTCAAGCTACAGTACGCGTCATGACAAACTTTGATACTGAGCCGACAATTGCATGAACCGCAACTTAGAACTCCTTGAATTCCAAAAAAAGCGAATCAAGACAACGTGGCTGAGTGGTTAAGACGATGCCCTGCTATCTCCTCGAGACATCATAGACATTGTGTTCGCACGCTTAGGTTCGAATCCTGGCCGTTGTCGATTATTGTTAATATTTCCTCTCTCTTTTTCAAAGATGATTGATTGCTCGTCTTAACACTCTCTACGTAGGTGCTTCTTTACCCGGATGGCTATGAATCTATTCTTACTGTCTGTGGGGACTGACTGAGTCTTTCGATGAAATGAGACATATGTACCAAGAAAAACCAGATGCCTTTGAAATATCCTACTGTCTAAGTAACTAGTAGTACAAGCAAAAGGTAAAACGGGAATAAACCTAGATTACTACTAAAGACTTTTTTTTTTCTTCTTTTTCTCTTTTTTTTATATTGTTATTCTTATCTTCCTTACATTCGGCAGCACTCTACGACTACTCTTACTCGGTCCAAATTCCACGCCAGAGCAATATTAGTCTCGGTATCCCCATCCCGATGAGAAGCAGCTCGCACGCCGGCGAAGTAGATTCCAGGCTCGTTATACGCATATGAGATTTCAAAATCAATCTCAGGCCCTACTTGAATATCTTGTTTGGTATACTCGCCGACCCCAAGAGGGTCCCACTCGAGAGCAACAATCTGGCCAATGCCATCCGGGACTTGCACCTTGACGCGGAACCCTTTAGTCTCTCCCGGGGCTATCTTGGTGAGTTTGGACTCGTCGACGAAAAGCTCAACCACGGGTTGGATGCCCTTACGTGCCATCGCAGACGAAGGGATCTTAACCTGTCCCTTCTCAACTATGTATTCTGTGGGCTTGGGCGGGTCCACGTTATGCTCAACCCACGCCATCATGTCGCGCAGGTGCTGCTGATAGAGGCCGGTAAAATCCACGACTCGACTCGTATAGGGAGCTTCAATATTCCACATGGCGTGGTTTGTATTGTCACCGTAGTACAGACGGTAGTGATCCTTGAGGTCACCCTTGGCCTTGCGGACCTGGTTCTTGTACCAATCTGCATGCAAGGGGAAAGCGTCAAAGTCGAGAAGGTTGTCCATAACAATCATCTTCATGGTGATGTTACCCGTGTGTGTACCTTTTCCAGAGGCTGATTTTGAGATGAGCGGTCCAATCAGGACATCACGCTGAGGGTAGAGTGGCTCGCCTTTGTCATTGCGAAGATAGTCATGGCTGTAGAAACCGCTGCCGGAGGAGGGAAGTTGATGGCGATGGTATGTATGGGTGGCAAGGTACCACCGATTATCAACCTGAATGTTGGTGCCAGGCACGAGGGCATCAAGGGTCTTGGTAGAAGCGCCCGTTAAGATGCATACTGTTCTCGTTTCAAAATCAAGCGTTCCAGAGAAGTATTGGTTGGAGTTGTTGACTGTGACAGAAAAGCCCAAGCCGACAACATCAGTCACGTCCTCGGGCACACTTTCCAATGTAAACTCAGTTACCAAACCATCGTCGCCTGCAGCCGCTTTCTCTATAGAACTGGTGAACTGGACGAGAGCGGCACGGAACCGCTCTCCCAGTGCAGATTGATCACTTCCAGCGTAACCGTCCTTGGTCCAAAAGTCATCAGCATACGTGGGATCCATGCGTTGGAGTATGGGAATGGTCATATCTTTGAGGGTCTGCCACAATTGGGTACGGTTCCCGGCGATGGAGTCCCAATCCTCCCAGCCTCTGGTGGGGACGCCGAGACGCTGTGTCTCGGTGAAGACTTGGCGCTCAAGCTCGTTAAGGGCTGCATGAGGGTTGCCGGTACCACCAGGCTGGACCGTGTCAATGAGGTCCTTGAAGTGGTCCGCAAGAATCAATCCGCCCAAAGCTCGGATGCCCCAGTTATAGGGTATAGACATGGGTATTGCCTGGATGAGGGTGACGCATCCATCCCAGACGCCAAGTGTGTTCTCAGCAGCACCAACGGCCTTGAGAGAACCACCACTGCCGCCGTAGGCATATCCGTAGATTTGGTCAGATGGGGTGTCATAGTACTCTTGTGCGATATGGCGTGAAAGCTTTGCCAGAGCTGCATCAGCGCGGTAACCGATCGTTCCGGAGGCCTGAATCGTGTAGCCACCACTCTCGGCTCCAAAGACAATGGTGTCATCGTTGGCAAGAGAGGTCTGTAGTGGATGCATAAGTTGGAAGAATCGTCCATTCCATTGCGGCTTGGGAGTGAGGTAGATGTTGAAGTCGACGTTGGTGCCGATGAAATGCCCAGAAATCCGTCGATGAGGTGTGGGGCTCGTCTCGTCCGTGTCGCTATCGAAAACAGGAAAGGCGTAGTCAGAATCGATACAATCAGCTGTGATAATAAGAGCTCCCGTCTTGTCATCTGTCACGCAGCGAACGGGCTCTCGCTTGGGGGTGGAAGACGAGGCAGAGACACCCGAGGCCGCAAGTAACGTAGTCAATCTTGTTGTGACCCTGTGAAGAAGAAGGTCAACTAACTTATTCCCGACGTGAGCAGTTCAGAAAAAAAACATACCTCATTGTGGATAACATTGTGTCAAGAGAACGGAGCTTGGCTGAGAAATACTGACCCAGACTCCAGTACACTGAAGCAAGGGTAGTTATAAGGACTTGCCTTCCGGAGCCCCCACGCCTCCTGGCCCCAGTGCTCCTGGAACACTGGGGCATTTCTTTTTCGCCAAATGTAATGATACCAAACTGACTCTGACTGCTAAGCGAAAACACGGTTATTGGCGGGCAGTGATGCGATAACTTAGCGACTGGGCAATCGCTGGGTTACGGCAAATTCCATGGACACTCTTAGCACTTGGTGGATGTCATCTCAACGAATCGGCGCAACTTCGTATCGAAGCGCTAAACTATGTGAGGTCAAGCGTCCTTATATTAACATTGACCAAGGCTCGATGGGGCAGGTATATTTATGCTGCCAAGGGTCAATTGGTGGTCAAGGGTCAACCTGCTTCGGCACGGCTGGGAGTCTCTCAAAGGATCTAACGCCAGAACGCTGAGATAGCCCTCTTTTGTTGGCAGAATTCCGTCTCCAAGATCTTATCGTGGTGTGCGCACAGCTATATACTATACCAAGGCCCTATGAGGCGTATCCTCCCGGGCGTAATAAATTCATTCATTCATTCTATACAGAGGTGCGGAGGAGGCCTGATGTCCCTTGAAAAGTAACTATAAATATCCATCTGGGCATCTGAGCATACAACACCTTCGGCTCTGGCACATACCCGTATCGACTTATGAAATTAGCTATGCCCTGTGGGTACTTAAAAGCTATATCCCACTGACCTGATTTAATTATGAAGTAAAGACTAGGCATTAGATTCTTATTTGTAGTTACGCTAATTATTGATGCGGGATTAGGTTTTAGTTAAGGTTATGCCTCTTCTTTACTGCTAAGCTATCTAGGTCCGCGTTAAAAAGAGGAACAGGACCAGCCATAGCGGCGATCCCTGCAAGAACTTCGCGTTAATTCCGTGAAGTTGCACGAATAAGCAACAAAGCTTTGCTTGGCTTTCAAGTCATTAACCGCCCCCAAATTATTTAGATCATATCATCTCAAGAGTCGGAAAATACACAGTTTGACTTTAATCTGCTAATTACGATGGCCATGCTGCTGGAAACGACGATTCGACACCATTATTGATGTCCCCTGTAGTTATTGAGAATATTGCAAACCGCAAGCTTGAAGGAGAGTGGGATCGATTAGCCATCAGCATTGCTTTACTATGACCCATCCAGTGGTGAAATTATTCTGACCCCAGCACTACCTAGCTTTTCACTTTGCGGTCTTGCTGCCACAGAAGGTTTGGAAATCTGCCACGACACCACGAGTTTCGTCATCAGACGCCGGAGTCTTTCCAAGGATCCAGTCTCCCTCTACCCTCATAGATTCCTGGATCATATTGGGCGTTTTGGTCATGACTGCGGCATGAATGCTCCGCTGAAGCCCCTGAGCCGGATACGTAACTAGCCCAATCGTAGCTGCGGTAGTCTTTGTGACGAGATTCAGCATGCCCTTGCCTAACCCCTTTGCGGCTCCGATTGCTTGCTCTTCACGCTTCCCGTGGTATGTGTAGACGGCAACATCAGTGATAGCTTCAAACATACCATGACAAAAGTTCTTGCCCGCTACAACAGCGCCAGACTTGAAACCTGTGATGTTTCCTCGATGTCTCACGTCTTCACCGTAGAGGTGCGGCACAGCACGAAGACCATCTGTGATTGCGATTGGGATATCGATCAAGATGCCTTTGGTTGAAGCCGTAACCAATTTCCCTAGGCTTTTTGAAGAGGCCTGTATGGCTCTTTTTGCTGCTGCCGAGTCGCTTTTTCTTTTGATACTCTGTGATGCGGTGTCGCTAGATTCGCCGTCCGCGCGGTTCTCTTTGATAGTCTCGTAGGGCTTGACAAAGATGCCAGCTGCTGCGTCTGCCATTGTGGTGGCAACGTCTACTGATGCTGAGCCAGCGGCAGTGATTGGATCCCAACGCTGGCTCTCAATGTAGATAGGTTTTGGTTGGTGGCTGGGGGGAGAAGTAACGTCAGATCAATAATGCGAAGCCATTCCAATACTTACAATTTCAACTTCTTTTGATCTAGTTTATGTGATCTTGTCAAAAGCCGCTCCGCTCGCTTGGACATCAAGACTTGGTTATGCTTCCCTTTGTAAGTCCAGGAAGCGGGAAGTTCCGGTATCACGTCGCACATTAATCGCTCCAAAGGCAGCTTAGAGTGGAAGTGAGTAACTGCCGCTTCAACGCCTGATTCGCTCCTCATCTGCCTAGACAGCTGTTGCACGGCAACTTTAACTCCTGGGTTCAGAGCGAAGCCTATCGCTTCAGTAAGATTTATCGAGGTCAAAGAAGAGTAGGGTATTGGCTCGGGTCCAGCGCCTGCTTTTGCTATCCTTTGGCCCCAAAATTGTTGGCTGATGAGAGGCAGGGTCAGAAGACTACCCAAGGTAGACATGAATATTAGAAGGCTTTACTTACTCGCCAAAGAAAGGTACGATTACTGTCGGCTGTGCGTTTAGCAGCCCGACTGCAGTTGTTCCAGCTCCGCCATGGTGAACAACTGCCGAGACATGTTGGAAAAGCCAATCATGAGGACAATCATCGATGTAAAAGATGTCGGGGTGTTTCTCGCCTTCGAGCTTGCTCCACCCCCGCGAGATAACAGCCCGAACCTTCAAGGTATTGATGGCTTTCAGAACCATGGTCATGAGGCGATCCGGATCGCCAACCACTATGCTGCCGAACCCGACATAAATAGGGACGTTTCCTTTTTGTAAGAATGCATCAAGGTCGCTGGGGGGCTCGTATGCTGGAGGCTGCCTGAAGAAGAAACCAGATATATCTGTATGATACTGCCATTACTAACAGTGATGATGAGGGAAGGATAAGACTTGCCTATGTTGTGGCCCCATTCCCTAGGCTTTGGGATCAGTGATGGCGACCAACAATATGTAAAAGGCACCTCAAGAGACTTGAGAAGCCTATGGCCTTCGTTGAGAGGGACGCGTTCAAGGCCAAGCTTGGTTTGACGCCAAGTATTAACGATATCCCCGAGCCTATGTCTTGGGCATGAGTAGGGTTCTGTGTCCGAAGGGTGTCCTTCGACTTACCCCTGCCATGTCAAAAACTCAACCACGTCGTATGAGAGATAATTTGCAATATCACGTTCCCGGTTCGTGTCTGAAATGGTCATATTTGCCAGAGGGTGGGGGAATGCTCCTGTGCTGGTCCAGGGCATAGTGAACATCATGTGAAGCGGCACTCCTAAGGCTTGGGCACAATGTACATGTGCAAAGCTTGGAGGGTTAGCGATAATACAGTTTGCGACGAAGGGGGCCCCAGTTTTGGGGTCAGGTTGGATACATGAGTCCCAGAACCCGTCTAGCATCTGAGCCACCATTTTGCGCTTGCTTTGGATATCCCCTGCGCGAAGACTCTCCATGCTTGGAATCAAGCCTGGGTTCTTGACCATATAGGCCATGAGCTCAGAGGGATCACCCCCTACTGGGTAGAACTCTATGCCCGAAGACATGACAAAGTCGGCAAAGATATCATGTGTAGCCAATCGGATTCTGTGACCGTGTTTTTGTAGCTCGTTGGCGAGTGCAATGAATGGCTGGATGTCGCCGCGACTCCCGATTACTTGGATTAGGATGTTGAGACTGATGATGGGTTGGTTGTGTGCTCGGTACGAAGGAGGCGACTCTGGAGTTGCATCGATGTCTTCAAAGTCGGGGAGCTTGGAAAGTCGGTTGCTGAGCGCGGGAGGGATTTCAATATCGACTCGACCATCATCTACAAGAATTGTACATGTCAGTCAACCAACTCGCAACAAGCCGGAGGCGGGCATTCTCAGCACTTTACCTCTTGCGCAGGCGTCAATCGCTGTTGTCGCCAAATCGACAGCGTCTTCAGCAGGATGGCCGTTCAACATGATGGCTGGGTGATGGGTGCCAGCAAACACTGCTTTCTCTGTCATGTCATGACATTATGTATCTAAATAAGAACAACGTAAAAATACATCGAGTCAAAGACCCAATTTTATTTCGGTACGGCCGTGATGACTAGTGCCACTAATGACATGCATTGCCCCGGTCAACTAACTAAATCTGACACAAGTTGACATACGTTTTCAGGTCCAAATGCGAGAATCCAGCGATTGGTCTTTCTGGACCCCACCACACCCTCAAGCTAATCCTTTTCTCCAGTCTTTCTCCACTTCTTCATTTCATTCTTCCATGTGTGGCCGAGTCAGTCTTCACTGGGCATACCATCAACTATTTTTAGGTATTTGATGAGGGGGATTGAGTGCGTGGCAAAAGCCTTCACGGTGAGGATCCGCTCAACAGTAGTCAAGAGGGCGGATGGAGGATGTCTCTCACAATAAGGATCCACTAGCTCAGGGACAACCCTGAACAAGGACCAAAGTGTACGCTCGTATATATAAATGCCATGCTTGCCTCCCCTGTGAAGACTCTGAGTTGGGAAACTCACCGACAGAGGAGCCAATTCCAGTTCCGAGTCCTGCAAGAAGAAAGCCCACTCTGCCCTGCCATCGCAAAGGAGGTCGAATACCTCACGCACAGTACGCTATTGTTATACCCCCTTAGCATGACCTTCCTCTAATCCTCTACCCAAGTTCCTCCAGTACAATACGACCGTAACACATATTTTGAGAGCTCGCTGTCGCACCAACGAATCCCGATGCCATCGATGAATACCGCTGACTACTGGGAGAAGAAGGGCGTCGCAGGCCTGATTTCTCGTGCTGTGCTACGTATGCTGCAATGTATATTCGCTATCGTTGTGGCGGTCTTGTACGGACTTGACCTTCAACAAGCGACAAAAAACAATGCCAAGGCAGGCTCATCTTGGGTCTACGCCGAGTTTGTAACCGGACTGTCCATGATCGTCTGTATCGTGCATCTGTTCTTCACGACGGCTGTATGGTACTGGGGCTTGCTGGATGCTCTAGTCTCCATTCTATGGCTGGCACAGTTTGGGATATCCGCTTCGATTTATCTGGGCTCGGGAGAGCCAGAAGGAGATAAAGCATTTGCGCCACCAGAGTCACGTGGCAGGATGCGATCAGCTGTCTGGGTTAATCTCATCAGCCTTCTCTTGTGGCTCGCGACAACAGTACAGGGTATCATGGGGTGCTGCGCTCGTCGAAAGAGAGCGCGACAGAAGGGCAAGTCTACCGAGCTGGGTTCGGTGGGTGAGACCTAGTTATATGGTGATACTGGGGACGACCGTTTGTCGCTTGTTTAATGATCCGAAGTTTCGAAGAATAATATAATTCTGTACTACATTATAAGCCATGATACGGTACAGTGAGGATGCTCAGCTTTTACTAATTCTTTATTATGCTAAACAATACATGTTTATGCCTGCTTGTGTATAGTAGTTAGAATGATGTTACGTCCAAGTGAGTGCGTACGCAATTGTTGCCTAGGGGCAAATCTCGGTAGTAATCATGCCTCCTGACAGTATCAAGCTAGCTTTGAGAAGGAGAGTGGCCGGCGCAGATTACCGCGTATGTCCAGGAACTCTATGTAGTGCCGCTTATCAACAACCCGCCTTTGCCTCCTCTTCACGTATGGCGCGGAAAATAGGCAAGCTCTTTGACGAAAGAACCTAATCTTGCTACAAATTTGTTAGCATATATTAAATGTCCAGCTAGTAAGTTATGGAATGGGAGCATCGTTTAGCAACCAAACTTTGTAAATTCAGAGAAGTTACCTAGCGCGCAAGCCCACGTTCATCCTTAGCCCTTTCTACGAAGTCTACCCTGTGGCCAGACTGTAATCCCAAGCATCACTTCCAACAACTCTCTCCTGTAAAAACTTTTTCTTGGCACCCGCTGTTAGCGCTCTGCTAGAGCAGTGTCGCAGGGTAGGCATGATCTTCACGGCCTCAGGAAACAACTGCATTAGTAATCTAGCTGTATACTTTAACTCTACGGAATGGAATACCCCACACAAGGGACAACTTAAGACAACAATCAATCAACACATTTGCTGCTGCTCATTACATTCACTTTAATCCTTTAAGCACGCTAAGTGCGATAAGCAGAAAGTTTTTACAGGCCAAAATGGCAGCAAGTGCAGCTGTGGGGCTAGCGGGGCCCTAACAGCTGCCTGAAGAAAGGGATTCAGAGAGTTGACCTTTCTTCGTGATGAGTGTCTTCAACGACACTGAGCTTCGCGAGCTCTTGGCATCGCCTCCGGGCGCTATTTCATTTCTGGTATTTGCGGCTTCTTTTTACCTCGACATTCCGGCTTCGCGAACCTTCGACAATCCGGGCTCTGCGCCCCTCGACTTCCCGTACGACCGACCTCTGCAGCCCTGGCTGCCCAGACGACATTCGCGGCATCTTGCCGCTCGACATTGAGGGTCGTCGCACCCTCACCCTCACCCTCATCTGCAGCTTTGCGCTGGCTCGACCGACCTCTGCAGCTTTTGCTGCCCGAACAACACCAGCAGCCGCTAGCTGCTCGACTTCTTGGGCCCTCTGGTGCCCCCTTATCTCGACGCACGGGCCCCAAATGGCTCACTGCCCTTTTTGCAGCTCGGACGCTGCATGACCGATCTCTGCAGTCACATACTGCCCAGAGAACGTCTTCTTCTTTGCAGCCTCGGCTGCCGCCCGGAACACGACCGGGCTTCGACGATTTGTCTCACTGGCTGAGACCACTTGACAAAACCGCTGGGTCGAAATGGTACAGAGCTTACCTGGAGACCGTGGAATGAGGCGACTGCCTCGTCCACAGAGCAGCGTTCTAGCCGCCTTGAGTTTTTCTCCTGCGAGGGTTTTCCCCAAGGATGCACGGTTCTGGGTTGTAGCTACTGGCGATCTTAGGGATCATGGATTTCCTGCTTTAGGGTATGGAAAGCTACTTGATCTGTCTGTGCAAGAGAATTCTAGGCTGGAGAGGGATGTGTTCCCGCTGACGGGATGCCCTCTCGAAAGTAAAGCGCCATTGTGCCGATGATATGCTGGATGAACTAGATGGCGGCGCCGCTAGACAGGAGCTCTGCTAAGATCAGCTGTCTTGATGTCCTGTAGGATGTGCCTCAGCGGAAACTACTGTAGGGCTGGCTACAAGTAGAGAGGTGCCTTTTGGGGGTAATGAGTACGAAAACAGCTCGAGCATGGATATGGCTCCGATCCAAGAGGCCTTGCAGATGATTTGAGTTTGACTCAGTATGGCAGCGATTGTATTTAGTTTAGCTCAGCACGTCCTGTGCCCCAGCAGGGGACTTTTCGGGGCCGATGGCCCCCCGGACGAAAAATACACAAACAAACAAACAAATAATGCCATGAATAAGACTCCTAGTGCCCTCATTAAAACATCGAAATATAACTGTTTATTATCTTTAAGTCACTCTAAATTTACCTAGACCACTCCAGAACAGCTGATAAATATATGGTCCATTCGCCTATCCTCGAGAACACTAAGCACGGGGCCTAGCAACTGTTTTAATCACTTCCCGAGCACCCCGGATACCAGAACGAACCGCTCCCTACATGTAGCCCTTCTAGATAAGTGACGTTTCTGTGCCGACAAAGTGGCTATTCTAAAAAGGGTCCCGAATCGATTTCTCGACACCAGTCAGGATTCCAGGTATCATGACAGGGCTAGGGGCACCCTGAAACGAGCGATCCTTGCTCCAGTTTTGCGAGCCAAGCAATATGATACATGCCGTGCGCCGAATAAACGAATATGTAGTCATAAAAATTCTTGCTCATCTGTGGCTTATAATTTCGATAAATTACGTGTCTCAGCGTTCGGCTATTCTCTTTGTGCCTATACGCGTATTATCACGTTGAGCACAAAACACAGCCCCGAATGTGCCGAAGTGCACTAAATATCACTGTAGCTCTCGTGGGTCTAACTCATCAGCGGCGGGGCCCGTGACGATTCATATGCCGTAAAGATACTGCGTCTAGCCCCACATATGTGTCAACTAACGTATTTCACCGCCACCCCGTACACCCCCCCACCCCACACACCCATGATAACCTCACAACAGAATCTGTAGATGACTTCAATCAATTATATAACAACAAGTATTTATTCAATTAATTTAAGATTTTGGATACTGATTAAAGAATGTACTCTCAACCGTTGGTATTTTTGGCGGCTTTTTTCTACGTGGTTTTCGCCTGTTTTCCTCAACCTGACGTAAAACATTCTTTTCGGCTTGATCTCGTGCTGTGATGATCTGTTCAATCTCAGGAAAAGCTTGGTTGGGGTTAAATTGAACGGGGACTCGACCTGTAGGAGCTTTTGCTGCTGCTGACGCTTTAAGTATAGCTTTTTCCTCTTCTAGGTGCTGTATTTGGCTGTTCTTCTGGTCAATTGACTTCATCGCCTTCTTCAGGATACAATTGAAGTCGCGAATTGATAGATTTCCGTCTTTTTGAGCCTCTTGGAGCTGTTTTTGGATATCTTTACTTCCTTGAGGCGTTACCCACACGGTCTCGGCAACTACCTGCCGCTTCCTTGGTGTTGTAGGCGCTTCAAATGACTTGCGTTTCTTCTCTTTGGGCTTCAAAGATTGCAATGCCTTCTGTATGTCGATTGGGAATAGACCAGTGGCTGAGAAGCCACTTATTATGTTCCTACGAGTCAGGGCTTTCCGGGAAGCCTCTTTATAAGCTTGTAGGAATAGTTGTTGCTGATGTGGCGAGGTCGCTTCGTATGAGGCCCAAAATCGGGTCAATTGGCGATAGTACCGTTTTAACGGTCCAAATACGGCAACATCGAGCGGCTGTGTAATATGTGAAGAATGTGAGGGTAACCAAGAGAGCCAAATCTTGTTCAACCAAGCCTTTTTCATCAATTCTGCTGTTATGTGTGACTTGTGCTGGTCCAGGACTAAAAGTCTCCATTGGGACGGGTCTGACGGCGTAAGTCACGGGACCGGGAACCCGGCACCCCGGGAACCCGGCACCCCACTTTCAGCCTCAACACCATAACTTCAATATCTTTATCTATATAAAAATCAATAAAAATAAGCTTAATTTTCATCCAGTTTTTTCCTACTAGTAAAAGAAGCTTATATCTATTTAATAATAGATAAAATAAGCTTATTCCTTTCCTGTTTTAACTATAATAGTATCTCTTGTTTTATAGACTTCCTTTAAGGTAAATACCTTCTGATTTGGATCCAATTTAAGTTTCTTTCTCTTTAAGACCTGTGATTGGTCGATCATCTCGCTTAATATCCTATTTTTATCTGTTACCAAAGCTAATTCAACGGCCCGTTCATCAAGGCCCTTTCCAATCGTCCGAAATAGGTGCCGTTTAGTTGGTGTAAGTGCATTATTGCCTAATTCGGCTCTTGCAAGCTGCATCACATCAGATAGCTTATGTGGTGTATTGAGATAAGGTAATTGAGGGCTCGTATTGGCTAGTGGTGTAGATGGATTACCTAATTCAGCAGCTTGAGCCTCAATTTCGTCCGGTATCACATACTTGCTTGATAACGGTCTCATAACGTTGACAGGCCACAAGCCGGATGCAAGCCAACCGGCCCGGACCTTCTCTTCGGTAAAGGCAGCGGCCCGAGCCTTAAAATAACACCTTAAAAAGGCAGCCTTAGCTGTATTTCCTTGTTCAATGAGTGGGGCTTCCATCTCGAGTTCACGGCGATATATCATCTTTAACAAGCTAAAATTAGCTAAATCAAGAGGCTGAAGGACATGTGATGTATGTGGGGGAAGGTAACAGGGGTGTATATTATGCTTAAAGCAGTTAAAGATGAATTCATCCGTTAAATGGGTATCATGCCCATCTAGGAAAAGAAGCCTCTTTTCCCCTTCCTTTTTGGGCAATGCGAACGGGATGAAAACCTCCTGCAGCCATAGGGCTGTGATCTCGTTAGTGGTCCATCCCCTTGGTGACGTTGCAAAGCGCCAATTGCCTAAAAAGGAAGGATCCCTCGGAAACCACTGTTGTTGCGGCTGATCCCCTTTAAAGATAACAAAGGGAATAAGGCTCGTGCCGTCGGCACAGATAGCTTCCGTTATTGTGACCCAGCTGCGGCTGTGAGGGCTTCGTTTTAAGGTCTTCCGCTTCTCTGATTGGCCAACCACTAAACCGTTGATACCGACCCCTTGGAAGATACCCGTTTCATCCATATTCCAACGGTTGCAGCCGCGGATAATTGTAACCTCGGGATCCTTCAATTGGTCAAACCAAGACCGGATGATAATTGCTTTTGCACCTTCAATACGCTTATATTCAACTCTAATTGCTTTAAGCGTTTTGATTTGCTTAGAGCGTGCGAGAAATCGGGTAACCCAATGCTTGCCGAGAGGTTTGTTATCGCCTTGTAAGCTTAAAATACGGATAACAAGTTGCCGGATTTGGAAATGAGTTAATGGAGTACAAAGGGTATCTTGAAGCCTTAAAAATTGGATGAGATCGGCTTCAACGGTCGGGCCGAGCCGCTGTTGATCTGTATGAGCCTCTTTTTTAGGCATAATGCCTTGAAGTCGGTCCTGTAAGCTTGATCGGGGTACGGAAGCTTCTTTAGCAGCCTTGACTTGTGATTGGCCATTTTGAACAAGGTTAATTGCTTTAAGCATATCTTCTTCTGTATAAGAAGGCATATTGGATTAAGACCAGATGAAAATCAGGGTATTATATCGACTTTTTGGGTAATTGAATTGATGAAAGTTATGGTGTTGAGGCTGAAAGCGGGGTGCCGGGTTCCCGGGGTGCCGGGTTCCCGGTCCCGTGACTTAGTCTCTGGTATAAATACCTCCATAAACCATTTGAGGAAGATGTCGGCGTTGGACCAGCCCGTAGGACTCGTAGTGTACTTCCAGTCAGGGAAAACGCTCGGAAACCACTGTCCTTGGAGGTTTTCGCCGGTAAAAACGACCGTTGGGGTGAGACGCCGTCCGTCTGCTGATATAGACTCCAATATCGAGCTCCAAGTCGAATTGTCTGACTTGATACGCTCTGAACTAGATGTCATGACGGTCCCGGCCACAGTCCCGCCGTTGGTTTCCCCTATTTGGACCCCAGTCTCGTCGACATTATACGAATGTTGCCGTGAGATGTTTTTGGACTCGATAACCCAGTTGAGACCGTGATAGTACTCACTAAGCGTCTCCTTCGTGACGCAACGCTTCCTCGCAGCATCTATGACTCTCGATGGCTTCATTTCTATAGTCTGATGGCGGGATATGAGTCTGTCGACCCAGTTCTTGCCGAGATACGAGATGTCCCCGTTGACCGCTGACAAGGCTTGTGCAAAGTCGTGTATTTCCTGCTTCGTCAGAGGCTGAAAAGCCCGCTCTCTCTCGATAATATAGTTAACAAGGTCTTCCTCCTGTATGACCGTTAGCGACAAGTCTTTCTGACGTGCCGTTGTGATGTCTTGGGCTCCGGCGCATCGATCTCTCAAAGTCGACAGCTTGATCGAATGTTTTCGCGCCGAAGCTCGCAATCCAATCAATTTTTGGTCTTTTACTGCTAATAACATCCTATATTCATAATCTGATACTTGCGAATTCATTTCCGCTGATAGAAAAAAAAAGGATTTAATTTGAATTTTATAGAAGTAAATGAAGTGGATTGTATTAATGACGCGTTGATGGTGTTGTGGTGTGCGGGGTGGGGGGGTGTACGGGGTGGCGGTGAAATACGTTAGTTTGTTTGCTGTGATCACTACATAGCAGACCACGGAATTCACGGCACTGTATGTGGCTCTGCATAGCACAATGATGTCAGTTGAACGCAATAACCCATGGAGTAAAAAGACATGATTGGATAAAATGCAGAAACCCGCCTGCTAGCCTCATTCTGCTATTTTCGTATTGGTATTTTCGCATTCTGCTCTTGAGTTTTCGCATTTTAGAATGCATAATTCGCGTTTCTGTGTCCGTGTATTGAGTACCATGACGTCAAGCCTCCGAAACCCAACCAGAACATGACCCTCATCTTATATATAGCTACAATAATATCATTAATAACAAGAGCTATTATTCCTAAATCATTCATTCCATCGTTCTATTCTACACGCTACTGGGAGATACTTGAGATGTACTTACTTTCACAGTTGCGTCTTCCCATGCTTGCAGTGGCAGTCCTTTTTCTCGCCACTGGATTTGCAGAGGAGCAATGTCGATGCGTGAGTGCTATTACCCCCGGTTTGATTGACTTACTAACAGCATAGTAGACTTCTGAGGATTCCTGTTGGCCTTCGACCAAGTCCTGGGTCTCGCTGAATTCCACTCTCGACGGCCATCTAATTCGGTATATTCCTCCGGGAGCTGTTTGCTACCAGTCTCATCCCAGCTACGACCCCAAGGCATGCGATTCGGTAATTGAACAGTGGCCAGAGTCAAAGTTTCACTCTAGTGATCCCGCCAGTCTTCACACCGAATGGGCTAATGCTGGTTGCACTCCCGTCTACAAAAACGGAACTAGCATCTACGGCGATCCTGATGCGGGCAAACGCAGCTGTTTAAACGACGTGCTTCCTGCTTATGTTGTGAATGCTACTACCACGGACCATGTTGCAGCAGCACTGAAGTTCGCCGCCGAGAAGAATATCAGATTGGTCATCAAGAATACTGGACATGCTGGTGGCGGAAGGTAAAGACATGGATAACTGCTTCTCATCTATTTGTCCTGGCTAATACTTAATAGAAACCTGGGAACTAGTAGTCTGTCGTATGTGTGACTAGATTTCAAAATACCCAGAACGAATACTGACAGTTGATTAGAATCTGGACTCACAACTTGAAGTATATTGAACTGGTGAAGGAGTTCAAGCCTACATGCCCTAATAAGAAGAACGCCCCAGGCCCTCGCATGGCCGCCACCGTAGGTGCTGGTGTTCAGGATGGAGAGATGTATGATACCTTGGCAGCCAAGAACGCTTTGGCAGTTGGTGGCACCAGCAACGTGCGTCTTCTAATACGCAGGAAAACTTGGCATTATGGCTGACTTGTGACTTAGGATGTCGGAGTCGTTGGTTGGGCCACTGGAGGCGGTCACGGATTCGCGACAGGCCATTACGGTCAGGGCGCCGACAGCATTCTTGAGGCAGAGATTGTCACCCCATCCGGCAAAGTGGTGATTGCCAACGAGTGTCAAAACCAGGATCTCTATTGGGCCATTTGTGGTGGTGGTGGTGGTACTTTTGGTGTCATCACTCAGCTCACTGTCAAGGCTTATCCTGCACCAGAAATGATCATGGGAGCATTTGACATCAGTGCCAAAAACCACACCTCGGAAGAAGAGTGGTATCAGTTAATTGCTGATGTTCATGCACTCTTCCCGGCCATGCAAGATGCAGGAATTCATGGCTATTACACCGTCGAAGGCCCCCCATCGGCCGAGGCTCTCTCTTTCGGCGGCTCACTTATGATGTTTGAGGGATCTAACAAGACCTACGACAATGCTTTACAGCCACTCCGCAAGCTGCTGGGATCATCCAACGACACTGTCGACTGGTCTCTGAGCCGATTACCTCTTAACAACTGGCAAGAACTGCTAAAGATGGTGCCTGATATTGGCTCTGTCAACGCTGGTCATGATATCAGAGCTTCTCGGTTGATTTCACGACGCACCGTCACCGAAAAGACTGACGAGTTTGCCGCTGTTTACAAGGAGATCGGACCTACCAAGGAAGCACCATCGGTATGTATAGTTCATATTCTGCCAAGTTCTCTCGCTAACTGTATTATAGAATGGCTTGCCTAATCTCTCAATCTCCGGTACTCTTACCATCAGCCCCAAGTCCGTCAACAACTCCCTTCATCCTTCTTGGCGTAATGCGACCGTCCACCTTATCACGGGTCAAGCCTGGACTGATTCGACAAACCAAACTGAGATCAGAAGCATTATTCACGATGTAACATACCGAAAACTTGCACTGATGAGAGATCTTGATCCTGCTCAAGGTGCTTATCTCAACGAGGTAAGACACCACTCTATGATTCTCATATCGGATGAGTTTGGCTAACAGGTGGAATCAAGGCAAGCACAATCGAGCCTGGCTGGCAGTGGTCGTTCTGGGGACCTAACTACGCCCGTCTTCGCGACATCAAGGAGAAGTATGATCCTCATGGTCTTCTCTGGTGTCCCCAGTGCGTTGGGAGCGAGGATTGGGTGCAGCGACAAGATGGCAAGCTTTGCCGAACTTTTACCCCCTGGTAGATGCTTAAGTATTAAAACCTTTTGAGGTCGTTTTCCTTTCTTTTTCACTTGTATTACCCATTATCTCTGAGAGGTTTTGTATAATGCCTATATGCAGTTCTTCATTTTAGATACATACTATAGATAGAACATAATAGTGACACTAGGCGCAATATGCATTTTCGCCTCGACCTCTGTCGCCTTGATAAACCCGCACTCGTCCGCGAACTCCTTCCCAATGCTCTCACAAACCTCCTCAAGGAGAAGATCCAAAGGCTAGTAGAAGAAGCCTAGGTTAAGGCCAAAAATGGCTGAAGAAATCCAATTGCTCCCGCAACGCATCCTGTACCGGAAGCAGCGCGACCCGTCAACTACACTTTTACCAGACATCTCCTTTTGGACGATGGCATAAAGACCTATGAGGTACATATTGTTGACTGGGTTGTCACGTGCAAGCGGGGGTCATCTAAGATTGCGCACGTAAACATTAAAGCCTCCAAGGGGCAGATCTTGACATAAGTGGGTACTCATACTATCGAGGTTCGACGTGGGTTCAATGGCGACACTAACTTTACCTCGGTTCCTGGAGAGTCCCATCACAGCAACACCGGTGAGCCAGGAGGTATCTGGCGTTTGCGCGGACAAGACCCACGTTTCCTCGTAGGCGTTGGCTTTTGCGCCAAAGGCTGGGCTTGTGCCCGGCCTTACCGCCGCATCAAGGCCCCTACCCCGGATATAACTGGGTCTTTGACAGTGTGTCAGATGGTGCTGCAATCGGTGATGCTGGCCAAGTACTGGACGGTGCGGCTGGAGACGAGCTTGGCTGTGTTGACGAAAAGCTCGGCACACCGGCAGAAACGGCCGTTCTTGCGGTAACTGATGGCATTGATGACATGTACCAGCCAGTCAAAGAGGACTATACAGCTTTCGTCGCTGCTCAGGGAGGAGCCACTAACCCCAAAGGACGCTCGGACATAGCGGTTTTCGAGATTGCAGACGGTGGTGGCGTCTTCTCTGTTGGATCTACATGCTGGATCCTTTGCTTGCCATCCAACGGGGTCAAGAATCACCCGGCGGTTGTTATAGGCAATGTAATGAGATGGTTCATTTCTGGCGATACTATCGACGATAGAGGAGGATATCTAGGGTTAAAGCAGTGACTGGGTTGGAGGATGGCTCCCCGGTCGGAACCGTATCAATAATGGAATCTGTCTTTGATATGATCAAAGTCGATAATCTGAACATTACCCTTTCCGACGAGCACCGATTGGTGTAGGTAATAGTGGACACAGGAATATGGAACGCTTTATAAGCACCTAACCACTTCTACCAACCACAAACCAATAGGCAACAAAGAGCTTAGTAGCCCTACTATTAGAGGCATCAATCATGCCAACCGAATTCTATACGTCAACACGCTAATTTACCTAGTAGTCACCACTTTAATCATGCTGGAAATCATAAGGTAGTGCCAGTAAGTGGAATGCCGAACATTGGCTTGCAGTTGATGATACTCTTCTTTATAAAACGGGCAAATTCAACGATGTTAATTGTCATCGAAGGGAAAAGACCGATTAGGATATTCAAGGGCTAGATGTAAATCTAACGTTTCGTTAGCTCTTTTTAGTAACCCGCTCGCCAATGTGGCGGAGTAAACCCTGACGCGTGGATTCCATCAAGGTTGGCTGTTTGAATATGAGGAATACCCGTTGGCTCGAGCCAGGGGGGGCAACTAAGCAAGCTTAGTTGGGCACAAAAGGGTGATACAGCGCGAAAAGGCTGATACAGCCCCGCACCTCCGGCTATCGCGATCTTTCGCGATTTTGCACCAAAAATCAACAAAAAGCTAGACACAGGTCAGTCAATATACCACAATTTTTATCCAACTGTATTATGCACTCGCCTGCAAATTTTAAGGCTGCTCAGGCAGTTGTTTCTTCACGCCTACGCTCCCAACGAGGCCTCTCTCGCGATGCCTCCAACGGCACAAAACGACCGCTATCCCTTCGTGAGGCCGAGAAGCGTTATGCGGGCTCCAAGCACACGACTATCGGCCACATCGCGAAGAAGCTAGAAGCTGCGAATACCCTCGATATTAACGAAGTGCCTGATCCACGAATAGGGCGGCCGAGGCAACTTACAGCTGAGGAAGAGGAAGCTATCGTGGCCTTCGTCATCTAGATGCAACGGTCCGGGCTGCCCGCCTCCAAATACGAAGTCGAAGATGCAGCAAATACGTTACGAAGTCGTCGAAACCCGGATTCGAAGCCTGTAAGCAGGATGTGGTATAGGCGCTTCCGTGATGATCATCCCGAGCTCGATAAATCGATACTGAAGGCGAAGGAAGCCGCCCGCATGGAGTATGAGGAAGCAGGCGTTGAGGAGACGAAACAGTGGTTCCAACGACTCACTGAAGTTATCACCAACTACAGAATCGGCGCCTTTGAGTGCTGGAATGCTGACCAAGCGGGAGTTAGAGTAGAAATACTGCGAGAACGGGTCGAATGCCTCGTTGTACGTACAAAGAAGAAGACTTCTACAGAGGTTCTTTCCCCTGCAGATCGGGAGATTTGTATTGTTATCGGCACGGGCAATGCGGCCGGCGCAACAACTCCTCCTTGGTTGAACTTCAAGGCATTTCCAACGCTAGATTGGACTTATATCGACGGCGATCCGAATATGCGTTTCGTACAGTTAGATACAGCTTTCTCTAACGGCAAGATAACTCTTGAGTGGGCAAAGCACTTTAACCGTCATTCCTAGGAGAAATCTGCTACTATACAACATCGTCAGCTTGATTTTGAACAGTATTTTGGCTATAATGAGCACCTAAAGCAACCTGGGAATGCCTTTACCGAATATGATGTTGCTCCAAATACGCAAAGCATAAGGGATGAAGATCTCGTGTGGCGGTTACTTATTATCGATGGTTTCTCTAGCCACGGCTCTTTCGCCTTTGGAGAATACTATATGAAGTTTAATATCCTTGTAGCTTTCTTGCTTTTGCATTTAACGCATATATTACAACCTATGGATAAAGGCGTTTTTCAGTATCTGAAGGAGGCACATCAAAAAAAGCTTCGTTAGGCGTTGCGGAAGGGAAATCTTACCTTTAACCGCCGCGACTTTGCAGGAGCTTTTTAGGTATAAGCTTCGCTGATTGACCCTCTCCGAAATCCCCCTCTTTTCACATACAAATTAGCCCGAAATCAGGAGATCTTCAATGAGGGCTTCATAACCGCTTATATCATTAGAGGCTTCGAAAAGTCAAGGATTTTCCCGCCCACAGACCGGCCGGCAGTCGAATATCTGCTGAAGAAGAAGCTAAAGTCAAAGCAGACTATTGATCCTGCATTTCTCTCCCTTCTTCCGCCAGAAACTCGGTTCTCTACGGCTTCCGACATCGCATAGGGCTTCAGGGACCGATATAATAATATCCTAAGTTCCCCAACGCGTCAGGGTCTCAAACATATACAGAATATCGTTCATGAAGCTATTTTCCTTGAAGATATCATCAAGAAGTATATAGATAACCGCCGAGCTCGCATCGAGAAGAGATATCATTAGAGGAAGCGGGGAAAGCGTGTAAAAGCCGCTTCTAACTATATTAACACTATTTCCCTACAGGAGCTTCGCGAGCAACAGGAGGACTTTATCGCCAATAGTCAGAAGAAGAGTATTCGATCCGAGATTCGGCAATAACGATCATAGCTTATCAGGGAGATGGAGGCATTATAGCAAGACTAGCGAGGGAATAAGGAAGTCATAATTAAAGGCATCACAAAGAAGTTACAGTTTAAAAAGTGGTTAGAGTATATAGGGAAGAATTATAACTATTTATCGATGGATACACAACGGTTTGCTATAACCGAGGCACTAAATGAAGTTACTGACGGCTTTATGATAGATACACAACTCCCTAATGATCTCCGTGAGTCTATTTGCAACGCCAATTTCGCTGTGAAGTCCCTCAATGCGGTAGATTTCTCTCTCCTTCCTCATAGCGATGATTCCGTCACTTTCCGCCTTACGCAGCCGCGTGCCGACGAAGGAAGTGACGAAAAAGAAGAAGAAACCCCCCCTCCTAGCGATTTCAGCGGTAGCAGCGAAGTCGTGATGCCCTCATCGCCGCCCTGCTTGCTTGACTACGAATCCACTCCCCAGTCATCGTTGCCTTCAGCCGTCTCAACGCCCTGCCCCTCATAACACCACACACAACTTCACGAGTCTATACGAGATCTCATAAGGAAGGAAAGAGCGGCGGTGGCAGCCATGATCAGGAGGGAAGGGGAATAAGAAATAGCCTATTTTGGTAGGGAAACTGTTCCCCAATTCAGCGCCGACTGGGCGCCACAGCAGTCATTTCCCCCAGTCAGATATAGTCAATAGTCAATTCAGTATCACAAGAAGCTTCAAACTACGCTTTCCAGCCAATTTCAACCAATTTCGACGTTGTGAGAGCATCGGGCGATTGAAAATGCTGCAAAACGCACCCAAAAGCGACCCCTCCGGATGTATCAGCCTTTTCGCGCTGTATCACCCTTTTGTGCCCAACTAAGCAAGCTTAGTTGGCCCGCCCCCCGGCTCGAGCCAACGGGTAGAGGTTAAGATGAAGTTATCTATCTCAAGCAAGCAGTAACTCTAAAAAATTTCGGGCAATGTATGTTGTCCCATCTTCCAGGATAGTCTGATAAAGATGCTTTCAAAGACCATGAGGACTATTGTTGGTCAGCTTGTACGCCTATCCTTGCATGAAGTCATCGTCAGCGTTACGAATCGACCGATCCGGAAGCGCCAAGATCAAGGGCTCCAATGACTGACAACCATTTGCAACATCAGTCTTGCTGTTCTTTTAAATTGTGATACTAGAGGTCTGCAAAAAGCGGATTGGCCGAGCGCAGAAGGGTTAAAGTGCATGACAGGTGCACTTCTGGGTATGGATCGTCCCACTCTTTATCAAACAACCTTCGCTTCATCCCTATGGAGGCATTGATTTGTTTCCCCACTAGAACTTGTCAATAAGAGGAGAAGAAGACTCGACGTCATCATCGAAGCTCTCCTCTACAAAGGCACCAAAGAGGCCGATGCTTCTACTCTCGATTATGAACGTGGTTAAAGCAAGTGAGCCTTGTTCTAACGCTTCAGTAATGCAGTAGAATACGATCCAGCCATCAGGGGCATGGGCATTATTTCAAAGGTTAGCCAAAAAGCTTTAACACCAGTCTCCTTAAAGCTATGTGCCTTTAACATCTTTTCCTGAATTATCAGCTTTGTTGGATGTCGTTATAACCGTTATGGCGGCGTGAAAACAGGTTGTAGCTACAAGGATTACAAAGAGTTCAGACATGTTGCGTGGAAACTAGAACTTTAATTTTTTATATTCCACTTGAAAGTTGACAGGTCTTACTACCGGCATTCTAGAATCCACATGTGTTCCTCATTCTCATACTCCCGGCTACCGCTTATATAATACAGCTAGGACCTTACAAGGCACGAATCGGTCATGAATAGGGCAAGTGGGATTGATAGAGTTCCGGCGACCCCGAATGTGGGATAATCTGATACAGTAAACCCCACATGAGAAAGCATTATGATTCGTCCATCATAATATCCATCACGAATAACCTTTCTTGGCTACTCTTTTAAGCATTCTCCTATTTATAAAATGCACCTATAACTAGGTAAACTTTAATCAAGGGTCTGTCTCACAAGTCTCAATAAAGTCAACCCTGCAACCGCCTATCATTCTGAGACAATACGACCCCAACGGATTATTCAAAGTAACACCACTGGATTTCGTTATGCTTTTTGAAGAATTAAGGCTATAAAAACATTTAAAGAATATAGATCGACTAGAAGAGTTGACACCCAACAGCCTCGTTCTCTTTTTTAGTATCCAACAATCCTTTCATACTTTCATTCATTACTATCGTGCTTTTTATCCATTCGCTTCTTTACCTGTGTTTTGAAAATGCAGTTGACTCTCTCTATTCTCTACTCGACGGCCCTTTGGGCTTGTCATATTTCTGCGAGCCCTCTGCCCCAATCGGGAACCGGAGCAGACTCTTGTGACACTGATCCTTTGACTCAGGAAACCTGGACGTCCCTCAACATCGATCAGTTCCTCATAGACTGGACTCCCAATGTCACTCAGGCTGAGACCAACAACGTGCAGGCTCTTGCAGATTCCTTTGGCTCACCCAACTTTTTCTGGTAAGATCGTGTGGTAGAATATAGTTTCCTACAAGCTAACACTTAATAGCGGTATCGATCAATTTTGCAATGCTGGTCAGCCATGTGTTCCGGTCAAGCTGCCTGCCTGGTTAGTAACGCCTGCAATCCTTCAGCAGAAATCTGTTCCTAATCCTTCCACAGGTATGCACTGATGGGAGTTCAGAACTGGAACAACTATATGAACAATATCAATACGGCCATCCAATTCGCTTCCAGCATCATCGGTCAAACCCTGCCAGGAATTGTGTCTGATCTCTACCCAACTCCCGACGACAACGTTACCCCCCTTCAAAATGTCGTCCGAGCCATCACCACCACAGTTGGCGTGGTTCCATTTGCAGACAAGATTGCAGGAGTAGTGCAGGCCTCATTCACCGGCTACGTCGGTTACACGCTCTCACTTGTTAAGACACCCACAACCGATGCATTCCTGCAATGGAGCAACGTGGCTGCATCCCTGGCCGATATCATCCAGGCTTACCAAGCAGCTGTATCTGATGGACTCAAGAAGGTCTTGGACACTCCTGTTGCTGACCCTGGTGGCATCTACGAGCAGCTCAAGGGTGGCAGGTTCCTTGGCAGCGCTCAAAACTTCACTCAAAGCGAACTCCAGGCCAAGATGATTGACTCGTTCAAGACCTACTCCATCGGTTTGGCTCTCCAGGCCCAAAAGATCTTCATCGCGCGTTTCTCCGGTATTGACCCAGAGAAAGATTCTTGCGAAGACGCTGAGCGGGCTTCAAACTTGTGCCAGAACGACGAAAACGGGGTCTATACCAGATACGTCCTGGTCAAGGTCGACGGGGATGGCAACATGGACCCACAGCCTGACGTCGCCGATACAATCATCAACAAGTATGGCTTCTCAAAGGAGAAAGTTCTAGTGGAGCCCACGAAATGTTTCGATAAGAATGGTGGTAAGCAGGTGACGGATGACTTTGGGGATTTTATCCCAATCGAGCCTAACACGCTATGCCTGTACAATGTAGTTGTCTGCGATGGCTCTAAGCTAGAAGAGTGCAGGGGTACTGGCGCTAATATCTAAACGAGTGTATATATGGCTCGGGGTGCTGATTTACCTAGGAATTCATAAGGAAAATACGATTGCAAGCCAGTGGAGCCCCCCTTCCCTAGGTTTTCAGGCCCCCCTGCATTCAATTATTAAGTTCATGCCCCTATGGAGGTTCCAGTTAATCTCACGCTATATACGGACTTTTGACTACACCTTTCTTGACCTAGGTAACGAAGAGGACCTTCCGAAGGCATTCCAAGCTGCTGAACTGTGGTCTGACCTAATACAGAAGGTGTCAGCCCAGCTCTATATACCAGGGAATAACGTCACTGTAGATGAGTGTATGGTCCCTTTTACAGGCAGGAGCAAGGATACAACCCTAGTCAAGAATAAGCCTACGCCCATAGGGTTCAAAGTCTGGGTTATCGCCCAAAACGGCCTCTTTATTCGGTGGCTGTGGCATGTGACGGCATCACCATATACCGCTGTTATCGTCGAGCTGCCAAAGAAGAAGGAGCCGGCTACAGAGCCGCAACAGGGGAAGTAGAGAAAGGGAAACCCTAAGGGGACTGTGGCCCTCAGCAATACGGCAGGAGTCGTTATTCACCTAGTTAGTATGCTGCCGAAGCAGACATATCACGTCTTTATGGATAACCTCTTCTCCTCGCCCAATCTCTTCCGTGCCCTTCGAGAAGCCGGTCACGGAGCTACAGGCATAGCCCGCCCCAACTGTGGCAGCACCAAGGAGCTTAAGCTTGCAAAAGGGAGGGATAAGGCAGGTGCCTCAGGCTTTAAATATAACGAAGTAAAGTCAATCCCTACAATAGATGACCTCGTACGCCCGGGGGACTTATTTATATGCATTTCCCTTACTAATTCGTCCTTCCTAGGTCGCTCAAATCGCTTGGAAGGATAATAGCCTCGTGTTATTTCTCTCCACCGTATACAGCGGTGCCGATGACCAACGCACCCCAAAGAGAAGGAAGAAGCCTGCCGACAAAGGGGCACAATCCAAGCTGATACAGGAGATCTTTGGTGACGCCGCAATAAAGGTTATTCCTATACCGACTGTATCTGCTTCTTATAACGATGAAATGAATCATGTAGACCGAGGAGATCAGGTAAGGTCCTATACGAGCTATGAGCACCGATTTCGCCGTGGCCCGTGGCAGGCTCTCCTTTGGTCCTTCCTTCTTGATGTAGCACTTGCGAATAGCTTCATTTTGCAGCTCAAGACCTCACAGCCGCGGTGGCCGCCTTACAAGACCCTCGAGAGCTGGAAGAGGTGCATTCTGACGCCCTATTCATCAAATTTGCCCAAGAAAGCGGCGCAAGGAAGAGACCTCGGGCAGGGAAAGAGGAGGACATGAATGATACCCAGTCACGGCAAAATCACCTGCAAAGAGATATCAATCATGTCAACAGGGGGATATTCTCAGATTGCCTTGCTTGTAAAGGCTTCAGGCAGGGGCAGCCCCGACCCTTTAAAACATGCTTGGAAATCGATCGTATAGATCGATTTCCAGCTTTGAACGATCGATTTAAATCGATCGTCACCTTCAGTTGATCGATATCAATCGATCACTAGTCGATCGGTTATCATACCGATCGATTTCAAGCCCTAAACGATCGATTTGTATCGAGCATCACCACCGCTCGATCGATATCGATCAACTGAGGGTGACAATCGATCGATCTAGCAATCGATATCGATCGATGACCAATTAGATCAGTTCTGGGCTTCGCTATCCCTATCTACCCTTATCCTGCCTACCAGTTGAAGAACTTGCCTCCAATTCTCGCCTTCAAGTAGACTAAGAGGAAGAGTCGGCCGGTAGATGCCGGCTTTGCTCCAGGATCGAAGACACTGGGACATGCCCACAATATGCCGTCGTAAACGTGACCTCAGTGGTGTTATCATCCTCCCACAACTGCTAAAGTCTCTCTCCGTTTCTGCCGAGGACGATGCGATAGTAAGAAAGTCAACGGCCATGTACGACAGCCGAGGAAAACGTATAGCACCAACGTCCCTCCACCAACCAATCGGATCAGCTTTGTATGCCATGTTGTCAACTGGTGGCTCTGACAGATACTGGTCAAACTCGTCTTGTGGCGATATCGCCGCCGCTGGTTGTCGCTTGCACTGTCGCCCTTGAGAATCAGAACTGCCCGTAGCCAATGAGCGACTGAAGGCCAGCCGACGTTCAATATAGTCCAAGGCACTCGTAGCCTCTGCTGCCGAAACGGTCCCAGACCCCGCCCCATAAGCCTTGTTCTTGTACTTGTCTTCCCATATGGTCGTTAGGATTCTCTCATACCTTCTCCTCCATTCTGATGTCTGACGAGTCGGGAGTTGGTCCCAAAGCCGTTCGAGAGCTCGCCATTTCTTACAAGGATGGAATACAACGGCCGCTACATAAGCAGTGGAGCTCAGCTTGCCATAGTACTCGTTCAGCTTCTTCCATCCGAGCTTGATGTAAACCTTCAGAAGTCTCCGAGTGTTCACATCCATGTCGTTGAACAGTTGCACCTCTTCCATGATCTGATCCTCGTTCTCTTCAATCATCACTCCTTGAACGGCCAGCTCGAGGTGATCAAGGAGCATCTCCACCGTTGGGAAATACTCGTCGAATCCCCCTGAAGTTGAGCGTTTGCCAGCAATACCCTCACCTTGTAGTTGCCTTGAGGCGACCCTGAAAGGCTGAAGGATCCTCTGGAGCGCGGCAACAACTTTCCACTCCTCAAGAGAAAGTTTTTCTTTCAGTATCGCAGGTTTGTCTTGGTCTTTACCCCCTTGGCTAACCCAACGTTCCTCAATAAGAGCAAACATCCTGTTCAAGGCTGTGCATTTTAGCAGAGCCCGCGAGGCCATCGCCTCGTCAGATTGCCAACGAGTGCAGACGTTCTGAGCCCACGTCAGAACCGGTTCAGTAGGGGCGGTCTGCCGTTGAGCTTCGTAAAAGTCCTCGAGAAGTTGACTGCTCGTCCGAAGGGCGACGCCGATGTTGTGTAGCTTGCCAAACGGCCCAAACTTGCGGTATTTACCATGCAGTACCCACCTGCCGTACGTACCCACCTACCGTACACCAAAAAAGATTTTCCCCATACAAAATGCCCAATTTCACTTATAGAGTACGTTGTCAAAATGAAAGATATTTTGATGAGAAAATGTCTGTTATATTAAGAATTGCATGGAATTTAATATTTCTACTTTGCTTCCACAATGACGCTTGCGGTGTGGTCGCACGGAACTAATATAAAATGTCTCAAAATGCCTCCCTTATCAACCAGCCTCCTCGAAGCTTCATCCAAACTTTTCTCTTCCCCATCTTTCCTTGGTCACCTCAAACATGCCTCAATCATCCTATACGGAGGACGATGTTATCCAGGCCATACTAGATGTCACAGAAAATGGCCTCTCCCAGAACCAGGCCGCCCAGAAGAACGGCGTGCCTCCGACCACTCTCTCTGACCGATTAAGAGGCCTACCGTCAAAATCCGAGGTCACCCAGCCTGCTCAGCTGCTATCCAAGTCGGAGAAGTCCAGATTGGTTACCTGGATACTTCGACAAGAGGCCTTGGGTTATGCTCCTTCTCACAGTCAAGTTCGCGCCACCGTTGCTGCCCTCTTGAGACAGCAAGGACGGGAAAGGCCTATCGGTGTACACTGGCTAGCTAGGTTCATTAAACGCCATGACGATATCAAGACGAAGGTGGGGAAACGCCAGGAAGCTGCAAGGTTCAATTCCTTTACCCCAATGGCCGTCAATTGGTACTTTGATATCCGGGAGAGCGAATATGGCTGGATCAAACCGGAGAACACGGTTAATGTTGACGAGGGCGGTATCATGGCTGGATTTGGTGAGTATTGATCATTTTTGCTACCAAATTCACTAATCCACTGAAAAATATAGGCTTGGATTCCTTGGTTATTGGCAGTAGCGATCCTAGGAGGAAGGCCTTCCTCAAGGGCTCTCAGTCCTGCACTTGGACTACCTTTATCGAAGCCGTCACCGCAGATGGTCGTCTTCTGAAGCCGGGGATTATCTTCAAAGGTAAAGAGCTTCAGCAGCAGTGGTTTATAGACGAGCTCCGGGGGATCTCCGACTGGTATTATATCACGTCCGACAATGGCTGGACGGACAACCATATCGCAGTCGAGTGGCTCAAGGAGGTCTATCTGCCTCAAACGCAACCGGCGGATGAGTCTGAGGCAAGGCTCATCATATTAGATGGCCATGGAAGCCATGTATCTGTGAGTATCTACCTGTTCTAGATCGGAAATGCCGCTGACGGCGCTGACTGAAAATCCAGGATGAGTGGATGGCTACGTGCTTTTTGAACAACGTATATTGCTGTTACCTGCCTGCACACTGCTCTCATGGGCTGCAGCCGCTGGATAATGGCGTCTTCAATGTATCCAAGGCTGCCTACCGAAAAGAACTGCAGAAACTCGCCAGCCTGACCGATTCTGCGCCGGTAGACAAGGTCAACTTCATCAAGGCCTATGCCAAGGCCAGGGAAGTGGGTATGACGAAGAAAAATATACTCTCAGGCTGGAGAGTGACTGGAAACTGGCCGATTTCACGGCGGAAAGCGCTCATACATCCTGAGATTCAGCCGGACAAGAAGGAAGCGACGCCCGGGTCGGACGGCCACCGAGACGGGCAAGTCGACTCTGATAATACGCCAAAGACCAGCCGCCACATCCGAGATATGGGGAAGAACAAGAGCCCGTCAACAAGAAGGCGCTATTCTGTGATATCGAAAGGCTTTGAAGCTCAAGAGTCAAAGATCGCCTCTCTGAGCACCAGAATAGCCAGTCTGGAGGAGGAAGTTGGCCGGTTGAGCAGAGGCAAGAAGAGGAAGGCGATACCGAATCCCAACAAAAGATTCATGACATTGGCAGAAGCTCTGGTAACTGGTGAGACTATTTCCGAGGCAAACGAAGCAATTGAAGAGGCGGATGCTGTTGAGGATGTGATCGAGGTGGGAGGGATGGAAGAAGTTGAGAGTTCAAATTCGGAGGAGGAAGAATTAGGTGTGGTACGCACACGCGCAGGGCGTGAAGTCAAAATACCGCGAAAATATTAAAATCCATTTCATTCTAAAACGAAATTCGAAAATCATTTCACGGGTTTTATTTTTGGTAAATTTTCAACATATGGTTGAAAAATAGCATTTTGTATGGGGGGATTTTTTTTTTGCTGTACGGTAGGTGGGTACGTACGGCAGGTGGGTACTGCATGGTATCCACCTGCTCTGCGTTGATAATCCCGGGGACCGGGCACTCGTCTTGATCCTCCTCTGGGATTATCTCGAGTTCCGGGTTTTCGTCTACGCTCGGCACACGAAAGTCATCATCCGTCGCCAACCCATTCATTGCATCGGACAGCTGGCGCTGTTCATCCTCTTCGCTCATAAAGTCCTTGTCACCCCAGTGAAGAAGCAATTCGTTGAAATCATCTCGTTTACTACCGTACATCATAGCCTTGGTGGTCAGGTCCAGAAAATGAGGGGCACAGCGAATGCGACGCTCATTGCTGTCGAAATCGAACTCTGCGGCAAGTGCTTCCATCGCCGTGCCGTTGTTCGCAGCGTTATCAAGCGTACAATAACCGAGTCTGAAGCCTAACAGCAGTTAACAGCGTCAGTTTATCACCTCAAGCAATAAGCACTACTCGAAAGACTTACTTGTCTTGCACATCGAACGAATAGATTGTGTCCGCAACTTCGTCTGCAAGCGCTGTTCCCGTATGACGCTTTTTGAGGGCTGGCAAAGCCAAAAGGATCTTCCACTGTTTCCAATCCTGGTCGATAAAGTGGGCGTTGATACCAAGAAACGATGTGTTTTGTCGGGAAGTCCAGCCATCAAACGTAAAATGAATCATACTTCTCGCTCTTCGAAGCAGCTCGCGAACTGGGCCAAGAGCGCGACTGTACTCGTCCATGAGTAGAGTCACAAGCGTCTTGCCAGTTGGTATCTGCCCTTCCTGGAGAGATGGGTTGTTATAGAGAAGCAGCCGCCTGAAGCGCTCCGAGTTCGAGATTGAAGGGAAGGTTATGGTACGTAAGCCAGTCGAGCAGGAGTAGTTGATTCATTTTCGGGTCGAATAGCATATGCAGATTGCCGAAAAGGGTCTGATCACTAGGATTCGTTGGATCGGCGCGAAGCATATCGAGTATGTTCCGATCTGTACCTCCACTTCCGGACACGGGTCTTGCGTGTTGTGAGGGTGGCTGATATGTTAGCAGCCATTTCGTCCAATGACATGGGCACGGGATGGGGAGGGATAACACAAACCACGATGTTGTGCTCCTTTCTCAGATGTCGGACAATACCTCCGCCTGTCGAAGCAATGAATACATAATCCGTGGTCCTCGGTCTTGTTCCGGAGGAAGCATCTCTCGCAGACCCATACTATCTTGCGAGTCCGTGGCCTATTATCCTTCATTCTGTATCCGAAATGCCACCACCATGTCCGCTCTCGAGAAGGGTCGTGGCCTATCGTAAACCCAGGGAATCGCCTGAATTTATCAGCCGTCCAAACATCGTAGTCCGGCAATTTTATGGTTGCATATGTCATCGAGGCTGAAATAGTCGACGGCTCGGAGGGTGGCGGCGTAGTAGAAGCCGTCTCTATGCCCTCATCAAACGAGTCCATGGTGGCGGGAGCAGCCTGACAAATAGTGTAAAGGAGGTTAGATTGGAAGACGAAGGATTCAAACCGCTCATTTTCGTTGGTTATATCCTGGCTAGTACGCGTCGCGTAAGGTTAAGGCTGGTCGGGCCCCTGACGGCTTGCCGGGGTGGACGCGTCGGGAGGCGGATTTGTCGCGTATGACGCCGGCTGGTTGGCAAGCTACGCGGGACACTTTAGGTATAAGTTGGCAATCGGCGATCGTATAGATCGATTAGAGGTTTGATCGATACGATATCGATCGACTAGGGTTTCTAATTAATCGATCGATATCGATTGACCAGCTGGATCGATTGATCGAAATCGAAATCGAATCGATCAAGTCGATCAGTCGATCGATTTCCAACCTTGCTTTAAAAAGAGGAAGGTTGAAAATAGCTTCGTTTTGCAGCCGATAACAGGTAATACACAAAGCCGGCACCGAGGAGGCTCGGGTAGGCAGACCTGGTACGGCTGCCAAGTCTGTGAGGTAGCTCTTTGTAACAATCAAAACTGCTGGGACTTTTACCATCATACAAATTAGTATGCGGGGAGAAGTACCGTTAGTTTCATTTATTTTGATTGGTCCTATACCCCTGTCGTGACCCCTCTGAAGGGCTGTGGCACTCAAAGGGATAAGATTAGAGTACAAGAGGGTCTAAATAGCTTTTCCATCTTTATGGCAAGTCGGCAACGCCGGCTATATAAGGTTTACCGGAATGGGTCACATGGGTAGCTAGTGCAACGGATATTTCTATTTCCAGCAGCGAAAAGCTTACACTGGTGAAGAGGGGCCACATAGGCACTGGGATAGTGGTGTAGGGATGTTAGAGGGGACACGCTAGCTAGCCCGGGGTCGCTGGTTAAACCGTGCGTACAACACAAAGTTTTATTACATTATGCTAGAGGACCTATTAGAAGCCTCCTCTCGATTACTAAGTGAGTCTAGCAGGGGTGGGGAAAGTTATAAAGTCCTCTGTTATTCTGCTGTTCTGTTGTACAGTAGTGTTTAGACCTACCTAGCTAACCTAGAACAACATTTTGCACCCTCCTAGTCTCAAAGCCATCCAATCGAGGAAATGAAGGGTCTCGCGCTTTTTTTATTTGCTCTTTCGGTCAAGGCACAGTGCCGCAGACAGAATGCTTGTCGTCCTGATGGAGGAGTTGTTGCTCCTGGACAAAATTGTCGTCCAAATACGGACGTAAGTTCAAAAAGAGAGCATAACGTGTTACTACAGACTAACCATGGAAATAGTATTGCAATCTAGGGGCATGCGGTAACGTAAGTCTCATACGTCGTCCTCTTGAGGCTTTGGATTATTAACGGCTTGATAGGGCCAAACTTGTCGAAACACTGAGGAATGTGATGGCTGGATTGAGGCCAATTGGTATAATGTGAGCATGATTAAATCGAGTATTGAATGTGTTATGAGACCTTGCTGATCTATTTACAGAATTGCTATGTCGAATGCGTGAGTAGCTGTGAGAATGTGTTCTCTAACGCGTGATACTAACCGTAATTCCAGTGTACAAGGAGCTGATGCCCAGAGTCTCGAACGAGGATGTGAGGGACAGATAGCGGAACGAGGTTCTCCAAACTTATTCATTCGATCGTAATATCAACACACATCGACGCGAGACAGTGGTTAGGAGGCCTACGTCCAACATAATAACATGGCAGTGGAAGGCCAGCGGCAAAGGGGGAAACCACTAGGCGTAGCTTAATGTATTGAACGGAGTGGATCTTAACGTCAATTGAACTCAATCATAATCGAATATATACATAACAGGCCAGTTCAATCGTATGTTCTGCCGATTCAATAGTCCAATTTTACTGACTGGTTAATATAGGGTAATTTGGTTGCCGTCCTTCATACGCGCCAGCACTCCAACAATCAACCACCCAGTGCCTACCAGCCCATGGTGTATCCGAGGCTTCCATGCAACCTTTACTTAAGGTCCAACGCAACGCGCTGACGACTTGGAACGTTACCTACTATCTAATCCGAGGCTAAATATTGGGGAGAGTCCTGCGTTACGAGATTGCTGCTCTGTCAGGATTGAGCTTGCAAAGTTGGCTGATAAGGAATAAATCTGAGATTCATTGCCCTTGAAATTGAGCCAAATTCGAAAAAGCCGCAACTACTAGATGCGGTCAGGGGACATTTCCCCTCACCCTTCAATCCCATCCTCCAAATGCATGGTTTGCCCTCACAAGGTTTGCGCTAAGGATACCATTAGATTTCCACAACGCCAACTACCAGGGCCTTCCCGGCACCGTGCATGCTATGGCCGTGGCGGAGACATTGGATCTGGACTGACTCCCGGGCACCACTTTGGCTATTGTCACAACACAACCATGCTTTTATTTCTAATGGGCCACTATTAGTGGTACTGGACCTTGTTCCGTTGGACTTCACCAGCTACGTGAGACCCTCTACTGACATTGAGCAATGATAATAATAGTAGATTGCTATGTATCTCTATATCCAGATTAGTAACCATTGTTCTTTCCATTCCCTAATATATATAGTATATCCGATAGATATTGCCCTCTTATGCCGGGCACTTTTGTGCTGAAAACCTTCGGCCTACTATTAAGTTCCGATCGCTGTCATCAATATCATGGACAGTCAAGTTCTCCATCTCGATCGACTGACGGACCTGGATTATCATTATGCTGGGTTGGTCATGGGTAAGAAGTATTATTTATATTACGTAGTAGTGCTAACTAAAAAAATATTGTTATGAAACTTTAATTATTAATTATTGAGATGGGAGTTCTTGTCGGGCTTATATCTCTAGATGATTTCATCTAGGATTTTAAACCCTAATTCTAGGACTTTCAGACTATTAGTCTGCATCCTAAAGGGAAGGGGGATTCCTGGATTTTCCAACAGACATTAGGAATTTCCTCCAACCAAAATGTGGCTTCTTACTTCCGCCACATGTATCACTCTTTTATACTACTTGTAACAATTCCTGCTGTGGCATACGCAGCTTTTGTGTATGGCATCCTAGTAGCGCTGAACGACGTCATATCGACTACTATAGCGACATACATGAAGAAACGGCCCTATGATTTCAACTCAGCCTAGGTGGGCCTGATGAGCTTACCAAGATCATTGGAGTTACCATCGGATGCGTTATTGGAGGACGCTTGAGTGACTGGTTGGTTATCTTCCTATCCCGTCGTAACAAGGGCGTTTATGAACCCGAAGTCCGGTTATGGTGCTTCTATCTATTTGTTCCACTGGCCCCTGCTAGCACCGTTTTAACGGGTGTTGGGCTTAATAACGAGTTGGCATGGCCTCTAGTCACTCTGGGTATTGTCTCATACACCATGGGCGTAGCTCCCATCAACAGCGTTGTCCTGACGTACTTGATTCACTCATATGAAGATGTAACTACTCCTTATACTTCCTATTGATTCTTATGGCATGACATATAATAGGTCATAGGTGATACATTAGCTGGTGTGACGGTTGTTAGGAATACTTTTAGCACCGCCTTCATCTTCGCACCTACACGTTGGGTAGAAAAGATTGGTATTGCGTATGTTTTACGATTCTTTTTCTTGCTATTGTAATTTTGGGATCCTTTGACGTTCTGCTCAAGTGGGGAAAAGCCTTTCGAGCTCATTGCGCACCGATAAAGATCAAGCTTGGAAATAGCCTAATACCGATTTTGGCTCGTGCATAACAGTAAGTTACACCTCTGAACTGGGGAGAAGTTCTGCGTGCAAAACAGCGTGCATTTTAGCCAAATTAGCCTCTCGTTCCCCACCATCCTCGCTCTCTTTTCACCCGAGGCTTGCGATCAATCAATTCCAGTCAGTCCAATAAAGTATATAGATGGATATCCCCAAGTACATTTCGTTGAAGCTCGTCCCATCAAAATTTCTCCCAACTCTCTTTTATCACAATGTTGAGCACAAAAGGTCAGTCTACAAACAATACCAAAGCTGTTGCTATCGTCTCAAACCCAGTGAAATGGGAAGATTTACCGGATCCGGAGGTCATCCGTGTTGGGGAGGTCTACTACATGAGTGTATCTTCTTTTGCGTTCTCACCAGGAGCTCCCATCCTACAGTCCTCTAATCTCGCCGACTGGGAATATATCGGACATTCAGTTCCAGAGCTTTCATTTGGCGAGAGATTCTACCTTGACGGTCAACATGGTGGCGCCTACGGGAAAGGCATCTGGGCATCAACCCTCAGATATCGCAAAAGTAATGGGTTGTTTTATTGGTACGGGCCTATACAAGGTACAGAAAGGACGTATATCTACACGGCCAAAGACCCTAAAGATACCTGGACGCCACTGCCCCCAGTCGACAAATTCTATTATGATCTTGGACTGCTCATTGATGAGGACGATACTCTCTATCTGGCGTATGGTACAAAGACTATTTCCGTTGCCACACTTAGTGCTGATGGGCTCAAAGAGGTTGATAATAGAGTAAGAAACCGGTCCCCGACGACTAGTAATAGTAAATTCTAACAGTCTTGTTTAGGTTGTTTACAGTTCGGATGAATACCTTGAAGGTGCTCGAATGTACAATATTAGAGGAGCATACTACATCTGGTTAACGCGCCCATACGGCGGCCAGTACGTTCTTAAATCTACCTTGGGACCTCTAGGACCTTACGAGTGCCGGTGCGTTATTGGTAACGTCCTTTCTCCAATCCCAGGTGCAGGAAGTCCTCACCAAGGAGCCTTGATCGACACCCCGGACGGAAAATGGTATTACATGGCTTTCATGGATGGCTTCCCCGCAGGACGAGCTCCTGTGCTTGCCCCAGTCACTTTCGATGACGAAGGTTGGCCCAAGGTCGAGGTTGATCATTCAGTTCCTCTAGGCGTATGGCGCACTGAATATCCATTGCCAATTGGCACAGGTTGCCGAAAACCTCAGAATTCGTGTTTCAAGACGCACTACTTCGATGGTGACGCTCTAGAACCTTGCTGGGAATGGAATCATAACCCCGACAATTCGAAATGGAGCTTCCAAGAGGGCCGCTTGATACTATCGACAGGGACAATCACAAACAACCTTCACCTAGCAACCAACACCCTCACCCACCGCACAATCGGGCCCAAGAGCACTGCAACCTTTTATCTTGACTTTTCACGATTGAAAGATGGTGATAGAGCTGGTGTATCTATATTCCGCACCAACAGCGCATACATCGGTATTCATAAAGACACCGGCGCCTCGCGACTTGTCTATGTCGAAGACATGGTTCATGCCCCAATCAATATTCCCGTTGGCTGGATGAATGGGCATCCCGTTGCTCTTGATTGGACAGCAAAGTCTGAAGGGACTATCAAGGCAGAAACAAGCATCGCCGGCGACCGGGTGTGGCTACGGATTAAAGCAGACGTTTCGCCCGCCTTTTCTGACGGGTACGAGAAGGAGACGAGGTTCACCACATTTGAATACAGTATTGACGGGCAGAACTTTTCACAGCTTGGACCAGCTTTCGCCGTGTCCACTGACGCTCTAGGGTATGTCGGGTACCGGTTCGCAGTGTTCAACTGGGCGACCATTAGTCTTGGAGGCCAGCTGTTGGTAGAAAGCTGCGACATTCAGTCATCCAGTGATTAAATCGGATAGCAGTAGATAGTCAATTTCAATTATTACGTTTTCCCGTGTTTCCAAATAGCCACCCTCTGTATCAGATCCATTTCTTGAGAGTTGAATTTGGAATGTAAGCGAAGAAGGCATGCAAATTGGGATGAGATTTCTAGAAATTGATGATGGAGTAAAGTGAACATGCACTCCTGAGGCTCCAATCAGCCTGTTCAGGTCCCCAGGCGTACCCCGCATATGTCATGTGTGTGTGGAGGGAGGATCAGGGATCGAGTATCTGTTCCTGTACTGTACTCCAGGATGGATTTGCTCGATTCGGATTAGTGTACGCAGCTGAAAAATTGAGTCTCCGCATAGCGCATCCACATGGTAACAAGGTACATAAACGAGAAGTCACCGATTGGACTGCACCATTCATAATCATACTCCGCAGTTTTGACCATTCCCAAAGCTACCAAGCGTAACACCGGGAACAAGATTATGTGCCTGGACTTTAAGGCCGAAGAGAAGTTGACAGGGAAGCTATAACTACCTTGCTTGACCGCGGATGCGAAAAATCAACAAATATTCCCTTGCGCCGACTGGACAGTTTTCGGTTACTCCATAGTAGATACATCGCATCTGGGACGCAATTTGACACTAATTGCGCCAGTTCCCACAATGTTGCCAAGCCAACGGCTCAAGAAAAAGCCTCACCAGAAGTCCAAAAATGGTTGCCTCAACTGCAAGCAGCGCAAGGTCAAGGTTGGTCACTTGGTCCATACATGCATGTATAGCAACGCTCACCATCAGACATCCAGTGTGACGAGGCTCAGCCCAAGTGTGCCAACTGCAACAGGTTTCGCTTGGATTGTCATTATCAGAACATTCGGCAAAACATAGCCGCATTGCCACCGATAGCTGTACCTCAAGCTGACACGGAACCCACACCCGTCGCCCCAGCGAGACGTAAGCGAGGCCGGCCGCGTAAGGACTGGACTACCCAAGGCCTTGCGTCAGAGACACCCGTTCAGTCGGAGCCTAGCCAGGGATTGCTTCCTTCAGATGCTGAACTTAACATCACTCAAGCTGAGTTGCTGCATCAGTTTATCACTCGCACGGGGCCAAATCTAGGCGGCTCCGATGATCCTAACCACCCAATCGTCCAGTTCTGGTCGAGAAATGCAACGCTACTCGCCATCTCGCATCCCTATCTGCTTCATCTCTGTCTCTCTCTCGCGGCATATCACCTGGCATTTCTAGCGCCAGAACCAGAGCCCAGCAAGGCACGCCACGCCGCCCTCGCCAGACATCACTTTTCTGTCGGTCTCACCCAGGCAAATGAAGCCTTGTCCATTATTGACGCATCGACTTGTGGCAGCCTCTACGTATCAACGATACTCGTGTGCTTTTGTTCATTTGCCGCAGGACCCAGTGGCCCTGACGATCTCTTTGTATGTTCTGCAGGGGATAAATCATCCCACAAATGGCATCCACTAGCACATGGTGCACGGCTTATACGAGAGCTTTACGACGAAAGTGTCCTGTTCTCCGGACTTACAGAGCCTCTTGGTAGGCGTAACCCACCACCTGAGGACCCTCGCCCGACCTGTGTCTGCCAGGGCTTCGTACGGGTTGATTGGACTGACCCTCTTGCAAGACTACACGACTTGGTTGTCTCAACTGAAACGCCGAGCGATACTGTCTACGTACGCTCCCTACAGATGCTTACTGCCATCTACGAAGGTACGTTTGGTGATAGGGAGGGATGTGTCAAAACGCCATTGCGCCACAAAGCCGTCCTTATATGGGTTTACATGATGGAAGATGCTTTTATAGAGCGTCTACAGAGAAAGAAAGCCATCGCATTGCTGCTACTAGCCTATTATGCCCCTCTGATTAAAACCATGAAAAGAGAGTGGTTCCTGCATGGCTGGGCGGAACACATTCTCCGGGCATCCGAGATGTATATAACAGACGACTATATTGACTTCTTGCAATGGCCTGCCGAAGCAGTGAGATCAATATGACCTGGTCGAGTACACTCAATTTCTCAGTGAAGGGACATCCCTAAGCACTGCGCACACCGAAAATATTAGACCGATGAAGTTAAAGTTCTTCCATGTAGCCGCTATTCTCCAACGAGCAGTCTGTAAGAAAGAAAGAGCAATAATGTATGCGTACGTGGAATTTAGGAGATGAAAGTCACATGTGTCAACGAAAGGTGGTGGAAAGAACCCAGAAAGGGGAGACGGATAAGCAAGGTCTGGAAGTGATCGAGCCATGTTTGGTAAGGTCTTGTTGGGGTTTCTAAAAGCGGGTCTTGCCAATTCCTGACATCATTTGAGAAGGAGGATACATAGTGTCTTATCTTCCAGGTCATGGTTAAAGACTTGTATTCTCCTCATAGGCCGAGGAAAGTCAAAATATCAAGCGAAATGCGGCTACAGATAGTACACACCGAGCCGTATGGGAATTGCCGTCAGTCATTGGCAAGGCTAATATCTTGTGTCATTTTATTGAAGCACACCACGAGAGTGGAACTCGTCGGACGCCTGGTCTACTTGGAGCTGGAAGACAGGCACAGACAAGCAGAAATTTAGCAGATAAACTAGCCAATAATCCCAACATATTGTATTCCGACTTCCACTGAGAGTTCTTGTAGATAGCAAGTTACGGAAATTCCGCTAGGCCGCTCTGACGAATATTACAAAAAATGACACAGCGGAAGCAAACTCTCAGCCGTTCCTACATAAGAGGTTTCTCAGAGTACGACCCAGCCACAGCGGAAGCACGCTAACCCATCAGAGAAGGCCATAAAGATAAGACAGCAGGAAGGAGATGGAGTAACTTCTGAATAAGAAGTTTAGCGTGGCGACAGACCGAAACGCTAAAAATTCTCCATCAGCTTTATTCGAGTATGCTCACTGGCTTACGCCTCTTCGGCTTTGTTAACCTGAACAATGCGCTGAGTGGTAGTTAGGGTCTTGTGGAACCTGTACGGCTTGATCTTTCGCTCAAAAAGCTCGTCGAGTTCCGCAGCAGTTCGACTAGTGTAAGTTCAGTATGAGATTCATTCTTATTAGAAGTAGTGTCAATTTAACATACCCAGATGTCTCGGGGATCAGGAACCACATGGCCAAGGTAAATGGTGCACCTAGACCGGCGAAGAACCAACTGGTCTTGAGGCCCCAGTTCCACTGGTGGGCGTTGATCATATAGGGAATCAGGACACCGAAAACAACTCCCATAACGCAGGTGGAAGCAGCAGCAAAGCCAGCTGTGTAAGGTCGGAGTCTCTGGGAAGAAATCTCGCCAATGAACCCCCAACCGGTAGCTCCGTTAGCCACCAGACCGATATCTAAAAGGTAAAAGTTAATATACAATGACATCAAATCTTCGGAGATTGCCAGAAAACTCACTCCAAATACAAGCGAAGAGAACAAAGACATAGTTGGTTGCATTGGTCTCGGGCACGACTCCAAGGATACCGACAACCACACAGCAGATCCAGCAAATAGTGGTTCCATAACAAGCGAGCCATCGGCGACCAAAGATATCCGACACATAGATGACTAGAACGCTAAAGAAGATGTTGATACCAGATGTGATGCAGGTGATTTTGAAGGGGTCCTTGAGTCCGGCCTGCTGGAAGAAGTAGGTAGCATATCCGAAGAAGATCCCGAGACCGATAAACTGCTGTGTCATAAGAGTCCAGCAGGAGATGAGTGTTCGAAGGCCGTCGCGCCCCTTGACGATGGCATACCACTTCTCCTGCTTCTGCTCTCGGGCGATGGCGCGTTCATGGTCAAGGTTAATCTGGATAAGGCTAATATGATGGTCCACATCGAAGCCTTCCACGCCACGGTACAACAGCCGAAGTGACTTTGCGGCCCGATCGATCTTACCTCGAGCAACACACCAAGCGGGGGACTCAGGCAGCAGGAGGTAGATGATGAGCATTAGGCCAATCTGAGACCACTGGGTGTAGACGGGAGTGAGATAATCGGTTGGGTCTTGGGCATGCATGACTTGGAGAGCAACTGGCGCGAAGAACTGTCCGATGAGCCACCAAAGGCTGTAGCACATGAGAAAGGCACCTCGTACACGGGGAGGTGCCACCTCGGAAACGTAGGTCGGGATTGTTGACTGCAGACAGCCAACACCAATACCTCCAAAGAGCTTTGCAACCAACCAGAGCCTCCATTCTTTGGCAGCGCACTCGAGCGCAACGCTGATGGCGAGAAGAAGCCAGTACCAGTACATAGCTGCTTTCCTACCAAACCTGTCGGAGAGGAAAGGCAAGGTTACCATTCCAATGATTTGACCGACGGATCCGATGGAGTTCCAGGCACTCAGAATAGAGGACGCCAGGACAACGCCGTCTTCGGTGTGCTGAGTACCAAACTGCTGGACGAAACCCGAATTTGCGATAATGTTTCCGATGAGTCTGGCGAGTCTAGCATTAGCGGCCGTTTCAAAACGCACCAAGACGAGCAAAGGTAGGAAAGATATGGAATACATACCCGATCTGGTAGCCATCCGTAGCTGCACTCAGAGTCACGGCGAAACAAATGACGCCGTTCATTTTGAACTTTTTGACAATTTCCCAAGGCGTCAACTCTTCATATCCAGAGATACCTTGTCCCCTGGCAGCAGCCTCCGAAGTAAGCTCCTTGGGGGCCTGGAGAGTCTCTGCAGCAACTTCATGATGCTCGACAGCGTCGCCGGATCTGCTGACGTCTTTCTCAGCACTTGACATCAAAGCCATAATGACGATGGGCAGTATGGGGGCGATTGAGTGCAACAAAAAGAAAAGAAAAGGATGCTTGAGCTCTTTGATGCTAAAGCGTGAGCTTGCTTGGACTCTGAAGCAATAAGAGATTTACCAGAGAGCAGCGTGGGTCTTTAAATCATCAGGAGAAGCCCATGCATGGTCCGAGTGTGCGGCTGCTCTAGAGGTGATGGATTAAGGTTCTGGGAATTCGCCATAATGGTTGACGAGCGGGGTGGTACAGTACGGATACTAAGCTGGGGTATGGGGTATGGGGTGATGCGGGTTAGCGCTTGGATTGAAAGAGGGGATATGGGGTAGTGCAGAAGCAGAAGGCAGGCCTATGCCCTGGGTCACCTTGTACATTACTCGGTACCAACGGATATGCTTAACCCCCCTTGCCCAACAAGGCTCTGACAGACAGAACCCTACAGGCGGTTACACTTGCCCCCCCCAACCGGCTAAATGTGATGGGTCTGTGTGTAGTGGCGTTCCCTAAACCGCGAGAGATTTCCCCGGCGTGGACCGTTCATTATCGCTTGTGGCTTGTGGCTTGTTCACGTCGATGCCTTTCGCCTTGCTTTGCTTTGTTTGCTTCGCTTCGCTTTACTGCTAGTCACCCTCAATTCTCGGTATCTGATGCCACGAAATGCCGAACTCATGCTGTCTCCTGGAGAGCAGTAGATGAGTCTAGACGGCAGCCTAGCAGTGCACATGGACAGCAAGTTTTCGATAGTCTAGAACCGCGTCTGTACCACTACCACCCAACCAACCACCGCTCCTTAATGCTGTCTCTCATTCTTTCGCCATGACCCAGACCCAGGTCTGTCAACATGAGTGCCTTGACAAGAAAATTGCAAACTTCTGGCAAGGGTGTTCCAGACCTCATCTGATCGGACCAGACTTTCGCGTCGTGTCTGAGATACCTTCACTCGGCATTGCCCGGACGGCCAATTTCGCATGATTCGCCACGCTTCAGCCATGCTCAGAGTAAGGGCGGCGTGAATCTTGCCACCAATTACGGGACTTACAGAAGTGACCCTATGAGTTACTGAAAAGCGCGTACAGTTGGTTCTAGGGGTACGTTTCGGTCGGTGATAATTTTTGTCAATTTAAATGGCAACGAATGGCAAATATGCAAATTTCTGCCTCAAGTGATCCTTATCGACAATAGCCACAACTGCACGATTAGCATAAACATGTCCGAATATATGGTCGTGGGTAACCTTTGTTTTATTGCCAAATGCTAAATACTTGGGATGATGAGTCCATCAATACGAAGATCTGTTCCTTGACCGCTAGAGCCCACTACCGTAACAGAATGTGTTCCCTTTGAGAACCCTTTCATCACATGAACCGTACTCAAAGCGACTTTGTCAGGCCCTGGACTTGCAAGGAAGGCCACCTGTTGTTTGAAATCGGTATCGATCATCACGAGAACGCTTTGCTCCTTGTCACCTTCAGTTGTATACTGAAAGACCAGTGTAGTTGCGCCACTTTCCATGCTTGTTTCGAACTCAAAGTTGGCCAATCTCTGTTTATCTCCATCTGTGTTGCGGCCGTTTTCACCGTTCTTAGACTGCTTCAACATCTTGTTCGTGACACGCGTCCTCGACGCTCCATCTTGTTGGTCAAGGACAAAGCTTGTGGCGTTATCCATCGTGACATTTGTGCCATCGATATTGAGCGGTAGCCATACGTACGTGCTACGTGGGAGCTGTGGAAATTCCCATCTGTCTCCCAAGTAGAATGTCCCAGAACCCATGGGTAAGACAAATGTGACTTGCGAGTCGTAGGTGTTGGTCCCGACGTCGGCAAAGGGCACCCATGATGACCAAGGGCCCGATAAGGACGTTGCGGTCGTGTATTTATTGTCATTCGCATACCAATCTGTAACATAGTCAGCGATGAACCTGTCAAAATTGTCAATGGGAGCGCTTAAATGTCAGTTGAGAGCCAAACAGGTAGTATAATCCATTCTGCTTGATCATTGCTGGGCTCTCGAAATTTTCAGGGAATAAATGGACGAGTTTATCTACAGATAGATAGTCTTGCGACAACTCGAAAATACGGAGTCCATGCTTGCGCTGCGTATCCAGTAAGTATCCAGTGCTTCAATGCTGAGTGCGTAACCTACATCCTCGCTCATCAAATAGGCCTTATCATCATCGTCGACAAAAACCCCCATATCTCGAGATGCACATCCCATAGGGCGGAAGCTCCCGTGGTACGAGAATTGACCATTCACGGTGTCCCCTGTTGCTACTCCTACGAGCGCGTGGGAATAAACAGGGTCATCAATGTGCATCCACATGACATACTTGCGGGTTGATTTGTTAAAGATAACTTTGGGCCTCTCTACGACCCTTTCTGGGCCGAGATCGCCTGACTCTTGGCGAGTCAAGGCTGCACCCTCGTAGTGCCAATCCACGAGATCATTGCTGCTATAGCAGTTGATGTTTCGGAAATTGGTTCCTTCTGTTTTATCTTCACCATGCCAATAATATCGTTCACCTACTTTGAGAATTCCTCCGCCATGAGCCTGAATGTGCTGCCCATTGTCGGCAGTCCAGGTAGCGCCTATTAATAGTCTAGGTTAGCTATTCAATATCATACTAGACATTCACCATCTCCATCGGACCTACCAGGGTAAATCTGGAGATGAGTGCGTTGTGACATTTTTGCCGAACTTAGCTTCAGGGTGCAGGCTTGACTGGTCAGTAAAATATGATACTGAAGCAAATCGGGGGCGAGTGGAGAGTAAAATACACGGAAAGAAAAGCCAAGTTAAATTCTTGAACTCTTCGAGTGGATAGTTCGTGCGTGCATTGAACCGGAAGGCTGAAAAGGATATTTTCACCTCTGTTCAACCGAAGATTATGGCTAAATACACGAGTTTGAGTGCAATATTCCTCATTGGAGCTGCAATCTTACTGTCAGTTGAGAGGTACTGGGGCCATTCCTGGTCTCAATTGGTAGATGTTAAGCCGAGCCATCTCATGATTTGTGCCTGATGAAGAAATAAGACAACAGATGTCGGGTTAATTGAGAACGAGGATATGGCGCCGTAAACCAGTCGAGTAACCGTTATCCGTATAGGTGCGGACCCGCTATCACAATTGGTACACGACGCTTTTCATCTGAGGCACAGTCAAGGAGTTGCCAACTACGCCATCAGCGGCCGTAAACTCTACTAGTTTCTAGACTCTCATTTGAGCACCACAGCTGTGCCCTAGTCATTGCCAAAACAAGCCTCGTTTCTCATGGCGCTCTGGAGGGGAAGTAACGTATAGAACCCTATTGTAGGTCTAGCAAGCGGCTTGGGCAACATTCGCTCATGATTACCCCGAGTTCATTCGGCTGTTGTTAGGCCCTTGGTTTCCCCACATACTGAATGAGGTGTTACCATGTCTTACCCAGCTCAAACGTTTGTCAATTGCGGTTACATTACAGCAAACTGCACCGGCGTTTGCGTGTCAAGGGTAAATAAAGGCGGTGGGGTTGGGGTCTTGCAGGGGGGTACGTGGTTAAGTTCAACCATGTTATGCAGAGGAGAAAGTGGGGATTCAAGTAACGAGAAATCGCCGATTGGACAGCGGGACAAGCCCGCACAGCTAGGTTAAGTTTTTGCTCAGCTGTACTAGTTCAAGCTTGGTAGATCCTTCGTCGTCGACACGCCTACCACTATGTTGAGAGGGGACCATCCATGTCCCACCCGACCGAGCGGTCCGCAGGCTGTCAAAATCGTTCTCGTGAGAATTGTTGCTACGGCATAGCTATCGCAACACCCTATAGCGATCTTGATTTCTTGGCACTTTATGGTTATTATTTGACCCCACTGTGATCTTTAGACATAAACACAGCCATCTTAGTCCCGGAACAAGGTCAGATCGACTCCTCAAAGGCCGATGTATACCTAATCACTTCAGGCGTCAGGCCACATATCGGGCGTAGTAACAATAAAACTCTCCAGTCTGCAAGCGGCCTGACCATTGTGATTAAAGTTGTACGGACGACGTATACTACGCCGCCATGGTAGCGGATAGTCCCCAAGCTCGGCTGAGAATATCTATTAAACGCATTGCCTTTGAACGAAATTATATCACATTCACTCTTGTCAGGTTGTGAGCTATCAGGATCTGCTATGATGTAGCAGAGGTAGCATACAAACATACGTGCAGGCGGCACGGTCTTTGAAGGAATAATGAGGAAAACCCGGGGAAGAGGTGAATGCTTGATACAGCAAGAAAAAGACTATTGTGTATCAAAATCACTGATGGTCCAGAAGCCAAACCCGGACATGTTTGGTGGAAGGTAGATGTTACCGTGTTGAAGGTCAGAATGAAGTTTGGTAGGTTGACTGACTAAAATGTAAGTCTGCAACAGCCTGCACTAACCTGATTTGCACTTCGGCGCGCCAAGTTGACTTCGTCTAACAATGCGTGCGCAGCAAAAGCACAAAACCGGGGGAATGGATGAGCGAAACACCGAGTGGCCCGAAAAGGCAGTTCCACGCGCCTGGAGAGGCCCCGCGCACAAGCTTGAATATTTATCGCGATTCAGAACCTCTGCTTACACGGCCTCCAGGCACGCCAATCGACAACACCTCCATCATGGTCGTTCAAAGCCAGCTGCGGGCTTGCAAACGCAAGCCCAGAGTCATGATCCTCACCGACATAACCAACGAACCCGACGACTCGGAATCACTTGTCCGCTACCTGCTCTACAGCAATGAGTTAGACACACGCGGCCTTGTGGCCTGTACATCCACGCACATGAGGTCCCGCGTAGCTCCGTACGAGATTGAGAGCATCGTCAATGGCTACGGCGAGGTTGTCGACAATCTCAACGCCCACGCCCATCCCGACAACCAATACCCGAGCGCACAAAGCCTTCGGGATATGATCAAGGTCGGCCCCCCGATGTACGGAAAACTCGCATTGGAGCCTTTCACTCTACTGAGCAGCGGCTCCCAGCTCATCATTGCTCGTGTTGACGAGTTCGAGGAGCCCCTTTGGGTGCTGCTCTGGGGTGGCGCCAATACACTTGCACAGGCTATCTCTCATGTCGAGAAGACCAGAAACGTTTCGGCGTTCACTCACTTCAGGTCCAAGATCAGAGTATACGCCATATCTGACCAGGACGATACTGGTGCCTGGATCAGAGTCACATACCCGGATATTTTTTACATCTGCTCTATTCATGGCTGGTGCCAGTATACTTCCGCAGCGTGGACAGGGGTCTCAGGACCGACCGATCCCGGCGGTGCAGACCCTAGCCAGTTCACAAGGGAATGGATCAAGCACAATATCCAGATCGGGCCTCTGGGTACTAAATATCCCGACTTCAAGTTCCTCGTTGAAGGCGATACCCCGACGTTCCTGTATCTCATACAAAACGGCCTAAGCTCTCCAGAGCATCCTCACTGGGGTAGCTGGGGCGGCCGGTACAGCTACTTTGATCCGGCCATGACGAGCAATCATTTTGCCGACGCAGCCGACAGTGTGGTAGGGATGGATGGGCGGACTTATACCAGCAATTTCGCCACCATTTGGCGCTGGCGACGTGCCTTCCAAGACGACTTTGCAGCCCGTATGCAGTGGACACTTACTAATGATCCTTGCAAGACCAATCATGCACCCGTCGTCTTTATTAATGATAGTAATGGTGGTTCTGAGCCTGTACTAATAGAAGTAGAGGCTGGCGAGAAGCTTTTCCTCGATGCCTCCAAGAGTTACGACCCAGATGGAGATGACATCACCTTCAACTGGTTTCAGTACAAGGAACCAACCTCTGTACAGGGATGGCCCGAAGTTCTCACTGGCGTTGAGATCACTACTATCGACTTGGAAGGTCCGGGGGATAGGGTTGAAGTGCAAATTCCATGCCCCGAAGTGTCCGCTCAAGAGCCGATTAGCGGTCAGGCAGTGGCTAAGGGCCATGAATACCATATCGTCCTGGAAGTTCGGGATAACGGAGCGCCTAGTATGACGACATATAAACGAGTCGTTATACAAACTACGAACAAGGCTCTGCGTGGTAGTAGGGGGAGTGCGGTCGCAACAACTGCGGAGTGGCTGGAGCTGCGGAAATAGCTACTAGTATTCTATCATCACAGTCTCTCTTAATGCTCTAAGATCACTCCATGACTTGTAACAGAGATAGTAGTAAGGAGAAAGAAAGAAATTAAAAGAATATCATAGAAATATGCACAACAATGGAGGTCACAGAAATCTAAGTAGGAAAGCATTGGTAGATTGCAAGAATCTGTGCTCGAGTATATTAGGACTAATTTACAACTACCCTGACGCGACCAATGTTTGCGACCTGAGCATAAGGAGTCTTTACATCTCCGTCACGGTTGGAAGTGACACGGACAGCGGCAAAATACGTCCCCCGCTTCTGGTACGCTCGAGAAACCGTCACATCCAAGATAGCTTTGCCACCCGCAAAGTCCTTGCCAAAAGTTCCAGTCCCTTTAAAGTTTCCAGTTCCTTCAAGGTCCCACTCGACCGAAGTGATAGAGCCAGTGTCCGTGGGGACCTCGATATGGGCCTTGAAGGACACGGTTTTTTGAGCCAGAATGGTTATTTGTGTCTTGCCACTCACTGTCAAGTCCACAACGGGCTGAATGCCCTTACGACGGGCCGCAGTGGCAGGAACCTGGACCTGTCCATGGCTGACAGAGTATGATGTTCCGGTAGGTGGCTGTTTTCCTTTCTCGACCCAAGCACTTAGGTCCCTAAGATGCTGTTCGTAAGCGGGATGGTATGAGACGATCCGGGTCAGCTGATCTCGAGGTACCGGCTCCAGGTAGTGATCGGAATGGTCACTATAATACAGTCTGAAATTATCATCGAACCGATCGGCAAGGGTTTCCTTGACTTCTGATCTGTACCAATCGGCGTGCCACGGGAATGCATCAAAGTCCTTAAGCGTATCCATAACTATCACCTTGCCGGTGATATTACCAGTAAAGGTGCCCCCACCACTCGCGGCACGAGCAATGATAGGACCGATCAGTAAGTTACGCTGGGGGTACTTGGGCGTTCCATCGGCTTTGCGAAGATAATCATACCCATAGAACCCTGGCTGAGTAGGAACTTGGTATCTATGGTATACAGAGGCCGCTAGCCATGCCCGGTTGTTAACCTCGATCCGAGAACCCTTGGAAATCCTAGCAAGGACAGTTGCGTTCTGACCAGGGTCGATCTCAGCCGTCAAAGAACCCTTTGCAATCTGTATGGTGAACTGACCGAGAGCCGATTTGCCATCCACCGACTTGATAGTGGCCTGAAGCCCATAAGCCGGCGGGATTGAAGGAGTCTTGGCAAGAGTGATAGAGACAGGGACTCCCCCCGAACCAACATGGGCCGACTTTACGGTCGTGTTGAATTCGACCACAGCCTTGCGGTAAAAGTCACCGAGGTCGGACTTTTCAGTTCCAAGATATCCATCCTTTGTCCAAAAGTCATTGAGATAGGTCGGATCGAAGCGAACAATGTTGGGAAGGACTATAAGTCGGAATGTTCGCAGGAAATTTGTCCTGTTCCCAGCGAGGCCCTCCCAATCCTCGAATGCTTCGAATGCGAGGCCAAGCTCAGTGACCTCTGTAAGGACCTTCTTTCCAACTGAATTCAAGTGCCTAAGAGGGTCATTGTCCCCTCCAGGCCGGACCGAGTCTCGGATCTTCTCCTTTTGTGATTCTAGAACCAGACGTGCCATTGCACGTATGCAGAAATTGTTTGGGTTGGAGATAGCAATAGCCTGGACAAGAGGAATAGCACCTTGCCAGACGTCAAAGGTATTCTCTATAGCCCCAACGATAACCAAGGAGCCGCCGCTGGCGCCATAGATATAGGCATAAATCTTTCGATCAGACTGATAATACTCAGCAGCAATAGTTCGCGAAAGCTTGGCCACAGCAGCATCAGCACGATAGCCTCCACCTCCAGCTACATGGTTAGTATACCCGCCACTGTCGGCACCGAAGCCAATCTCGTGGTCTTCAGCAGTCGAGTTCTGCAGAGGGTAGACCAGCTGAAAAAACCTTCCATCCCACCCAGACTTTGGAAGGTAGATATTGAAATCGACATTGGTTTCACTGAAGTGCCCTGAGACCCTCCGGTGTGCGACGGGAGTAGCGAAGTCTTGCTCAGCGTCAATGATGACTGTGTTATAAGTGGAATCAACGCAGTCAGCCGTGACGTGGACGGCTCCATTGTTGGTGACACATGCAGGGCCCTTGGCTACGATAGGAGACGTTATAGCCTCGACAGTGGCAGCAAAGGCAGTGGTGGCACAAAAGCATGACCTTGGTTCCATGTGAGCTTATGCATTAAGATAAAGTGTAAGAACTTACTTACCAGACTTGCCTTGCAGTGAATGGGAACATTGTTGCAAGATAACTAGGGTGGACCGATAAAGGTCTCGCCAAGGGTAGAGCTGGTGGCAATGGAGCGTATGATTCAAACGAGATGAGCTTCCTTTCCAATGGAGCTTCCAAGCCTTTATATTATTATTTGACGTGTGTTCCCTCCATCAAGACCAGGGTCACTCTTCTAAGCTTACAATAAAGGCATGAGATTCTCACTACTGATCCCTACCGCTCTACGTGCAACCATTTCGATGCTGTCCTAAACCAAGCTCAGCTTATTCTCCTTTTATTCATGGTAAAATATGAAAGGATCATGGTCTAGACCTAGCTTGAGGGCAAATGATGTGAATTGATATGTGCGAATGGACGGAATAAGCTAGTAACAGCAATCATGGGGTAATCTGGGGCAACAAGGGTATATTGCCTGATCATTAAGGTTAAATTATATCTAAACGGACGCCCCTGCTTTGTTAAGAGGCCAACGCAAAGTTTAACTCTAGGTAGCTAGTCACATCCCGTCATCCCCCACAATCATGATGCGGGGCATGCTAGCGTAATCCACTACAGTGCGGAGCCAAGGCTTTTAACTCTACGTCCTGTAGTCAGACCGCAGGCATCGATGTCCCCGTAATGTGAGGTTGGTCCGAAAGATCCGGGGCAAACCACACTCGGTCTTGATTAGACCGACACTTAGACGTCAGATGACTTTGTTCAAGGGGACGAAATGTTGCTAGCCAACTGGCTATTCCTTTTAGGAACACTAAAGCAGCATCTCGCTACAAAGTGATACCGAGAGGAAGCGGATCATTGCAAATAGACTCATGATCGAGACAAGTATTAGTCATTTCCACGGACTCCTGCGAGGCTAGTAGACTACCCTTGACCATTACAGAGCGCTTTGGCTTGCCATATAGGGCACGCGGAGTTTCCACTGTGTGTTGCTGTCAAATTATGCCTGATTGAGTTCCACCCTGCATCTCCCAAGTCACCTAGCACCCCGCACATCACGGAGTGGTGGAGAACACAGTCCAGTCTATGCTTAGAAAACGTCTTTCAGTAACTCAGTTGATTGAGGAGGGTTTTTGACGAGATACAGCCACTAGCCTGCCTAAGCATCATCTGCCTACAGGGATGATTGTAAATGAGCCTGCGACACGCGTGCAGCATACGTCCTGATAATTCCATCTAATACTGTAATCTTCTTTTCTGAGTTGGTAGGCGACAGCGTTCGGGTAACTGCTCGGCCTGCAGTTGTTTCCAATGGAACGGCCCACGTAGAATCTTTTTCACGTTTGTAACATCAAGGGACCCGGCTGTACGGTTGTATCCACCACTCGGTACATCATTTCGGAAGAGTAATCCACCGAGAATAACCGTGGCGCAGAGCAGAGCGGTATTTAAACGCCGAGCTTGCACCGAATGCAATCCCTGAGCCAGCTTTCAACCTTCCTTCTACACAGTCAAGCCATTTTTCTACCTCTTTCAGCATACCAAAACCAATTTCGTCATGGTGTTGGTAGATGTCCAGGTCGCGAACGTTCATTTTCAGCACCACCAACCTCAGTACAGTCTTGGTCTGGATGATCCTAGACCAAGAATATCATGGACCTTGGTTACTGAGAACACCTTCATACAAACTGCGTATGAAATTGAAATTACTCAACATCCCCCAACGTCAACTACTCAAAATGATGTCGCCATCACTCAGAATCGGCAGACCTGTTTCAAAATAGAGTCGAGCTCTTCACAGTTGGTGCCGTGGCCCGACAAGGATTCTCTAAAACCCCGGCAAAGGATCTCTATACGTATAAGAGCCTTTGACGGCCAGAACGTTACCTCTTGGAGCCAGGGGACGTTCTACGAAACTGGACTGATGACGAGAGAGAACTGGGCTTGCCAAAGGATTAGCTCGACCCAGCTTGTCCAGGGAAGCAGCTCGTCTCAGCGAGAGCAACTGCTTTGTAAAGCTTTCGGAACCAGGTCCTGCCCAATCACTAGGGCAAGATTATACGTCGTGGTCCAAGGTGTTTATGAAGCAGAGCTGAACGGCCATCGCGTCGGTGATGACTTCTTAGCCCCTGGATGGACAGTTTACGATAATCGTATCCGGTACCAGACATACGACGTAGCTGACCTACTCAAATCCTCTGGTCAGAACTGCCTTGGCTTTCGTCTTGCTGATGGTTGGTTCTGCGGACGCCTTGGTTTCTTTGGCGGCCGACAACACCGATGGGGTCCTTTTTCTACTTTGATGGCACAGCTTGAGATAACATACGAAGATGGAACGGTAGAGTCGGTAATTTCAGACTCGAGCTGGTACTCGATACCGGGACCTGCAACCAAAGCCGAGCTGTATGACGGAGAAAAGTACGACGCCAACCTCGCAATCCGACATTGGTCTAGTGCGAGCCACTCGGCTGATGCAGGTTGGGAATCAGTTACTGTACTTGATCCTTTGCCTGCATCTGTTGGATTTGTTTCCGGTTGCTCGGAACCTGTTCGCCGAGTAGAAACCATCCGTCCTGTTAAACTCATAACCACGCCCTCGAACAAGACAGTCGTTGATTTTGGCCAGAATCTTGTCGGATATGTACGGATCAAGGGAATCAAGCGGCCAAAACACCACAAGATTGAGCTTCGTCATGCCGAGGTTCTTGAACATGGTGAACTTGGCCTTCGACCCCTCCGCTTTTGCGAAGCGACTGATGTGTATATTTGTGACGACGACGCATCTGCTCATTCGTGGGAGCCCAAGTTCACTTTTCATGGCTTTCGGTACTGTCAGATCGATGGTATGGCAGATGACAGTACTCTTCTCGATTCAGTCGAGGCTGTTGTGTGCCATACTGACATGCGACCCGTGGGAGACTTCTCATGTTCCAATGAGAACATCAACAAGCTCTTCAGCAATGCACGCTGGAGTACGAAAGGAAACTTTCTTTCCATCCCTGCAGATTGTCCACAGAGAGATGAGCGTCTGGGGTGGACTGGAGACATTGCCCAATTTGCTCCTGCTGCGGTTCAGCTATTTGACTGTCACGGCTTCTTGAAAGACTGGATGGTGGACGTGAGATATGATCAAGACTCCCGAAAAGGTGTCCCAGCATATGTCACGCCAAATATGTTTGGTGAGGAGGTTGGAATCTGGAGCCTCCCGCTGCCTGTCGCGATTTGGCACGATGTGGTCGTCTTGGTACCGTGGGCTCTCTACATGGCGTCTGGTGACATGCAGATCCTCAGTGACAACTATGACAGTATGAAGAGGTGGATCGAATCTATACCGCGGGATGATAAAGGCCAGAGGAGGTTATGGGCCAGGGACTCATTTCAACTGGGTGTAAGTGATGCCATGACTGGATTCTGTCAGTGGCTGCTTGTTATCTAACACTTTATAGGATTGGCTAGACCCAACGGCACCACCAGAACAGCCAATGGACGGGTCTACAGACCCCATTCTAGTGGCAGATGCGTTTCTCACTCGTTCATTAGATTTGATGGTTCGTGTTGCGACTGCACTGAACAAGCAACAAGATGCTCGATACTATGCTCTAGCGGCAGTCGACTGCCGTCAAGAGTTCCTGGAAGAATACGTGTCACCAAGAGGCCGCATCAGCTCAGACTCTCAGACAGCTTATTCTTTGGCAATATGCTTCGAGCTGGTGTCAGATGATCAACTATCTTATGCAGGGCAGCGTCTAGCTACCATCATGAGGAGAAACCAGTTCAAGATTGGGACAGGCTTTGCGGGAACGCCATTCTTATGCGAGGCTCTTATCCGTACTGGGCATGTGCAAGTAGCGTACGCTGTACTACTCTGCCAAGAATGTCCCTCATGGCTATACACTGTTAAGTCAGGTGCAACAACCATGTGGGAGCGTTGGGATAGCATGCTACCCAATGGCGACATAAACCCCGGTGAAATGACATCCTTCAATCACTATTGCTTCGGCTCCGTGATAACGTTTTTATATGAGCGTCTAGGGGGCCTGAAATGTCTTAAACCAGGTTGGACAAGAATCCAGTTTGCACCACAGCCCGGTGGTGATATACAATTTGCGAATGCGTATCAAAAGACACCTTATGGGTTGGCGTCTATAGAGTGGAGGGTGGAGGAGGGCAAGTTCTTTATGGAGATTGTTGTTCCAGTTATGACAGAAGCCGAAGTTGTTTTGCCAGATGGTAAAGACGAAGTAAGGATCGTTAAGGCTGGGAAATGGTCCTTTTCTTGCGAGCTTTACGCTCAAGATTGGCCTGTTCTAGCGATTCAAGCTTTTCCAGATGTAGGTCCTACATCTGAGCCCAAGGCAGCCCCTTGAGAGATTTCAATGAGCAGATGCAGATTTAGCCCCGCGAGTGGTATTAAAAGCTTTGAAATATACCATTTCAACACTTGATACTTGAAAGAAGTGTAATGTTGTTGTGTTTAGTAGAAAACAATCAGGTAAGACTAGATTTACCCCTGCACCTTCTCGGCCTGTTATTCCGCGAGTCGAGAGACGTGGCCGAAAACGGAGGAAGAAACCACCCAGCTGTTGGAGTCTGGCATGCACGGTTGACTCAGGCGAGCTTAGTGCAATGTGGTGGCGCCCTAGGTAGGACGGCTCAACCAATTGCATGATTTTCGTCTTGGCCCTTGCCGTCGCCATGGAGTGTGGCTAAGCACCCTGTCCAATCGCCTGTTTTACGGATACTAAGAAGCGGCCCACGCATAATCTAAATTCTCATAAACAGAATGAGAAATGAGTTAGCGTGCTTTCGATTCTGCCACAAGCTGAGGCTATTGGGTTGATTTGCCATGACCAAAGCATTCAGACTATTTCATTGTTAGATCGTGCAAATTGAAAGACGGCTGTTGGCAGACAAACAATAACCTCTCAGCATTTCAGGCCAACAAAGGTATGTCAGATGTTGGCGGCGACTCTTGGGGTAGAGCTTAGCAGTAGTGGCGTGAATTTAGTGTCAGCTCGCGTCTTCTCCGCGCTCAAGGCACACTGGCGTAGCCGTAGGCAGCAGCCTCTTGAGCCTGGTTGGTGGGATCTGGCTAACTGCTTTCTACTGCTGTGTCAGCTTACAATGTGACATCTAAATAGGAAAGTTTTAGCACAGGGATATCTCGACTACTGAATCCAGGTTTAAGTCGGCTTAGTGATGTGCCGAGTTTTTAACGCTGCTAATAACGAACGCTTGCTTTTCGGGTGGTTGTCACAGATCAGACCGAGCAGAGAAAAGTCATTAGTAATTTAGGAGATCATATGACTCTTTGGGCCACCCAGGGCTTGTGGGATACTCAAATATGCATAAGACCAGTCAAGAAAGTAAAAATGACTAATCGATTGGCAACAAGCGATTAAAGCACATGTTGTAGAGCTCCATAAGCCTTGAGTGGCCTAAATAGATACGAAATACTTTTTAGGCTAAATGCAGTTTAACAGTGGACATGTAGAGCAGCACAGCAACCCTACTTTTCCCTTTAAAAACGCAGTGTCTCTATCTATCTATCTAATCCGGCCTACTTACATCCAAAGTCTCAGTTCCATTGTGGCATCATTTAAAATGCCTCTTGTTACCAACCCCATCCTTCCTGGGTTTAACCCGGATCCCTCTATTCTTCGGGTTAAGGATGATTATTATATTGCCACGTCAACCTTTGAATGGTACCCCGGTGTTCAGATACACCATTCTAAGGATCTTGTGAATTGGAACCTAGTGTGTCGGCCTTTGAATCGTGCAAGTCTTCTTGATATGCGTGGGATACCTGATAGTTGTGGAGTCTGGGCTCCATGCTTATCCCATGATGGATCGAAGTTCTATCTTGTTTATACAAGCACCAGACGACTTCACGGATCTTTCAAAGATACTCCCAACTACATCACATGCGCCGACGATATCCAAGGACCGTGGAGTGAGCCAGTATACGTCAACTCCTCAGGTTTTGACCCTTCTTTATTCCATGATAATGAAAACTGCACGAAATGGTTCGTCAATATGCTGTGGGACCACCGCAACCGACCTCTTCTATTTGCAGGTATTTGCTTGCAGCAGTACGATCCTGATCTGGGAAAGCTGGTGGGACCTAGGAAGAACATCTGGCAAGGAACGAGTTTAGGGTATGTAGAGGGTCCACACATGTACAAACGCAACGGATGGTACTACATACTGGCTGCTGAGGGTGGAACTGGATGGCTTCACGCATGTTCCATGGCAAGGTCTCGATCAATCTGGGGTCCTTACGAGAATCATCCAGAGAACCATATCCTGACTTCAAAGGACGACCCGTTGGTGGCATTACAAAAGGCTGGTCATGGAGATATCGTGGGTACGCCCGACGGTCGAACTTATCTGGTGCATCTTACCGGCCGGCCCACGGGACAAGAACGTCGATGTGTCCTTGGTCGTGAGACAGCCATACAAGAGGCATACTGGGCCGATGATGACTGGTTATACGTGAAGGATGGTCCAATTCCCAGTTTACACGTTAACTTGCTGGCGGCTCGCGACGATGCGAATTACTGGGCTGAGCAACGATATGCTTTTGAGAGTAATCTCCCGTCCGATTTTCAGTGGCTCCGAACGCCCAAGCCGAACCGTATCTTCAAGGTGGACAATGGACTCGTGTTATATGGTCGCGAGTCGATTGGTTCCTGGTTTGAGCAGGCTCTTGTAGCGCGTCGACAGTGTCATTTCTCATTCGATGCCGAGACAGTAATTGAGTTCTATCCAGAAGATGAGCGTCAGTACGCAGGGCTTACTGCATACTACAACCGGTATAGCTTCTACTACCTTACTGTCACTGCACACTCGGATGGAGAGAGGGAACTTCTCTTGATGAAGGTTTCCGCACCAAACAAAGAAGCATCACTGGATAGTCATACTATTGAGCCTATTTCGATTCCTAAACAAGGTGGAGTAAAGTTGGCCATGTCAGTACGCGGAGACAAACTACGCTTCTTTTACGCCATGGAAGATGAGGAACTCAAGCAGATGGGGCCGGTGCTGGATGCATCAACGCTTTCGGATGAATGTGCTCAGGACTGGGGAGACTCCCCTTTCACTGGTGCATTTGTCGGGATGGCCTGTTCGGATCTGAACGGATTAGCACGAGAGGCCCGGTTCGATTACTTTGTTTACCGTCCTGTCAGAGATCAATCGGATCGATATGGAGATTTCAAGGCTAGGGGCAGGATCGAATAATTGTATTTAGTGGAAGCCGGCACAAATGTCTTGACACCTGAGCAGGCCGTATTACACGGTGTGGGATATTTACACCCTGGGGCATGGATACTTGCTGTATAGAACGTGACATTGCTTTGAGAATTACAATACATGCCAACAGCTACAAGCTTACATCTAAGACATAATTTGATGTTTATAGCCTTGGTCACTTAACTAGTACTGAGAATATCGAGGCGCAGCTGCGGGCTAAATATTCGGAGTGCACATCTTAGGATCATTACGAGGGATGGTATTTAGGACAAGATTAGATTCTGAACAAATTATATGGAGGTGATGAGGCATTGAGAGCATATACATCAAGCTCAACCGGGCTCTTACTGGCTGCAGCAATCCAAGGCTCTTCAGGGTCAATTGTGACAAGTACAAAGTTTTTTTTGACCAAGTCAATCGTGGAGATGGTCTTGCCAGACGAGGTGGTATTCTCGATATAAGAATGGAGGAACCTGCATCCAGGAACTGCTGTAGGGAGAGCGGGATCGTCTCCATTTCGAGGGGGTTGGAACCCTAGCTCAATTGACACGTCCGGGGCCTCTGGGGCGGGGGGCTGCTGTAGGACAATTCGGTTTTGGGAGCGGTTGTAGGCCTAGTTATCAGTAAACTTATCAATGGGTTGTCATTCGATGTTATATGTTGCAAGCAGTGAGTGCGAGGATTTTCCGGGCAAGACTTATGCTAACTTCCAGTCAAGGTTATCTGCATCCTACGGGAATGAGAGTTAGTACCGTATTTCAAACGGGGACAAAGTAACTGACATCTATTTCAGTGTTCACCCAAGCCTCCAGTTGGTGGCATAGTATGGGCAGAGCATCCAGCAAGGAAAACTTGACCGCCCTTGCTCTCAAACCGACCAGCGGTGTACGCCGCCATAGTCCAACAATTAATTGACACGATCTCAGGGGTGACTTTGTCAAGGGTCAAACCAGACAGTTGATAGAAGTATTGATTAACGTCATCCACAGTGACAGATCCCGGTTCAAAAGTGGCATTGGACCCGACATTATTGACCATAATGAAGCCCTGCTTTTCCTCGTTTTCTAGTCGGAAACCTTCACCAATATCTTTATTTGCCACATAGACAACTTGATGAAACATTTCCTTGCCGATGAACAGACTCAATTCTGACTTGAAGCTGATATCGAGACTATTTAGAAGAATACTTGGTCCCTCTCAGCTGATACCTAGTACTACAGTCCCAAATCAACTCTAGTAGAGTTGATTTTATTGACCCACTTTAAACCTAGTAGAGTTGATTATTGCCAGGGTGTAGAGTTGATTTAACGCTGTCCTATATACAGGAGTAGTAGTGCTGATCAGAACAGGGGTTTGTCAGGGGTTTGCCACAGAACGCGACACGTCCTTTCGCGTAAAGTGCTATAGGGGGGTAATATCATACTACTAGACAGTCTCGTTGTTGATCAAAGCACTATCATTATTCAGATCTTACTACTAGTCACCGAGTCACTATGACAGCTTCAAACTTGCAATCTGAACCATGCAGTGCAATTTATCCCTACGTTCTTCTCTCCACATACCGTCTTCTCGTGTGCCAGGTTTGTGCGTTCGCCTCTGTAGCCGATGAGGTTGCTACGCATTTAAGAACACGACATCGCGATATACAGTCAGAGCGTCGACAGGAGCTGGTAGAGAAGATAAAACAGGTCCCGAATATTCTCCACAGTCGGGACGACCTACGTCACTATTTACAGTACCCAACGGATACAATTCAACCCATCCCGTATCTTGCGCCGCCAAAACCAGACGGTTTGAAATGTCGTGCTTGCGGCCATATTGTCCGTCGCGTCCAAAAGATACAAAAACATTGCACTGAAAAGCATCAATGGATGAACCCACGAGGCAGGGGAAGACCAGCACCGAATTACCCCGTATCCGCTTACGAGCTACCATGGGAGGAACATGTCGCATGTCAACGATTCTTTCCTTCTCGTGAAGGTAGCAAATGGTTCCAGGTCAACATGCGGATAAAGGAACAGGCGAACAGACCAGGAGCAAAACCTAGTGCCAAGAAACCACAAGGAACGCTCCAGGCCCTAACATCTGAGGCATCTATCCATCTACAACAAGTCATAGAGCGGGACACTCAATATCGGGAAGCCTTAAGTCAGCCACGAGCAACCGTTAATGACGCAGGCACCAATACATTCCCTGCTATAAGCTTGTGGCTAGATAGGACACAATGGCCGTCGATCTATCGAGGTTCCCGTCGAGATGTTCTATGAGCATTAACCAGATTACCTAACCGTCACTCTCTTGACAACGACTATATTGTGGGACAGGACACCTTGGACGGTGCGCAGGACCTTATAAGTCCACGAAAGGATGAACAGAAGGTTTCATTCATTATGAAAGCACTTGACTCTGTGATAAACCGTTGTGAGGATACGGTTCGCGCTACTAGTCACAATCTTCTCTGCTGGCTGCTTAGCTTAAGACTCCAGAGCCGTCGGGAGTTTGGTTTTAAGCTTGTTGTAGAGAGGAGTAGCGAGATTAGATACCGAAGGACTCAGAAGTAATTCTTGGCTTTTATCCTGCAAATCTACCGAATGCCGGATGACTCTCGTCGAGAAATGGTCAACGTGAAGATGAAGCCTGAGATTATTACCCAGTTAGATCGCATTTGGGAGCATAGCATTTGGAACTACTTTGACCTGGCGAAGGGGACTTGGCCAGTCGTGGAGAGGCAGGGAAGTCCCCTGGCAGGAACATGTTCTAGTCTCATAGGCGGCCAATTCATCAGTGGTTCTCTTAATAATCGACCTTGCCAGGGGTCAGATGCGGAAGACGGTACCGAGGACGGTGAGACAGATGACGAGAACGTTGAGGCTTGGGAGCTTGATGATGACGAAGATGACGAGGATGGCGAGAGCGATTATGACAATTCTGGACATTACAACGGCTTTAATGAGTATACGGCTGGAATTCACCAGGATATATCCTCAGGGATATCAGGTGATTCTGCTGCATCTGCATTTGACCAATTCCTTGAACTTTTGTTTCAGCTTTATGTTACGCTCAGTACTGAAAGTTATCTCGATGGGCAACCAAGCTCTATACTGCTTATATATTTCAGCGGCATCCTTGGATTTTCCTCAGACTGTCAGAGATTCCAACTCGCTCAACAGTACTGCTCAAAGCTGTCAGCAATGATTTATATACAGCGTATATTATTCCTGGAGCGAGCATTGCCTCTACGTGAATATAGGTCTATCGGTATCCCACAACGGCCAGACGCTGGGCAATTCGAGTGCTTTAATCAAGTCCGAGCCAAGTATATGGTTCTGGGTTCACAATACCCGTTGGCAGAGCTGATAAGCCTTCGAGATTTCGGACGCAACATTGCACGAACTGAACCACCATCTATGCTTTTCCACTGGAGTAACGATAGTGAGACGGTATCTCATGCCACTTTTCAAATAACAATGAATAACTTCCGCAAGCTTGCGGACCATTTTATTACACAGGCAGAAGCGCTGTGCGATCAATTGATGTTTGGTGTACATCCACACGTCGACTTGTCAAAGATCAAAGACGATATCTCTAGTTCAGAAAGTGGTTACAGCTTTATCAGCTGCCCTGGAAACGGTCTTGAGTCAGCATTCCTGGAGCTATTAGTCAGTGCCTATACTGCAGGCAAAAACAGACTAGCTAAAGACGGAGTTTGGAAGTGGCATGCTGTAACAGCGTATTTAACACAAGTCAGGAAGATGGAGGAGCAGCTTGCTGGTGGTCTTTATACTGCATGTGGCCAGACACCACGAGTCAGGGAACTCTTCAGCCTCGAGTACGAGAATGGCCTGAATACAACTTGTGGGGTACATGTTTGGGGTGGCTATATGGCATACATCATCTGCCATCATAAAGCAAAGCGACTGACGAACCGCGAATTCTATGTGGTGCGATTCCTTCCGGTCAGACTGGGTCACGTTCTGTTCAAGTACCTTGTCTATATTCGACGAGTTGCTGATCTACTACGCCGCGAGCAGCTCGGTGCCGATAAGAGAGGTCAGCAATGCTTACAGACACGCTTACTGTTCCATCACAACGGGAGGTCTTGGCCCACATCTCACATGACAGACGTTGTTACGAAGGCGACTTTAGAAGTATGGCGACAAAAGATTAATGTACGGACATATCGCCAGCTGGCCATAGCAGTTACCGAGAAACATGTTCGCGAGGTGTATACCCCGTTCAACAGGCATGACGACTGCAGTGATGGTGCTGATACCAACGCCATATTCGCTTGGCAGAGTGGGCATCGGCCACTCCAGCGTGGGATCACATATGGACTAGATGGAGCGTACCCATCTAGACTTCAGCCATCACTTCTACGATGCTATGAGTGGGCTTCGGTCCGTTGGCATGAGTTTCTGCGCCAGTCAAGTAAGAGCCTGCCTTTTAAACCTGAAGGAACACCCGTCGACCCAACGTCATTTCCATCCAGTAGGAAGCGGATTATCACAGAAGTCACTGCGGACCATATACCTTCAATGGATGAAGCTTATTTGACAAAAAGACAAAAGGGTAGCGGACCATTGACAACCATGAGTAAGGAAGATGTGCAATCTATACCAGCAGAAGGTTGGCAAGACAGGCAGGACTTGATCTTACCTGTAACATGTAATGAGGCCCTACCCCAAGACGTGCGTGCCGGAAGCAAATATTCTGAAGTCACGGATGGAGTTCTCCATGTGCTTGATGAGCCTCGGATTTTGCTTTGCCTCCTCTGTAGACGCGCTGTTCGACCTGGCAGAGGTATCGAAAACCACTTTCGAAATACGCATAAGTACACGGGAGATAAACTTAAGGGAATACTATCGTTTTGCGATAAGCAAGCGTTTCAAGATCCGACCAAGGTACCACTTCCGGAAAATGGTAGTAAGGCTATCCCGCAACTCCCAAAGCTAGGTGGATTTAGTTGTGATTACTGTGACTTCTTGTCTATCGACAAGTCGAACCTCAGGCGCCATTGTAGCTCGTGTAAACCTCACGATAGAAAAGGTGGCGAAAAAGGGTGGAAACATGTATTACTCCAGAGATTAGTCAAGGGTAGTAGTGTTCGGTATTGGATCGTGGAGTAGCAGGTGGTTAATCGATATGGGATATAACAGACATAATCACTCTTACCTGTTATATTACTAAAAGAAACTAGCACCATCTAAACCCCATCAGATTCAGAAGATTAAAATCCTACTGTACCAATTACCCCCCGTATCAGGTCCTGATACACGATTTGATGGTCCGTGCCCTACTCAAGAATTATCATCAAAAACGCATTGCCGTTCTGCAACTGCATACTTTGGGTCGCCAGATGTTTGTACCAGTTTTTACGGAGAGAGAATTGCAGCCTGAAGAATTTTGGGGCTATGGGTCTTCATCTGCAGAAAATAGGGGCTAACAGGGCCTATAGGGGTAAGTCTTGCTTTCTTGATTATTGTGAGATCAACGTATGGCTCCATGGCAGCTAACAAACCAAACTTCGGACGGCAGGACCTGCCGATAATCCGACGAAAATAAAATCATTTGGAAGTTCTTCAATTGGTGCGGCTAATAATTCAGAATTAGCGATATCCATAATGAGGCCTTCTACCTGCAGGTTCTTGTTGGCTCGAATACAGAAGATCAACCAGCACTCGAAGCAGCACGTCAGCCTCATCGGACTAACAGAAACATATCATTTGTGAGAAGAGATGTCAAGCAAAGCGCAGTAAGCAGCACACAACCTATCGATAAAAAAAATAAAATAAAAAAAAACTCTGTTATGTTCACCAAATATGACGAATGCTAACCCGTATGGTGGCAATCTCTTGCGTAGGGTAGATGTGCTTTCCATGTTGTCTCCTTTCCTTTTCTTGAGAAAATAGCAGTCACACTATGACTCATCAAAATACAACTGTTGGCTGAATGGCCCTGCCGGCATGGATGAAAAGGGAAACGGTTGCATATTTTTACCCCTCACAGATAACAAACAATAGGCAGCGGTAACTCCACTATACCTTGTAAAGCAAGTCGATTGGGACCCTAAAGAGACTGCGGAAAAGGCTTCATATGATGATGAAGACAGGTTCTGTGAGCCTGAAGCTGCGACAGAATACGATCCATCAGCAAGAGACACGGAACCTTCCCTGGCTTGCGACATACCAACTCTTGATGCTAAAGAAGAACCCATGAGCGAGAAGCTTGGCGAATACGAAGCAGCTACCATTACGGCCGAAGAAGGAGAGGAGCTAGCCGCCTTGACTCTTAAGAAAGCCAAAAGGGGCAAGCTGGTTAGAAATGATAGGGTTCGATTTACTCTCCTTACACAAAGAGCCGACAATGCAGCACAGGCCCAAGCTGCTAAGGACGATGAAGATGCAGCTGTAGAAGCCATACCGGAGAAACCAGATTGGGGTTATACGAGGGATTATGTGGCACTAGCAAAGCCACCAGCAGATGAAACGCTGAAGGAAGACAAATCTTGGCCAGAAGAGGAAAATGCGGCACCAGAAGCAGAGCCGATAGAAGACGCTAAACCTGTGGATGGTATGTTGCTCAGATGCGTATCAATTGCAGTATACTCACTGACTAGACGCACCAGAGGAAGAACACCAAGAGCCGAAGCCTGATGACTATATTCAAAAGGAGCAAAAAATAGCAAAACTACCTTTCAGCAGCCCGTATAGGTTAACGGCATATCTACAGCAGGTCCTCGAGCAGGCGTGTTTTGCTTATGGACGGAAAAATTGGCCAGAACTACTACGCAAGAATAACTGGGACTGTGTAGAAGCAGTATCGCTTACTACGTGGGTAAAAGAATTGGAGGATACTTTGGATACGCAACCGAGCAGAGGTCTTCTGCAATCAATAGCTGAAGTCCAAGCCATAGCCGTCGAACGTAGGCCTATCGACTGGCCTATGATGAAGAAGTTTTTTGACGATGCTGTCGAGCTTACCGAGATCTTGAATGTCAAAGAGTATGGGGAAATCATTATACAGATTCAACTTGATATTGGAAAAACAATGAAGAGCCTGAGCCGGGACGAAGAGGAGGCACAGAGCCAAGAGGAGAAGAAGTTGCAATGGATTGCTGAGGAGCGAAGAAAGCTAGATGAGCGGGAGGCGGAAGTTCGAAAGGGTAAGGAAAAAAGTACGAAAGAGTTCCGGAAATCGGCTGAATGGGAAGTCAAGAGAGTGCTAGAGGAGGCAGAGAAAACATTAGAGACAAGGGAATTTTTCTTAGGTTTAGTTAGGGATTAAGGAATGCTGGGTGGTTTTTTTACAAATTGAATCGACACCAAGCAGACAATGGTGCACTAGAAAGAAAGAAAGAAAGAATTGACTATGGTGTCTAATAATTTTTAAGAATTGTTATCATATTGAGGTCTTAATGGGTTGGTTACCAGCATCGCTTGTAGTATGTTTTTTAAAGGTTGAATTATAACAGTGGGGTAAGTGGTTTTAGGCGCTTGTGGAGATGGGTAGAGATTTAAAGTTTTGGTGGATTTTTAGTGCTAGCGGGGTTAATACAAGGACTAGTAGTGCGTCCGTCGCTCCCCCATTCGATCTGGGGTTGGCGAATTTCTCCACTCTCAACGACATATCAAGAGCATTCATCGTGATGATGATGATGGGATAACCCGCAAGGACGACAAGGGGCGGCAGGCAGTTATTCTAGCATGATGACTAGCGAGACAGGCCAGGGCGATCAGTGGATAATGATAATGGATTTATGTGTGCATCGAACGGTACGATATTGGCGTCATTCATTTATTCATTCCAGTGGCTAATGCTAGCTAGAGCATAGCGGTCTACTGGAGGGTAATGACAGCTATCTATTACCGTCCATTTATTATCCCGTGGGTTGATCCAGGCTGGTTTTTTACGACTACAACTATAGAACCTGTAACATCGTATAGAGGTACTTTTTTGGTATCTTTCGAGCCTCCAGTACAAAGTGTAACGGCTGCACCTAACCACTACGCCATAGGGCAAAAGATTGGCTAGTAAGTGCTATTGTAGCAAGTATAGTAGTGCATACAGATGCTTATAGAGCCTTACAGCGCTGTTACAGGGACTAATCGTAACACAAAGCTCCGAGGGCAGGGGTGCGGCTATAATAACAGATAGCCGCGAGTGGGTTAGACAAAGGATAGGGTTGGAAGGTTACTTTAGCCGTTATTATAACCCTAACCCTGGTCGCCAGTCCGCCTAGTAACTAATGACCAAATCAACTCTACTAGAGTTGGTTTTATTGACCCACTTTAAACCTAGTAGGGTTGATTATTGCCAGGGTATAGAGTTGATTTGACTTTATCCTTTATACAGAAAGGAGAGTGCTGATCAGAACAGGGGTTTGCCAGGGGTTTGCCACAGAACGCGACGCGTCCTGTCGCATAAAGTGCTATAAGGGTATAGCATACTCTAAATGGTTTCATTATTGATCAAAGCTTAATCGTTATTCAGATCTTATTATCAGTAACCAAGTCACTATGATCATCACTATGACGGCTTTAAACTGGCAACCTGAACCATATAATGCAATTTATCCCTACCTTCTTCTCTCAATATACCGCTTTCTCATCTATCAAGTGTATATTTGCCTCTATTACCGATAAGGTTGCTACTCATTTAAAAACACGACACCGCGATTTAAAGCCATAGCATCGATAGGGCCTAGTAGAGAAGATTCGAAAGATCCCGATACATTCTACGCAATCACAACGAACTACGTAATCTATGGTACCCAACTGATACAATTGAACCCATTCTGCATCTTGCGCCACAAGAACCAGACGGGATGAAATATCGTGCATGCGGCCATATTGTTCATCGTATCCAAAAGACACAAAAGCATTGTGCTAATGAGCATCAATGGATGAACACAAGAGGCAGAGGCAACCAAAGCTTAAGAGGAGGGGAGGTCAGGATGAATAACAAGGCATGAAGAGATAGAGGCATAACTTCTAAATTGGTAAATTATAGATCAGAGGATGTACGGCTGACATAAACGAATTGATTCAGAATATATAATACACTCTCCTACTTCTGGCAACACTCGATGACAGACGTCTAGTAACCTCTGCGTTCTGGAGTAAGCACTATATAACCTTGCAGAGTCAGGTGTAGAGAATCTCGGTGATGACCTTTCCATGATGTCCTAATAGCACGAATGCTTTCGTTGTCTCTCGTAGGGTATAGGGTATACGTAATTCGCTGACTTAGAACATAACACTGTATTTTAGCTTAAACCTACTGGAATAGGTTTGTAGCTTAAGACATAAGGAGTAATGGCGGTATTCGGTCGCTCTCGTCGAGACTTAACTGGAAATTATGGTTTCTGGCCATATACAACATAGCTAAGTGCATTAAATGAAGTCTAGGATGGCTTTAAGGTATAGACTTACAAATCAAACAGAGCGTGGTACTTGCGAGCATATAATTCCTGACGTATCTGGGCCAACATCACCAGGACTTCGTCTATGGGCATGCCTAGAACTCCACAGAATATCTTCAGAGAGAAAGCCTCTAGGCCTTCCAAGAGTTAAGCGATATTACACATGCCTATATCTTTCAACTGTAGATCTTTGGGCCATGATCCTAGAGGCAATCGGAACTTTCGGTTAACAACATTCATAAAGCCAGCATGCCTGATCCACCCTTCAAGTCTTGGCCCTGGGCAGGGCTCGCGGTTCAGCTTCGTTCTTGCCGTATCAATGAATAGTTTCATCCATTTCAGGAGGTAATGATTATCCGTGATTAAGCCGTCTTCTGAATAGTAGAGAAGGTCAAAGTCCTGAAATTCGGCCCAGCCGCCAGGATAAAGGTGCCTGTTGACGATCAGTAGGTGCTATCACTTCATTTCGCGCTAAATTACTTAAAAACGTTCTCCACTAGCTTTAGCCAGTCCAGGATGGAAGTCGACATATAGCATGAAAAAATATAGTTAAACTTATCATAGACCCATAGTTGCTCGACGTCATCGACCTCGAACTTGACATTTGGGGGAACCCTTCTTCTATCAACATTGCTACACGTCAAGCTCGGGATCAACATACCATGTAGGTTGGATAGCACTCAAATCGTTTCCGATAATCTAGAATATCAGCAATTCTTACTCCGTATATAGGGAAAGCGTTATATACTTCAGCACTAGGATACTCTTCACCGACGCAAATGGCCCCTATTTCTGTAAGCATGAATCGACACAAAGGAAGACTGAACATAATACCCACATATACCTGTCCCTGTACCAATATCTAAAACCCTTGCTGACCTATTCAAGTCAACTGGAGCTAGAAACAGGCGATTGCCAATGCCTTTAGTTATAAGCAAATGTGTCAGATCGAGTCGTTCTCGTTCTGCTTCGTCGTTAGGAAAGTTATAGGCTGTAAAGTATCAGAAGTCGCACAAAGTCATACGAACTCAGTAAAGGTCTTATAGTCCGCATTATAGGCATGGTATCATCGACCGAATTCAGTGGGATAATTCAGGACGCTCGAGGTCAAAGACGCAGTATAGGTTAATCTGCTTCGATAAGTAACAGACTCGAAAAGGACCTGGTGATTTATATTTCACTACTTAAGGTTGAGTCACTGTCGTTAACCTTAGAACGGTGATTAGATTGCAATAGCGTAAGAAGAGGGGTAGGGAAGGCACACAGGACGCGTGTCCACTTCAACTGGGGCCATATTAGTGGCGGCTTCTGCTGCTTCGTGCACCGGTGACTGCGGCGGATTAGAAGGACTTATGCCAGTCATTGTGGCGGATACGATGGGGAAAGGATTGCTGGGCAGCTACTAAGGAAGTAGACGAAGGGTCAAGTGAAACGGCTTACGGGAAACGTCTTATACTGGGGCCACCGGGTAAACTAGTAATAGCCGAAGTTTATGGCGTAGGGAAGGTCCAAGTTTCATAGGCTAGTGAGGCCATACGCCCCACTCAGTAATCTCTCCACTCAGTGTTAACAGGCTATAGTACGTCAGCTGACTTAATCGAGCTACTTAGCACGTGACCCAGTTGAAGCGCTGTTGGCATAACACTGTAACTAAGCCCTGACCTAGACTGTATCACTAGATAAGGAAATATCTTAGAATACTCTTACTCATCTTCTCTATAACTTTTGAAAGACCTGGTAACTGCTTGGCGGAGATTCTGGCCGTTAGTGGATATCCGGTGTTGCAAACCCCGCTTCAGACGTCATCATCGTCATAGGACGTGACCCGCAACGCTATCCTCAAATCAAATCTGGGGTCATCTTAGTGCCCACAAGCCTCGCCTTACTGACAGCAGGGTCAATCCAATTAAAATGCCTATATAAGAGGTACTTTATTGCCTGCCTAATTTCTATTATAATAGAAGTACCAGCAATTCCCGTTGTTGCAAAGAGGAACCTTACACACGCTACGCCAAGTATTTCAGGGTCGGATTCGTCCCCTGCTCAATACCTCTTCCTATCTACATCCTTATTGTTCGTCCCAATTTCACTGAAAGAGGAAATTCTACATCTCTCATTGGCTTATACCCCTGCTAGTTCCTCTTTCACTGAAAGAGGGACAATATTTTTAATCCCCCGCCCGTTTTTTCGATTAAAAGTGCCTGATAAACCTAGTGCTACACACACACACACAAGTCTATTACGCCCGGTAGGCCACTGCCCAGAGGGCTCTATGAGCTAAAAATACATGCATCTCGCTATTTGTTGCCTTGATCTCGCCAAGCCCTTGCAGTTCTTTTCTTGTTCTTTCCAGCCTGATCATCGCTTGTCTCCTTGATCCCCGTAGTTGTTAGTAGTAGCAAGTCAACTTGAAGCCCAATTCCTCCAAGTGTTCAGTTTCCTATCTTCGGCGGCTGAAGCGGTGCCTGCTTCTGGTTGCACGGGGCAATCGTTAGTAGGTATAAGTTTAAGGCCGATGAGTTAGTGGTGTTGTGGTTGTCATCTCTGTTCCAGGTGACCTGTGGCGATTGCGAACCTGATTGTGGCTCGTACTGCTTCCATGTTCGGTGTCCATTTTTGTCCATCTGATGCAGCTTTGCCCCCCAAATGAAAGGAGACGTTGCCGCGCTTTTCCTCTACGCATTGAAGCATCATCTCCTTGCGCTGTGCCATCCATTTTACACATCGGAAGAGGAAGTGCTCTACCGTTTCTTTTGCTTGCCCGCATGGGCATTCGTCGGTCACTGCTGCTCCAATTTGATACAGGTAGCCGTTCAGTCGTGCCATCCCGGTCCTGAGTTGTGCCAGCACGCTGGCTTCCTTCCACGGTAGCTGGTCGTACAGTAGCCGAGTATGTTTACCAGGCAGAGCTGAGTCGACCTTTCTCGAATGTCTGCCAACTCCGTCTGGTAGTTTCCTCTCCCTTCGCAGGTCTGCTCTCGTTCGACTGAGAATTGTCGTCTTTGCTTTGCTTGTTCCTATGCGTGGTGTGACGTACGCAGAGTTGCCTATCCTGATATGCTATACTGATATCATCTCTGCTATCCTGCTATATCTGATATGATGTATATCGGATATCGGATAAAGCTAGGCTCCCTTACCCTGATATCAGGATAGATATCAGGATAAGCTGCACACTCTGATTGGTCGGATGCCACTTTATCGCCTGACAACATCCGATTTTCCCATGTTTACAATCTTCGAATCTCTCAAACATCACTCAAGTGTGTAGATATAATACGTTGTATTATTTTGTGTCTCTGCTACTCTTAATAATGGCTTCTTCATCACAGCAACCCACAGATTTCACCTCACAGCCCCAGATGACTATTGACCCTACTGTTGATGTAGAATCAGTATCATCTGAGGTCCTGAACTTCGATTGCATATTCCGTGCGACATATCCCAAAAAGGGCCAGTTCGGACCATCAGGGAAGCGCAGAACGAAGGGAGCAGTGGTTTATGAATGCCTTCTCTGTTCTTCTGATCAGGCCTGGTCAAACCCCAAACGAGACAACGCCATATACCACGCCAAACGCAAACACCGTGAGATCGTTAACTCTTCAGACAATACAGTACTCGAACGATCATCGGACATGGGACCTCCATTAAAGCAAGCTAGGCTCGATAATTATTATACAGCAACGCCATCAGAATCGGCCCTCCGCAAAGTGTTCAATCCTCAGCGATATACTGAGAGCATGGTTGGCCTTCTCACACATCGTCGCCTTCCCTTTTCGGCAGTTACATGGGATGAGATGCAGGACGTCATGCTGTCCTGTAATCCGGCAATTGAGGACCTCATAATGACATCGAGGCATGAGGCGATGCGTCATATTACTGCGAATTTTAGCCTTTATCAGTCGCAGTTAAAGGCTAAGTTACAAAGAGCCGTTTCAAAGGTCCACATCTCATCTGATCTCTGGACATCGCCGCACCGCCATGGTGTGCTAGCAGTGTGTGCACGATGGGTTGACGAAGATTATCAACCCAGACGAGCGCTTCTGAGTCTACCAGAGATTCGACACAGCCATTCCGGTGAACATCAGTCTCGGATTATCTTCTCAACACTCGATATTTACGATATCGCGAATCAGCTCGGCTGTCATACGGGTGATAATGCGGCATCAAACGACACATGCTTGCAGCATTTATCAACCAGGCTTAGGCAGGACCGCAATGTGCGTCGTACTCCAGTTTTGTTCTCCCATCTAGTCGCCTAATCTATAGCAAATCAACTGGGATCCAAAACGGCACCGTATCCGATGTATCCTTCATGTTATCAACTTATCACTTCAAGCCTTTCTTTTCGCGTCTTCACGTGAAGCACTTCAAGCCGCCCTCGATGCTGCTGGTGATATCACTGGGGATGAGCACTACGAACCGTTCAACTTCATCCTAAACGACGCGTCTGGTGGTGATACGACAAACCAGCCAGATCATATGGAAGCTCAGACGGAGCATCCTGGCGGCGTTGCATGCAAAAGAACTTCCATTCAGAAGGTAAATCCTCCACTGAGATCAGATAATAAGTCAGACAACACCAGAAGGGGGGGCTGGGTTATGGTGCCAGCGCTGCGCAAACTACACCGGATCGGGCTGTGGCTACGTAACTCACCTATCCACAGTGATGCATGGGATGAGCGCATCAAATTACGGCTCGGTATTGATAACGATACGCGCTGGAATTCATGGTACAGGATGATCGACAATCTGATAAGGAAAAAGCAGCAAGTAAAGCAGTTCCTACTTGACTACGACAAAGCTCTAGGTGACAATATTCTCAACTCTTCTGATTGGGATTACCTGGAGAAAACGCACGCGTTTCTCCAACCATTCACGTCTACGACCTTGTGGGCTCAAGGCGTGACGGCGACGCTCTCGCAAAACCTCATGATCATGGATATATTACTTCGCCACTACGAACAGAAGAAGGTATCATCTCAGCTTTCGCCTAACTCAACCAACTAGTTTCTGATCCTCTCTTTAGGAGCTCTATGAAGCTGAGGAGACACATGATCCTCTCATGTTGCACTCTATTGATATGGGCTGGTTCGTACTCGATAAGTACTATGCTTTATCCGGGGAGTCCCCTATCTACGCAACTGCCCTTCTCCTTGATCCGTCGAAGCGAGCGCGATACCTTGAAATAAACTGGAAGGGAGAATGGGCCGAGGCTGCCATTAGGGACGCACTTTCGATATGGGAGGAAGAATACAAGATGGCGCCCACCCTCGGACCTGCCCAGGCGCTGAGCGAAGCGTTTAGGTCGCAGCAAGGGCACTCAAACGAGCTTGATCGGCTTCTGAACGAGATTATGGTCGCCGAGGACATAACCAGGGACGTAGACGACTTCGAAAACTTTATCCACAACAAGCCGATAAAGATCGAAGGCTCTCCGCTGGTCTGGTGGTGTCAGAGGGATCAGGTTCGGACATATCCGCGTCTCAGTCGCATGGCCATCGACATCTTGTCTGTGCCCCCTGGTTCTGCTGACCCTGAGTCTGCATTCAGTGGAGGAAGACGCACTTTATCATGGGATCGGGAAAGGATGTCATGTGTTAATCTGGAGAAGGTTGAATGCATCGGCAACTGGCTGCGTGAAGGACTCATTATACCATCATCACGTGGTGGTAGAGGGCTTGTTGTGGACGGTGAAATAAACGGCAGTGTTCATGTTGATTCGGATGATGATCTAGATTAGAATTGAATGAAATATTTACCTTTAAGCTTAGACATATCTGTCGTCATATCATCTCTGCTAAAGCTGCTAAAACTCCTAGACTGATATCATCTCTGCTATCCTGCTAAGCCGATATCATATCAGGATAGTGTGTTATCCTGATATCAGGATAATTTATCATATCGGATATGATATCAGGATAGGCAAGTCTGTTGCCATCTCTACGATCGCCCC